TCTCCTCTTTTTACAGGCCCTTAAATGCAAAAAAAACAAATCGTCTTCTTCAATCTCTCTGTTCTTCGCTCCCTTTGTGATAAAGTCTTCCAGCGTTCGGTTGCTTCACTGTCTCAGTCTGAGTCAGGGACGTCCAAAGGCCTTCTCTTGCTAGTATATATATATATATATATATGTGTGTGATGGACCGATGGTAAATCTACCTGTAATCAATACTACGTTTACCAAACACCAAAATATGTGATTAGGATGAGTATTAATTTTGTGTTTATGTTGTAACACGATTAAAGTATATATGAAACATATTTGTAATTTTGTTACGATTTTAGACTTTTTAATTAGATTTAAAATTTTGAATCACTTTATTATTATTGTTAGACTTTGTATTTTATTAAATATAGTATGCTTATTTTTATTTTTATATTTATAAAAACTATATTATCTTTATATATATTAAATAAATTTTAATCAATTGATCCGTGGTCGAACCCGGTTGATCCAGCGACCTAGTAACCCAAAAGGTAGTTCGGTTCACCGTCCGGATCGGATTTAAAAAATAATAATATTTTTTTCAAATTGACCAAAAAAACAGAGAAAAAGTGATAAGCCTTTTCAAATGGGGATGGGGGATATGTGAACTTTCAGAACAAATAAAGTAGGAAAAAGAATTTGTTTGTGTTTTTTGGTAGTAGGCAAAAAGAATTTGTTAAAATCAAATAGATATATATATATATATATATATATATATATATATATATATAAGTAGGGTGAAAACACGTGTTCGACCAGGATACATAAGTAGAATGGTTGTATTTTATCCTGTGAAAAAGAAAGCCGAATGAATACTATTCTTCACATAATTTTTTACATACGTACGTACGGTACAACAAATTGTATTTTACCCTAGCAAAGTAGCAAGTCCCTATACTTTTTAGTACTTACATAAAGTATTACATGTGATTTATATATGTATACAGTATTATACCTAGATAGACTGTGCACTTTTTCTTATAAATAACTGGGATTAGTCCTGAGACCAGTTATCCGGGATCCGCTCCGATCCGCTCCGAAAAACAAGATATCCGGGTGGGGCGGCTCCGGATCCGGATAAAGAAAAAGCGGATCCGGATAATAGAAAATTTAAAGCCAGATATCCGGATCCAGAATATTTTATATTATAATAATATTTTTTAATATTTTTATTATTATTATTTAAATTTTATTAATAAATTTTATTATTTTTATAAGAATAATATTTTTTAATAATATTTTTAATTATTTCTATTAAATTATTTGTTTTTAAATATTTTTCTTCAAATTTTATATTAATAAAAAAATTATATCAAAAACCCGGATCCGGATATCTACCGGGCTATTTTTACGGATATCCGAAATCCGGATATCCGGGTGAAACATATCCGGATCCGGATAACGAAAAGATGGATCCAGATATCCTAAAAAAACGGATATCCGGATCCGGCCCAGGCCTAACTGGGATCTAGATTATTGAGTATAATTAATAACCAAAATCATTGATATCTATTTCACGTACATGTACTTATTATGGTTAAAACTCTCTCTATATATCTTAAAATGATGCTACAACCAATTTCTACTATTGTAAAATTTTGTGCTTTGTATATATATCTGTAGATTAGATATGCCAGATTTTCCCAAACAATACAGAAACTGATTGTTATGATTTTTTCTTTTTTAGTCAAATAAATTCCTGATTAATTGTAAAATTATATAATTTCACTACGAAAATGTTGGTGAAAATGTGCCGAAAACTATTAGACTATTAGACTCATTTGATGTTTTAGATTTTGATAAAGATTTCACAATGCCGCTTGAGGAGAATGAATGTAATGGTCAAAGAGATAATCGAGATTAGTTGTTTCCGTCATTGATGATCTCCTACTATTTTAGTATTTGTTACGATTTTAGACTTTTTAGTTGGATTTAAAATTTGAATCACTTTCTTATTATTGTTAGATTTTATGTTTTATTAAATATAGTATGCTTATTTTTATATTTATATTTATAAAAACTATATAATCTTTATATATATTAAATAAATTTTAATCAATTGACCCGTGGTCGAACCCGATTGATCCAGCGACCTAGTGTAGTTCGGTTCACCGTCCGGATCGGATTTAAAAAATAATTATTATTTTTTTCAAATTGACCAAAAAAACAGAGAAAAAGTGATAAGCCTTTTCAAATGGGGATGGGGGATATGTGAACTTTTAGAACAAATAAAGTAGGCAAAAAAGAATTTGTTTGTGTTTTTTGGTAGTAGGCAAAAAGAATGGGTGAACAAAATATCAATCCATGGAAGAAGAGATATTACAAGATCTGGGAACCGAAATAATGTTATTAATTCTCTCTCTTCTGACACACATAATTATGACGAAAACACCCCTACGTCTGACACAATCTCTAAAAGCTAACTTGAGATTTTTCAAGACGAGAACAATGAATTATAAAACCAAACAATGAAGTCAGATACTGATAGATAATTAAAAACGTAGCGGATAACAACATTAACGGCTAACAACAAATTTGACAATGGTTAACTACGTTATCCAAAAATAGGAACACAATATCGAAACGCAAGACCAATAAAGAAGGTAAGTAATGCAACAAATAAGAAGCGGTGAATCAGTAATATAAAATGTGACAAATGTAAAGTATAACTAGTAGGGTAACAAACAAAGTAGACGATAACAAGCGTCTTTCCATTAAAATGAGTGAGCCTTAAAAAGCTTTAAGAATCTATGAAATAGAAAAAGGTAACAAAAATAATAAACATTATCACAGGTACGGTCGCTAAATAAGTTATCGGCTAACTAATATAACGGATAAATACGTTATCGGCTAAGCACCTACTTAACATGTTAATAATATACTTAACGAGATAAACATATTTTCAGTTATCAAACAAACGATTAGATTTCAAAGATTGGATTATATATGTGAAGACGGTAACATTATTAATAATCTGGTAAAAAATTATTTAGCGTGATGAAACAAACGTTGACTTGAGGCTGAATAATCATGTAGGGAATAATATACGTAATGGGAGAGTTAGAAGATAACGTGGTATCGGGGTAATATCGTTAGCGAAATATGGTTGATGTAACCCCCAAAGAAGGTGGCGATTGGAATTTCTGAAACATAATATAATTTAAATTTAAATTATATTGGATTTCCTCAAAAAAATCAAACTAAAAGATATTATTCATGCCATCTCACACAATTCAGCTGTATCCTAAAATTATTACTCTTTGACAGATATATAGGGGTGCAATCGTCAATTGTACATATACAGTATTTGTCAGACATTGTGAGACATTGTCTGTTTGATTCCTCTTTGTACATATCTTCATAATATCCAAAAAGTTAAAATCAAATAGATATATAAGGCCATCCACAATGGCATATATGTTAGTATGGGTGTGAAAAATTGTTTATTATTATAAGTAAAGAAAGAGAAAATAAAGAAAGAGAAAGAGATAGAGAGAGATAGAGAGATATGTAATATTTTTCATTTTTTTAATGCTCACATCCGGGTGTGAGATAACATCCTAAATCTGTATATTCTCCAACTTTTCCATTAAATCTCTTTATTTTAATGCTAACACCCCCCTTCGAGTGCTGCACTGCGTATGGCCTAAGTAGGGTGAAAACACGTGTTCGATCAGGATACATAGGTAGAATGGTTTTATTTTAAGTCAAAAAAAAAAAAAAAAAAAAATACATGTTGCTTTTGTGTCTTGGTTATCAACGCCCCGCGTGACCTCAGTATGTCTCTTGTTGCTTCTGCATCTCTAGAGCCTCTGTCTTCCTTCTGCTCCTTATCTGTCTCTCGAGAGACTCGTTTTATTGCTTTTTTCTCCATTAAATTATCGGATCCGTACTGTCTCAGGCTCGCTCTATCTTCCTCCGATCGGACCGATTTTTTTTCTTCTTTCTTTTTTTTTTTCTTTCTTTTCTCTTCTTCTTCGATCTGACCAATCAGAGTCAGCAAAATGGCGGAGACGAAGACCAAGAGACTACTTAAAGTGGAAATCAGATTCAGCTTTTTCGTCCAATTGGAAGGGGAACTAGAGAGTTTTTTAAAATTTATCTTATTTGGAAAAAATGAATAATTGTTTATAAATTTTAATCTTAAGTGGAAAATCTTTTTTACTTTTCAAATTATACCTCTACGAACGCGGCACCATTTTCTACTATGCCAGACGTTGTGGCCGGTCTGCCCTCTCTGATCTCGGGCTCTTCTCAGAAACCATTTGCACCCTAAAACTATATAACATATGAATATTGTCTGAAAGCAAAGACTACATGAATTTAAAATGTTCAACTTGCAGAATTGTAAAGAGGAGAAACTTTGATTATTAGATAAACAAAGGTCACATGATATAAACCCAATTAATAAAAGAAACAACTTAGGCACGTCGTCTAAAACAATAATAAAAGAAAAGAGAGAATTATATAATTGAGGAGCCAACACTGTTCCATTCAACCGCCACGTCAGCATATCTCGACTTTTAATTTTCATTTTATTATTGTTTAGGCGAATTAATTTCAGAATTAACCATAAAGTAAGTAATAAGGAAAAATATATAAAACGACGACGGTCTGTGTCTCCTTCACCAGAACTGTAGAACACAAGATCCTTCTCCTCCTCTTTTGTTTTCCTTGGCCGTCGATTTTAAGGTTTTATCTTCTCCGTAGTGAAACCACTGATAATTTTCTCCAGGGAATTTACGAGGAGAATTTGTTTTGTTTCTCCGGCGTTTTAGAGTTTTACGATTTCTCCGTCGTTTGATTTCTTAATTCAATCCTCTGAGGGAAACGAGAATTTGCTTTTCGTTTTCGAAGTTAGGGTTAAAGAAGCGGTTTCGCATTGGGTTCGTTGACTATTGAGCCAATTTGCGAGAGGAATTGAAACGTTTCGCGTTTGTTTCTTTTCTTTTCCCGGAGGTCCGAAGTGCGAATCTGTTTTGTTTGATGAAATTAGGGTTTTGGATCAGAATTTGGATAGTCGTTTATGTTGACTAGTCGACGATTGCTGAGTTAGGACATGATTTTGAAACGTACCTTGACATTCGAGAATCAGAATCTGAAGAGGTGCAAAATTGATTCAGAAATTGATTATGGGAGCAAAAAGGGTGAGATTATGGTGTATAAGAAGCGACAAAGAGCAACCGTGGATCAACCATGTAGTAGAGAACCCGAACTTCTTACAAGTAGCTCAAGCTCCTTGACTAGCAAAGAATCTCAACCGTGCTCCGACCAGTCCAAGTCTTCGCGTGGCAGAGTTCGAGCGGTTCCTTCAAGGTTCAAGGACTCCATTGTTGGTTCATGGAAATCTAGCCGACGGATTCTAGTCATGATGACGACGTATCTCTGGGGAAGAAGGTCAAAGGTTTCAGTGGAAGCTCGAAATTGAATCGCAGCAAAGACTCGAAGCTGTTTCCACGTAAGGATAACGGAGACATCAGCGAAGTAGATTGCGATTACTGGGATGTTAAAATTTCCATGTTGTCTTCCGCCGACGATGCTAGATCTGGTACGCCGAAAAAGTCTGACGTCACGCGTAAGGGCGTGTACAAACCAGAGGAATTTACGGTCGGCGATCTTGTCTGGGCCAAGTGTGGGAAAAGATTCCCAGCATGGCCGGCTGTGGTGATCGATCCGATATCACAAGCGCCTGATGGGGTTTTGAAACATTGCGTCCCAGGCGCAATTTGTGTCATGTTTTTTGGGTACTCGAAGAATGGAACTCAGACGGTAATATACTAATCTCCTTAATCTCTCTCTCTGGTGTTTGATGCGTTTATTTCTATTATCTTTTTATGAAACTTCTGGTCATTAACAAGACTATGCATGGGTCAGACAAGGAATGGTGTATCCATTTACGGAGTTTATGGACAAGTAAGTATATGAGACGCTCTCTCTGTGATCTTTCATATTTGTCTGTTTGTTTCTGTTCCTTAGTCTTTCATATCCTCAGATTTCAGGACCAGACAAACTTGTACAATTACAAGCCAAGTGAATTTAAGAAGGCACTTGATGAAGCAGTTTTAGCAGAAAATGGGGTCGAGGGTAATTGTGGAGATGCTGAAATCAGCTGCCCTGATTCCTCTGCGACGGAATCCGACCAGGACTATGGACCTGCTTCTAGAATTCAGGCACGTTTTCTTGACACATATTCCTTATCTTTTTTTTTGGGTTAGATGTTCAAGCTTGCTCTTGTAATTGATTTGGGAGGACAAAGTAAATCAATTCAGGACAGAATCTTACTTTAACTCTCACCAGTCAGTTCTATAAGCATCCTGTATAATTCATAATCAGTTCTATAAGCATCCTGTATAATTCATAATCATCTTTCTATTCTAAGTCATAATCGGCTGGTGATATACTTTCTGGTCTAAGTCATGAAGGCATTATACATATTACATACTACATAGGCGTGGACATACTGTTATGCTAATCTCTTCAATCTCTTTCTTTCTTCAAGTTTGCATTTGATGCATTTATTTCTACTATCTTTCTCTGAAACTTCTGCTCATTAACAGGACTATGCATGGGTAAGACAAGGAATTTATGGACAAGTAAGTACATGAGACGCTCTTTCTGGAATCTTTCATATTTGTCTGTTTGCTTCTGTTCCTTAGTCTTTCATATCTTCAGATTTCAGGATCAGACAAACTTGTTCAATTACAAGCCAAGTGAATTTAAGAATGCACTTGAGGAAGCTGTTTTAGCAGAAAATGGGGTCTAGGGTAATTGTAGAGATGCTGAAATCAGCCTACCCAGATTCCTCTGCGACGGAATCCGACCAGGACTATGGATCTGCTTCTAGAATACAGGCACGTTTTCTTGACTCATATTCTTCTTCTTATTTTTTGGTTAGATGTTCAAGTTTGCTCTTGTAATTGATTTGCGAATACAAAGTAAATCAATTAAGGACAGGTTCTTACTTCACTCTCACCAGTCAGTTCTATAGTCATCCTTTCTAATTCATAAGTATCTATATGTAGTCATATACTTTCTGTTCTAAGTCATGAAGGCATTATACATACTACATAGGCGTAGATGTACTGTTTGTATCTGACTCTTGTATTGGGAATACCTACCCTAAAACGATTTGCCGATTTAATTATTGTGTAGGGTGCATGTCATGAGGACATAAGGACTTGCGACGGTTGTGGCTCAGCAATGCCATGAAAATCTCTAAAAAGGACTAAAGGGTCACAACCTGAAGAGCTTTTATGCAATCACTGTTCAAAGGTTCTTAGTAAATGCCCTTTTATTCTTCGGTTTTCTCTTGCCAAAAGGAATTGAATCCAAATTGGTTGTTTCAGTTGCGGAAATCCAATCAGTATTGTGGCATTTGCAAGAGAATGTGGCACCCTTCAGATGATGGAGATTGGGTGAGAATATATGTGACCATGTTTGGTGAAATACAGACCTGAGTAAGAAATTATTACATCTATATAGCTGATGTATTAGGTTTGTTGTGATGGGTGTGATGTATGGGTACATGCTGGGTGCGACAACATTTCAAATAAGCACTTTAAGGTACACTTCCATGCATCTTAACTTTTGATTCTAAGTAATGAAGACTCTTGTTAAACTATCGCACTAATTTGGTTATCATCTTAAGGAAGTGGAGCACAACAATTACTATTGCCCTAATTGTAAAGTCCAGCATGAGCTTGCGCCATCAATATTAGAAGAACAGAACTCAGTGTTCAAGTATGTTGTTAACATCTCATGTTCTCCTGCTTTTATTGTTTGCATTTCTCCATTGCTATAATATGCGAGATTTCCTCACAACCTCTTTGGGATAGGTCTACAGAAAAGGCGACAGAGACTGAGCTGCGTGATGAGGTTACTGTAGTCTGTAATGGCATGGAAGGAACATATATCAGAAAATTTCATGCGTACGTATTAGATGTCTCAGCCTTATTTCACTTTCTTCATTTAGAAAGGATCTTATTTGTTTATGACTATGCAACACAATATCGTAAAAAGATTTTTTCTCTGAAAACGATAAAATCCGTGTTTAATCCTAGGCTTCTGTTATCACTCTCTTGTTGTTGTAGAGATTAGACCAACACATTAATCTTTGAACTATTGTTTTCAGAATTGAGTGCAAGTGGGGTTCATGTGGGTCAAGGAAGCAGTCACCAAGTGAATGGGAAAGGCATACAGGCTGCAGAGCCAAAAAGTGTAAGAGTGAAAGACACAATGCTACCTCTAGAAAAATGGGTACATCCCTTATGCTTAACTCTCTCATAAACTGGCCCTTATATATACCTCTGAATTTTCCATGCAAAATTTTGATGTCTATAAGAAGTTTAATACTGACACCAAGATATTACAGATTGCAGAATTTAGTACCTATACCCTAGAAACCCAGATGTTAGATAAGCAAAAGATGCTCTCTTTGCTTGAAGGTAGATTATAGCTCAACTCTTGGCGTCCTTCTTTTGGAGTTTAAATTTGGTAGGAATCTTGCTTACTACTTATTTTATATGCACAGAAAAGTATGAGCCAGTCAGGGCTAAGTGGGCGACTGAAAGGTGTGCTGTATGCAGATGGGTAGTAGACTGGGAAAAGAATAAAATGATCATCTGTAACAGGTTACTTTATGGCACTTTTTGGTTATACTGAATTCTACAGCTATCTTAAAAACAAACATGAATCAGAAATATGTAAATGTGACCAAATCTGTCTTCAGATGTCAAGTGGCTGTACACCAAGAATGCTATGGGGTAAGCAAATCTCAGGACCTCACTTCCTGGATGTGCAGAGCATGTGAAACACCAGATATTGAGAGAGAGTGTTGTCTCTGTCATGTAAAAGGTATTACTGCACAATTGGCTATCTTTATGATTTTTCCCCCGATCTTGCATTAGTAATTGTTTTATTCGTAGATGTTCTGTCACAAGGTCACATTAAGTACAGCAATTCTTAGAATTCTCTTTTGGGTACAGAGGTGCTAAAATTTGAACTCATGTTCCATATTTCTATTTCTTTCCTGAATTGAATTTCCCTTCCATTTATGCAGGCGGTGCTGTAAAACCAAGCGACGTTGAGGGTTTGTGGGTTCATGTAACATGTACTTGGTTCCGACCGGAAGTTGGGTTTTTGAATCATGAAAATATGGAGCCTGCTATTGGACTTTTCAAAATTCCAGCAAATTCATTTCTTAAGGTATAATGAAATGCTAGAAGTGGAAAGTATAACCAACATGTTTTATTAGAAATTTATAATATACCTCTCATATTTTCTGAAAACATCTTTTAGGTTTGCACAATTTGTAAGCAGACACATGGTTCCTGCGTTCATTTCTGTGTTCATTTTTAGGTGTGCCACTCACTTCCACGCAGAAAATGGGGTCTAGGGTAATTGTAGAGATGCTGAAATCAGCTGCCCAGATTCCTCTGCGACGGAATCCGACCAGGACTATGGACCTGCTTCTAGAATACAGGCACGTTTTCTTGACACATATTCTTCTTCTTATTTTTTGGTTAGATGTTCAAGTTTGCTCTTGTAATTGATTTGCGAATACAAAGTAAATCAATTGAGGACAGGTTCTTACTTCACTCTCACCAGTCAGTTCTATTGTCATCCTGTCTAATTCATAAGTATCTATATGTAGTCATATACTTTCTGTTCTAAGTCATGAAGGCATTATACATACTACATAGGCGTAGATGTACTGTTTGTATCTGACTCTTGTATTGGGAATACCTACCCTAAAACGATTTGCCGATTTAATTATTGTGTAGGGTGCATGTCATGAGGACATAAGGACTTGCGACGGTTGTGGCTCAGCAATGCCATGAAAATCTCTAAAAAGGACTAAAGGGTCACAACCTGAAGAGCTTTTATGCAATCACTGTTCAAAGGTTCGTAGTAAATGCCCTTTTATTCTTCGGTTTTCTCTTGCCAAAAGGAATTGAATCCAAATTGGTTGTTTCAGTTGCGGAAATCCAATCAGTATTGTGGCATTTGCAAGAGAATGTGGCACCCTTCAGATGATGGAGATTGGGTGAGAATATATGTGACCATGTTTGGTGAAATACAGACCTGAGTAAGAAATTATTACATCTATATAGCTGATGTATTAGGTTTGTTGTGATGGGTGTGATGTATGGGTACATGCTGGGTGCGACAACATTTCAAATAAGCACTTTAAGGTACACTTCCATGCATCTTAACTTTTGATTCTAAGTAATGAAGACTCTTGTTAAACTATCGCACTAATTTGGTTATCATCTTAAGGAAGTGGAGCACAACAATTACTATTGCCCTAATTGTAAAGTCCAGCATGAGCTTGCGCCATCAATATTAGAAGAACAGAACTCAGTGTTCAAGTATGTTGTTAACATCTCATGTTCTCCTGCTTTTATTGTTTGCATTTCTCCATTGCTATAATATGCGAGATTTCCTCACAACCTCTTTGGGATAGGTCTACAGAAAAGGCGACAGAGACTGAGCTGCGTGATGAGGTTACTGTAGTCTGTAATGGCATGGAAGGAACATATATCAGAAAATTTCATGCGTACGTATTAGATGTCTCAGCCTTATTTCACTTTCTTCATTTAGAAAGGATCTTATTTGTTTATGACTATACAACACAATATCATAAAATGATTCTCTGAAAACGATAATATCCGTGTTTAATCCTAGGCTTCTGTTATCACTCTCTTGTTGTTTTAGAGATTAGACCAACACATTAATCTTTGAACTATTGTTTTCAGAATTTAGTGCAAGTGGGGTTCATGTGGGTCAAGGAAGAGCAGTCACCAAGTGAATGGGAACGGCATACAGGCTGCAGAGCCAAAAAGTGGAAATATAGCGTAAGAGTGAAAGACACAATGCTACCTCTAGAAAAATGGGTACATCCCTTTTGCTATACTCTCATAAACTTGCCGTTATATACCCCTGAAATTTGGAGGTTAGAGATTTAATACTGACAACAATATATTACAGATTGGAGAATTTAGTACCTACACTATAGAAACCCAGATGTTAGATAAGCAGAAGATGCTCTCTTTGCTGGAAGGTAGATTATAGATGAACTCTTGGCTCCCTTCTTTTGGAATTCAAATTTGGTGGGAAACTTGCTTACTACTTATTTTATATGCACAGAAAAGTATGAGCCAGTCAGTGCTAAGTGGACGACTGAAAGATGTGCTGTATGCAGATGGGTAGAAGACTGGGAAGAAAATAAAATGATCATCTGTAACAGGTTAATTTTATGGCATTTTTGGTTATACTGAATTCTACAGCGATCTTATAACCAAACATGGGGTCGTAAGTATGTAAATCTGACCAATATTAATGAATATGTGTTCAGATGTCAAGTGGCTGTGCACCAAGAATGCTATGGGGTAAGCAAATCTCAGGACCTCACCTCCTGGGTGTGCAGAGCATGTGAAACACCAGATATTGAGAGAGACTGTTGTCTTTGTCCTGTAAAAGGTATTACTGCAGAATTAGCTCTCTTCATGATTTTTTTTCCCCCATCTTGCATTAGTAATTATTTATTCTTGACTGTTCTGTCACAAGGCCAAGTTAAGTACACTCGTTCACAAGTGCCTACTGCGGTCTTGAAACATTGCGTCCCGGGCGCGATATGTGTCATGTTTTTTGGGTACATGAAGAATGGAACTCAGAGCGTAAGATACTAATCTGATGTTTTCTAGCTGATGTTTGATGCAGAATGATCTTTTTCTGAAACGTATGGTCATTTACAGGACTATGCATGGGTCAGACAAGGAATGATGTATCCATTTACGGAATTTATGGACAAGTAAGTACACGAGACGCTCTTTCTGGAATCTTTTATAGTTGTGCGTTTGTTTCTGTTCCTTAGTCTTTCATCTCTTAAGATCTCAGGATCAGACAAACTTGTACAATACAAGCCAATTGAATTTAAGAAGGCACTAGAGGAAGCAGTTTTAGCAGAAAATGGGGTCGAGGGGCGATTGTGGAGCTGCTGAAATTAGCTGCCCATTCCTCTGCGAGGGAATCAGACCAGGATTATGGGCCTGCTTCTAGAGTTAGCTGCCCATTTTGTGTCATTTTGGGTACTAAAATGACTGTCACAAGGTCAAGTTAAGTACAGACGTTCATAGATTTCTCTTTTGGGTACAAATTGAACTCATTTTCCATATCTCTATTGGGTACAAATTGCGCAAAGTGCTATAAACTGAAATCACCATATCTCTATTTCCTTCATGATATTTAAACAGAATTTATCTTCCATTTACGCAGGCGGTGCTTTAAAACCAAGCAATGTCGAGGGTTTGCGGGTTAATGTAACATGTGCTTGGTTCCGACCGGAAGTTGGGTTTTTGAATCATGAAATTATGGAGCCTGCTGTTGGACTTTTCAAAATTCCAGCAAATTCAGTTCTTAAGGTATAACGAAATGCTAGAAGTAGAAATAATAACCAACCAACGTGTTTTATTAGAATCTAATAATTTACATCTGATATTTTCTGAAAATACCTTTTAGGTTTGCACAATTTGTAAGCAGACACATGGTTCCTGCGTGCATTGCTGCAAGTGTGCCACCACTTCCATGCAATGTGTGCGTCACGGGCAGGTTACAACATGGAGGTTAGTCCTTAAACTGCTTGGTCTCTCTGTGCTTATGATAGTCTTTGTTTTTCACCTTAATTCTCTAACAAAGGTGTTCTGTTAGTTAATCGTCTTAGGCATATGTAACTGATACTGTTGTCTGTGGAAATTTAGTTGCACTGCCTGAAGAAAAATGGTGTGCAGAGAACCTGGAAATCAGTTTAGTGTTCTTTTTACAGGTTTTTCTTTTTTCCGACATATTCTTTAATTGATCGGTGATGTGATATTAGGACCTACTAATTACCTGTATCATTTTACCCACTATATAGGAAGCCAGATCCAAATAGTGTTGTAGTTGTGCGCACACCCTCAGGAGTATTTGGCTCTAGAAATTTGCTTCAGAATCAAAATCGGCGCACCAAAGGTTCAAGACTCGTTATGACTAAGAAGGTAAAGCTTACAGGTTCCGAAATCCAAAGACAAGCCGAACAGAGTGGTGTATTTGATTTTCAATCTGCAGCAAGATGCCTTATATACAGTAGATCAAACACAAAGGTATGCTTCTGGGGATCGTGTTTATTTTTGGACATTGGAGAGTCGTTCATTCTTAAGTATTCCCTGGCAAAGGTACTATTTCAGCTCTGTTACTGCTGATGTTTCAGAAGATTGATCTGGAGGCGATATACCACAGGCTCAAGGGACCAAGCAATCATTCGTTGGGTGCAATCGAGAATCTAAACTCTTTTAAGGCAAGTTTCTCATTCAGAGCTCGATTCATGTCAGTATTTTGCTTTCTTGGGGTATTTTTTTTCTGAATATCTCAGCAAGATCTTAATTTTCTTTTACCTCATTCAGAGAAGGGCTAAAACATTTCCAGGTAAACATTGATTCAAAAAGAGTTCATATTTTCTCCTTTTTGTTTATCCTAGAATATTAAAAACAATACATCATTACATCTTCTTCAGAGGACGGAAAATTTTCGGGTCTGCTTTGGTAAACTTGGCATACATGGATGGGGCAAGTATTCAAGGAGTAATGGTATATAGTTTACGTTGTACTATGCATGATTTCGATGGCCAAATAAATTGAATGTGATTGTGCATCTTTAATAAACTAATGATACGGTATATACTTAAAAAGAGTAATAAAAATTGTGGTTTAAGAAAATATTTTGCATAATTTTTAGTACTAATATTGTTTAAGATTTTGAATAATAAAGAAATAATTTTTTTTTTGATTCGGACCACCATTTTTGTTGGACCGACAAAGGGCATGTACAACCAGAGGAATTTACGGTCGACGCTCTTTCTGGAATCTTTCATATTTGTCTGTTTGTTTCTGTTCCTGTCTTTCATATCTTCAGATTTCAGGATCAGACAAACTTGTTCAATTTTTTTTTTTTTTTTTTTTTTTTTTTTTTTTTTTTTTTTTTTTTTTACAAGCCAAGTGAATTTAAGAAGGCACTTGAGGAAGCTGTTTTAGCAGAAATGGGAGATCAGAATCCTGTATTATAGAATTAGGACTACTACATTTGTTTTGTTTATGCAAATTCTATTAAATGAATTGAAGGATGCAGTGAACATATAGAAGTTTGGATGATGGTATGATTCTCAACAAAAAAACGTTATTAGAAGGGACAGTTTGGAATGACTTTTTAACTGTTTAAAACGTACTTGTTAGGAATATGACCCTTGTATACTAGTATTGTTAGGAATATGGCCACCTTTTAAACCCCATTCATGACACCATATATTTAGAAAAAAAAAAAAAAATACAAGGTATTTAGATGATTTTGTATTTGTGCCTTTGTCCCTTTTCTTTGTAGAAATTAAGTAGTTGAAATAAATAATCTTAACATAGTAGTACTATACTGGTAACATCTAGCTTCTTAATTATCATTGTAAGCAATTTTAAAATGACAAACTCCTAACACAGTACTATCATCATCGATTCATCATAAATAATTTGTCGATGACAAACAGAGTCCTGTTTCGAACAATAAATGGAATTTGAAGGTGACATTTTGTCTAATCAATGTGACCATCTATTAAGTATCCACTTGATCATTTTATTAGAAGAATATAGAACAATATAATATGAGATTCTATCACATAGCTTCTCTTTTGGTAGTACAGAAAAAATGTATGACTTTCCAAAATCAACATTTTACATTATCGTAAGTTTTCGTTTTAGTATATATTGAATCAAAGTTGTTGCTTGTTCAATATTCGTTACTAACATTAAAACCAGTTGACTAAAAAAAAAACATTAAAACCAAAAACAAAAAGTTAATACTAATCATCACTCAAAAAGTTAATACTAAAATTATCGTGACCGCTTTAATTTGGAACCTTTGGATACGAAATAATTTCAACAGAAATAAGATACATAAATCAAAGTTTGTATTTTAACAATGGTCCGTCAAGATTTAGATACAGTACACATCGAAATTAATCGTAACTGGTTATGATTGGTGATTCTTACGATGTAGATCTAAAATCATATATAGTTATGTGGATTAGTCCACAATCACATTGATAAAATGATGAATATTAATAATACATATACGGACTCTTTCTCAATATCGATAGAGAAAAGGAGAGGAGACTATAGGACCCACGCGGCTCTTTCTATTTTTCTAACTACAAAAAAGAAAGAAGCAAGTTCATGTCATTTTCTACGCGCACACAATTCGCGGAAACTTCCTCTTCGCGGAAACTTATTTAATAAATATCTCTATAACGATAAATCGATAATAATAGGTTTGAAGGAGTCAAATAAAAAGAACAAAGAACACATAAATAACTCTATTAAAATAGAAAGAAAGTAATGAAAATCCATGTCACCCTTTGTCAATTTCTTCCCAACTTCATTTCTTTTTCCCCACACCTTCTTGCCTAAGCTTTACCGATTAAACAAATAAACAAAAAAAAAAATCAAAGACACACATCAATTTTGTTGGAGGATATTAGCGGATCTGCACATCCACGAAGTGTTCGATTATAAGGAGTTATTAGTTTTATTTTAATAAAAATCCCTCAGCTTGCCAAAAAAAAAAAAAAAAATTATGCTACATGTATATTTAGTGTTTATAGTATCTTGAAAATAAATGTTAAGATATATTTTGTGGAGTTCTGAATTGACAGAATTCATTTTTCTTACATAGATTATCATTATCATACACTAAATGTTTTTTTTGAATAGACACGTAAGTCTTTACTTATCATGTTTAAAACGGCATGCCATTAACGACGATAAAAATATGAAAAGATTGTATGAATTAATAGAGAAAAAACCCGAAAAAACCGCCATTTTTTTTTTTGGCCGTTTAATACATGTGTTATTAAATTTGGAATAAAAAGGCCTCGTTTAATTATTGTTGTCTTTTAAATTCTTCGTTTTTTTAATTTTGGTAGATTCTGACCTCCGCGTTAACGGCCGTTAACGATGGTAACGGAATCGCTAACTGCAGTTAAAAGTTAACCCCATGGTGTTTTCGTATATATATACAATTTATGTTTGTATCTTTACGAATGTAGTGTCTTAGTAAGGTGGTTATACGCGGGTTGTATTTAGACTCGTGCACGAGTTCGATTGACCACCAGCTCTTTTAGATTTTTTTTTTTTTTTTTTTTTTTTTTACTTCGTCTTCTTCAAACTATCTCTGTTCTCTCTTGTAACTCCAGATTGAAATTGAGAAGCCGTATAGTACCCAAGATCTCTCCTGTAACCCCAGATTTTCTTATTGAAATTGAGAAGCCGTATATATAGTGGCCAAACCCTAGATCTCTTTGTTCTCTCCTGTAACCTCAGATCTAGGGTTATTGAAATTGAGTAGTGGAATTGAAATTGAGAAGTAAGAAGATCTAGGGTTTATCCACTTTGTAAAATTTGGGGAATTCAGTAATCACTTCATGTAATAGAAGCTGAAACGATGTTAAGGTGAACAAAAACATGGAGTGGCTTCGTTACGGTTTGATGTGTGCATAAAGAAGTAGGTTAATATGGAGATTAACAGGATTGGGAAGATTGACTATGCTACTACTCCAATCTTTCCCTTTTTCCTCTTTAACCAAGAATGCTCTATTTGATAAGCATGGTTCTGAGACGAGATAGGATCCAAAGAAGTTTGCTGCACTTTTGTTTTTAATTGAATTAGGTTGAAGACGAAGTCAAATTAAGGGGGAAAAAAAAAAAAAACTAAAAGAGTTGGAGGTGGATCGAACTCGGCACGTGAGTGTAAAATCAACCCATGTATCACCACCTGACTAAGACAATACAATCGTAAACTTACGAACATAAATTGTATATATATACGAAAACACCATGGGTTAAGTTTTAACTGCAGTTAGCGATTCCGTTACCATCGTTAACGGCCGTTAACGCGGAGGTAAGAATCTACCAAAATTTAAAAAACGAAGAATTTAAAAGACAACAATAATTAAACGAAGCCTTTTTATTCCAAATTTAATAACACATGTATTAAACGGCCAAAAAAAAATAAATGGTGGTTTTTTCGGGTTTTTGCCCTGAATTAATATATAACATCTCTTGAGTTATGTAACTATTGGACATATATATATATAAATGTCCAAATTGATGATTTATCTAAATATATAACCTATTTTCTGATTTAACACATCTAAGAACAAAATATTTTTCTACAATAATAATTGTTACAGCTACAAAATTCTTTTTAGTATGTAGGTACAGACTAATTAATGTAATGGATGATGCGAGGGGGATATTCACTTGATTTATAATAGCTTTAATTAGATTGTTGTGGACTTTTAAATAGAATTTTGTTATGTCTGTAATTCGTGAGTTTTGGTTACTTTGGGATTTGTGCGTCTTGCAATAGTTCCCCTCAAACCATTGATTAATGTGTTATATAGGTGGTGTGGTTATTGATCCTCTTTAGTTTATTCGATTTTCTTTTATCATATTCAGAGCCGTGGCCACGTTAGCAAATTTGAAACACTCGCCTACGGCCTCCTTCCATGAAAAACAAACATTAAGGCCTTAAATTTTTTATAAGCTTTAATGTATGTAACGATAATTATGCGCAGATGATATTGCATGGATTTAAGTTTGACTTTTTCAATTATGTAATAATTAATAAAAGGAAGTAAAATTATTATTATTATTATTATTATTATTATTAAAAGGGGATGTGCCTTTAGTCAAGTGGTTAAGTTCACTTGACTCCGCTTTCTTCACCGGAGTTCGACTCTAGTAAATCGCGTTACCCCGCGTAGTAGGGATTGGCTATGGATCGGGTCTTGTCGATCCAAAAATGTAAAAAAAAAAAAAAGGGAAGTAAAAAGAAGAAGAAATGGAAACATGTATGAAACCCACTAACCATACTCTTAAAATAAACAATTAAATTTCTTCTTATTTTACTTCCATTTCTTACTCAATTTCTTCATTTTATTTTGTTTATTTTATATCTAAAAATTTAGACTCTTTGATGTAATGTTCTTCATATTTAAAATTTGTCTTTTTTCTTTAGTATTTTTTTGTCTACAACCTCTCTAAAGAATTTAAACAGAAATGTTTTCTGTAAATATAAAATGTTTATAGATTGAACATATTACATGATATATTATAATATAGAACCAATTAAACACTAAATCTCATTAAAAAAAAAAATTGGTATGTAAAAATAAAATTTCTATTTTCTATAATATTTTAGTAACTATGATTTCTTTAACGTAATAAATTTTATTATTTTGAATAAATAGAAATTAGATTTTCGTTCGAGTTACAAAATTACACGATCTACGTTTAGTCGTTTATGGCCTCTAAAACGCTAGGAACGGCTCTGATCATATTGCTTCTATCTTTGTATTGAATTGAAAAACTTGATTGTAGCAGGTATGATGTCAAGCATATCTACAAGAAAAAAGAAGATAAAATTTGGAAAAATGCCCTGTTTATAAGTTTTTGTTTGAAAAATACCCTATCCTTTTTTCCTTTTTAAAAAAATAATTTTTAATATTTAAAATTACTAAAATAGCCTCATTCAGGAATAATTTAAAAAAATTATACTTAAAACAGAAAAAATCTATTAATGTAACTAACAATTAAAGAACTATGTATTATGTAATAACTTTCTGTATCAACTTTCTCTACTGTCATGGCTACGTCTAACAAAGAACAATATCAGAACGTATCATAGAGTAACCTAACATATATTGCAACGTATCATAACGTAAAGTAAAGAAAGCTCATAAATAGAAGATTAATGTGAAGAAAAAAATCCAATATAAAAGAAAGTATAGCTCAAACCAAATTCAAAAGAAGGAAAAAAACAAAGGTTAGCTTCCATGAACATATCGGTTGCCAGCTGTGGAAGTCGGATTCACACACTCAAGTATTTTTATTAAGTAGGAAAGATCACTCTTGAAGGACAAAAATGAATATGCAAAAAGCTTACGAATTGCTACGAAAATTGCTATAATATTTCTTACTCCAGAGAAAGATCTCCCCTATTACATGGCCATTGGCCCTTATATTTATACATAGAGACATCACACATTTAAGTGGCTAATTAAGTACAATTATTTTCTCTTAAATGTACCCGTTTCGATATCTGAATTTAGTGTCCAACGTTCAAATTTGAATTGACTTAGTCCTTCATGTGCCTCGCCTTTTGGCCCAAGTATCCTTGGACCGACTTAACTGTGACTTCGACTCCGGATTGTGTCGAGGTGCAGTCACTTCGGATTTCCCTTGTGGTGATAATCACTTCGACTGGTCCTTTGACTCATGGGTCTAATGAGCTTTATCCTTCGTGGGCCGTTATCTTGACTACGTGGCAATCTTTGGTTGGTCCCGGACTTCTGGTGCGGGATCCGACACCAACACCAGCTTTTATCGAATATCCTTGATGTTTGCATCACATGATCCGATCTTCATATCTACGTCCAACGCAAGACACTCTATATATTTCAAAGCATAAACTCCACAATCACTTGATTTTTTGTTTTGTGTTATTTTTCCACATCTTCTGATTTGTAACTGGCATCATTTAACAATATTATACCAATTGAGAGTTGGAATAGACTAAGAAAACCCAATAAAATAATAGACCAAGTATTAGTTATCGGTCCCGCTTTGATTAAAGATCTAATGGTACAATGCCCAGACACGAGTTTTTTTACCGTATTTGAGCAGGAAGATGAGAGACTTGCTGGGCAAGGCTATCACTATCTCTTTATGGAGAAGATTGTATATATATCAATTATTACCAATTTCTTTTTCCTTGTGGAGAAACGCAAAATCTTTTTCTTTTCCCTGGTTTATATTATTTATAAGTTCGCAATTGAACCCAAGAATTAGGGTTTTGTATAAATAAAGGCCATTAAAAAGAAACACGTGTGGACCAAGAAAAAAACTCCTAACAGCCATGTCTCTGCTTCTCAGCCGCCTCTCGAAGCTCTCTTCCCTGAAAACACCTGCACTCGTCGTAAGCTTCTCTTCTCTTCTCTCCTTCGTGTTCTGTAATACTCCTTCTAATGTTTGTGATTGTTACTACGCAGAGACATCTCACCGCTCGGTCTTTCTCTACTTCCTTTCCACGTATTATCGCCGGTGCTCAACATTGTGGATCTACTTTGAGGGATGGAGATATCGGAAATCTCAAGATATATACAAGATTTGTTGCTGAAGAGTTTATTGTTAAGATAAAGAAGGTACCTATGAAGTTGGTGGAGGAAAGGGGAACGGTAGGAGCATCCAATGGATGGGTTGCTACACTGAAGGGAGGAGTAGTGTGTCTCCAAGATGATCTAAACCCAAGTGTGTCTGATTTTGATCCAAAGCGCATTTCGTTGCCTCCTCTTGTTACTTTGCCTCATTGCCAAACGCAAGTGGTAACCAATGTGGCCATGTCATCCTCTTCTCCCGAGGATGAAGACTGTGTTGTGGCTATCAAGTTCTTGGGACCTCAACTAAGCTTATGTAGGCCTGCTCGAAGCTCAGAGTGGACCAACATAAGAATCACAGACCCGGGTTTCTTCAATTCACGTGTCATGTATTCCAAGAGAGATGACATGTTCTCCATGCCGGCTTCAAGAGGCACATACATTGGATCATGGAATCTTGGAGAACCCCAAATGATTCTTCAGCAGTTGCGGTATCTAAATTTTCTCGAGTTGGTGCAGTCAAAGTGGGAGTTGTTGGATTCGTGTTGCAGAAGCGAACACTTGGTGGAATCAAGACCCACTGGTGAAACTTTTATTGTTAAATGGTACAGCAAGAGAAACATCCGTTTTGGGGAGAGACTGGTGACACATCGTTTAATGGTATTCAAAATAGACGAGGAAGGAAACGCTGAGTTCACTACTGACATTGGAGATCTCTGCATCTTCCTCTCCGAGGCTGAACCTTTCTGTGTCCGGGCTAGCGAGTGTCAAAAAACCCCAAACCGCATCTTTTTCTTGTGTCCCGAATACTACGGAGAAGTCAGTCTGGACCACTACGAATATCTTCCGCAACATCGTTCTCATCGCACTTTTCCTGTGCCTTACTTTATTTAGGCTTATTGTTATCATCCTAAGTATGTTTTTTATTGCAATTTCGTTATAATAAGACCTCTGGTTTTCTATTACTGTTCATGGGTTTCCTCGATTCTTGGCTAAAATCTTCCAACAAATCTGAGGATTAACAAGCAAATGTTTGATAAAGAATGTGAATTTATGTGCACAGAGGACTAATCTCAGAATAGTATCCAGAATTATCGAGAACCTGAATCATATCAGATTTGATGAGTATATCCAATTATTTTTTGTATATCTACAGTAAATAGAACCTCCTTGGGTCGTAGTCTCTGCTTATTGTTCTCCGATATCTATCCAGCTAGACTCAGGACTAACACTGTCCCAGCTTTTGCCAGATTCTGGAACAAATTTCGAACTCTGCATTGCCTTAAAACAGAGAAAACGTAAAGACAATGGAACTTAAAACTCTGCGGTAATATTCTGCTGCATCATCATCATTACATTACGTATCAAACTCCGGCAGCAATCAAAAGCAATTATCAAACCATAAAAACACCAGTCTGTTAATTTATCAGAAGAACCAAAAACAACCACATAGTAAACAATAAAACGTAGAAAACATATCAATTCCAAAATCCCAGGTCCAAACACATCAATCTTAAAGGAAAAAAAAAAAACTTAACTTAATAAAACCCAACAATAAGTAATTGAAGAGTGAAGCAAAGGCGATTGGTATTAAGAGCATATAAAAAAAGGAACATCGTCATTGTCGGAATTAAGAAAAGACTCAAAATCGTCGAGGTGGGCTATTCCGGAGTCGTGGAGACCCTTGAATAAGATGGTGTTTGGAGTTCGATCACGCGGGATAGCCTCCACACATATAGCTGCAGCCTTGGAGTGAAGAGAGATAGAGAGATTTCCAATGTAACTAGTGTACTCCGCGTTTCCTTTCTCGTCTATTTTGAATACGATGAAACGCTGCGTTTCCTTCCTACGGAATTTGCTCTTCGTGTACCACTTAACCAAAAAAGTTTCACCTGCGGGTTCAGATTCCACCAAATGTTCGCTCGTGCAATACGAATTCAAGCGATCCCACTCTGATTGCTCCAGCTCGGGAAACTTTCGAAACCACAACTGCTTCACCTTGTGTTTGTGAATGTCTTTTGACTCTTCTCCAAGATTCCATGATCTAACGTAGGAGCCTCCAGAAACAGGCATGGAGAACATGTCATCTTTCTTGGAATACATGACACGGGAATTGAAGAAACCCGGGTCTGTGATTCTTATGTTGGTCCACTCTGAGCTTCGAGCAGGCCTACATAAGCTTAGTTGAGGTCCCAAGAACTTGATAGCCACAACAAAGTCTTCCTCCTCGGGGAAAAAGGCTGACAGAGCTACATTGGTTACAATTTGGGTTTGGCAATGAGGTAGAGTTACAAGGGGAGGCAGTGAGACGCGTTTTCGATCTGCATCTGGCACATTTGGTTCTGGATGCTCTTGGAGATACACTATTCCTTCCTTCAATGTAGCAACTGCTCCTTCGGATGATCCTATCGTTCCTGGATCCTCCATCAGCTCATCATGAGGATATTTAAAAAACTCGATATATCCGACATCCCCATTACGCTTAGATCTGGAAACCTTTTTCGAAAAGGAAGTTGAGCAAGAACGAGCGGTGAGGCCGTGTCTCTGCGTAGGAACAATCACAGATATTAGAAGGAGTATTACAGAACACAAAGCCATTGGAGAGAGGAGAAGAGAAGCTTACGACGAGTGCAGGTGTTTTCATGAAAGAGAGCTTCGAGAGGCGGCTGAGAAGCAGAGACATGGCTGCTGGGAGTTTTTTTTCTTGGCACACACGTTTTTCTTTTTTTAATTTATACAAGATAATACAAAACCTAATTCTTGGATATACGAACTTAAAAATAATAGAACAAGGAAAAAAAGAAAGCGGGTGCGAATCATGCGATGCCCCAAAAGAAAAAGGAATTGGTAATAATTGATATTTACAATCTTCTCAATAAATAGATAGAGAGATATATAGCCTTGCTCAGCAAGTCTATCATCTTCAAGTTTTGGGCTTAAAAAACGATTGGGCTTTTATCTCGTAAAAATACAGTATAGACCAAAAGCACATCAACACGATACCGTAATCTCGAGCAAATCCTAACCGGAATGAGAAGAATCATTGAACAACTGTCCCAAATTTGTATCCCAAACAGAAAACACAATTATCCAATTTTAAAGCATAAGTTCCCTGAATCCAAATTACGGAGACCAAAAAGCACATCTACACGATACGCTAATCTCAGAGACTCGCAATAGGAAAAGGAATGGCCGGTGCGGTATACCTAAATGCCCTACGCCACTAAAAGAAATCATGTCCTTTGTAAAAAGAAAAATTTCCTCGCATCACAAATAAAATTAAAATAAAACTCATACTAAACTAAAAAAAACAGTAATTAATTTCATAAGAAGTTTGTAAGGAAAAAAAAATATTCTCTAAATATAGCTCTATTTAGACTTTTACAAGCAAAATCATTCATCAAACTCACGTAGTCGAGCTTTTCAACCATAGCCGTCTCAATAGATATTAATGCCAACCCATTTAATCTTTGTAAACGTTTAGGATTTTATTTTATTTTAAGCCAAAAATTTCCAAAAAAATTCATTAACAACATATTAATTAACATTTTATTAATTTAAAGGCATAAAGTCCATAAAATATAGTGAAAGGAAAGTCCAACAAATTTATTTTTCAAAAAAGCTTATAATTTTTTTTTAACATATAAGACCCTAAAAAAATTTCTAAAATATATGCCCCTTTAATTTGATGCCCTAAGCCATCGCTTCACTTGATTGTGTCATGCGCCGGGCCTGTTAGAAGGCTAACCGGAGTGAGAAGAATCATTGAACAACTGTCCGGCGTAGTAATCGATTCCGACGAATTCACTTACTTACCGAAGAATTTCTAGCTCATGTAACTTTTTCTTTTAATTTTCATTCAAATTCTCTCACAAGAAATCATCAACAAAAGAAAAGAACAAAGTTGTTACATTCCTTTTCCATTTGAATATTAACCAACAAACAAAGGTATGAGATCATAATTACAACACAAGACTCAACAGATATTCGAATTCTTATTTTCAATGTAAGTATGTATCTATGTACCTTCTTTTTAAGGAAGTGTGGTCTCGAGAGCCTTTGATTACTATCGAATGATCTGAGGGGCACTGTCGAGAACTCTGAATCAGACAAAGCCGCGTCTTGTCTTGTCTTCTCGGAATCTTGCTTGGCTTTAGTCGCTGCTGCTTCTCCTTCTTCTCTTCTCTCCCGCTCTTCTGCGTCTTTGAGTAAGAAATCAACCCATAGATCCGCAAAAGACTGTAACATAAAGAATCCAAAGTTAGAAGAGAAACACAACAATATCTCCATTAGTGAAACTTAATTCTGTTGATTCTATGACGGCGTTTCTTTGTTGGATCAGTACTACATTGTGTTGTTGAGGATGAGTATGTTGATCTAATAGCATGTTGAATCACTAATGAGACATTTCCTCTGTCGTCTTTCTCCTTCTCGTCTATGAAAGCTTGATTTACTGTACTCTTATTATCATTACTGCAGCATGAAGGAGATGCCTGGTATCATCAGCCGGATGCCGCCTCTACCTGTCTCAGTTAACAATGATCTTTGTTAGAAACGATTTCGTAACAAATCCTAGGAGTTGGCTAGAAAACGAGAAAATTTGCATAATAATGATCTTAAAGCTAATATGATGTTTCAACAGATGGAACCATGATTTCGCAATAATGCACCAAGAAGAAAAATAGCTTTTACAAAAGCTAACCTTTTCTAGCAAGTGTTGTTTGAGCCGTTTTAGTTCTTGTCGTGCCTTATCCCTTTCTCGTCGTGTTTCCTTCAAATATGTTTCCAACCTCTGCAAGGGTTGCTCCATTTCTTTTTTCCCAGGAAAGATTTCAGGCTTCTGCTAGATAAATATGGAAATTGCATAAGGATAAAAGTTTCTCCACGTTTAATGAAAGCAAATGCAAAATGCGTTTAAAATAAAGTCCCTTCTGGTATAAGAACCTTGTCCACACTAGGATGCCTACTCAGAGACTCGAATGGCGTCTGGTAATACTTTGCTACTGGTTGGTTTCCTGCTCTCTTCTAAAGCAGTTTCTAACTCATTTCGTTTCAACTATCAAGTGATGAAAAAGCAATTCAGATTCCAAACGTCAAAGTAGAAATGCACACAGCTAGAGAATGACAAATGTTTTCAGCAGTATGGAACACAATAAACCTTAAGCGCGTTGTTTTCATTCTCCAGAGCTTTGTTAACTTCTTTTAGATGTTCCATGGCTGTCCCGACCATTCAACTTCATCTGCAAGTGTTTGAATTCAAGTAATTTTGCATCCAATTCACTACGCATTTGGCTAATTTCCATGGAGGTCTGCAAACAGATGAAATACAGATAATAAGAAAATTGTAACTTAAAAGATGGTGATTCCTCTCTGAATACATAAAAAAAAGTGTCTTTTCTAACTCAAAGACTTACTTTGTTCTTATCTAACCTCAGAGACTCGAGTTCCTCCTTGAAAGATTCACTCCTTTTCCAAAAGGTGTTCTTTTGCAAGCTCCGTAGCTTGAACAGCTGCCATTGATTTGGTTGTATCTTCTAGCATATCTGCAAGGTCCTAAAAGGACATCCAGATTATCGCATATAATATGGTATTTAGGAAACGAGAACATTGCAGAGCAATAAAAGGCACCCTATACTAGTGCTGAAAACGGTTAACTTATGTATTACAAGATGTACCTAAAGAAATTCAGAAACTAAGAAGTATGTATCCTACAAACCAACCAATTTCAAGACCACATCTGAAGTTAATGGTAAATAAACATTAGTGTTACCTTCTCCTATATATACGAATCGGTAGCCTTCCCTTTTCCATTTGACATATGATTTGGACTTTTTATATGTGACACAGATTTGTGTAGCCTATTATTGGGTGACTGATCATTGTTTCCCTGGAGAAGATGACAGATTAATTCAATAGTTTAAGACCTTCATGCAACAAATAAACGAAGCTGAGATAGTGATGTTGACAAAACTTTCTTAATATCCAGCTTCCTTGAATCTTGACATTATATTTGATCTCATGATACGTTTTCTATCCTAGTAAATCCCACTAATAAACTAAGCATATAACCAATAAGACACATAACAGCTCTTAAGTAATTGCATCCTCCCTAAGATAATATGCCTAGTGCGCATACAATCAATGGCATAGAGATGAAACAAACAAAGATAAGAAGTGCCTACCTTGATAGCGTTGATGATGTTTGATCCCCTGGAAATGTCGGTTCTAGCCTCTTTGAGGTCAGATTTTGTTTCAATCTGGAAATCTGATCCTGTAATTGTGTGTTTCTGATGTAAGAAGAGAGAAAATAGAGATTGGTGGCAATTTTACCTCTTTCACTCTAAAGAGAGCTGCATAATTTACAGATAAGGCTGATTCGGATTCCTTATACCTCTCAATCTAAAAATTTATACAAAATTGAATCATCAAATAAGCATAACTTATCACAAAAAAAAAAGAAATTCTGACCAAATACCTCATCGATTCCATTGGAAACCACCGATCAGATTCCGACACGCCCGTATATGTCCGAGAGCGATCTTGCTCAAGTTCTCATTCAAATTCTCAGTTGAATTCCACATAGCTCTACGTGAAGGAGAACCGACCATGAGAAGCCATCGGAGAAAGCTTGCCGGATTCAAAGCCGTCCTCAAGCACCTCCGACCGCGAAGTCGAGATCCACCAAGAACCACGTGACAGCTTCTCTCCGAAAACCACCACCAAAGACACCGGACGAGACGGAGCCACAGACAAAACCGGCCAAACGCGACCCCCAAAGTCAACCGGTGACTGACTCCCAACTTGGTGCTCGAGCTCTCTGCATATATATAACTGTTGACGGAAGAGGTAGCACTGAAGCTCTAGTTAAAAGGGGAATGAATACAACAAACAAGTTCTAGTTAAGGAGCTTATTACTCTATTGAACACAATCCTCGAGGTCTGCCTTTGTTCCTCTCTTCTTCTTCTTTTGAACAATTCCTTGCTTCTCATGTATTTGCACTTTTCTTCTGTCTGCCTATTTCCATTTCATTGTGTTTTAAGGATAACTTAGGTGGTGTTATTCAATGATGGATTTTAATAGAATTGAAATCCAACACTAATCCAGTGTTATTAACCTAATGATTTTAAATCTAACTCTAATAGATTTTAAAGTTTGGTGTTATTCAACTAAGATTTAAAATGCTTCATTAAAATCCAGTGTTATTCAAAACTAAAAGACTTGTAAAATCTTTTTATATCAAATCATTTGAAATGAAACATCTTTGGAGTTTCATGAGTAAATCATTAGAATCATAATCCGGGATATACTGCAGAGATTTTGAACTCCACACAAACAGATTGTTAAAAACAATAACAGAAATCAAATCTAAACCTTTAAGAATTGACTTTAACTCCATGAGTGAATAACACCCCCTTAGTGACTTATATTCGCTCTGTTATTCTTTTCTGCTTCGTCGTTGAAAAACAAATAGGCATTGATCTTCAGAACAAGTCTCCAAGATTCTTAAACCCTGCAATGAATTTAAGGTTCAGTGCTCAGTCTTGGCCAACAGGCTATATTACTTGGCATATATACCTTCCTGGTGGACTGATATATCCTTTGCTTTTTGGTTAGATTCCTGTAGTGGGGCAACATCGGTTGAGGGTCATCATACCCTGGCTCCGAAAGGAGCTGTATGCATTGACATGCCATTAATGAACCTATGTGCTAATCTGACATCAGCGTCCTTGATTTTCATTTTTAAACATGTCTTTTTGGTGTCATGCAATTAACAACAAACTTGGCGTTTCATTCCATGAACCTGCTACGTTTGTACAGGAAGACAATTTAAACTTTTGGCATGCATATCCAATAAAGCCTCCTAATCACTCTCAAGCTTGGATGACGAGACCTCATCCTTGTTTACATAATAAAACGTAAAATTAGAACACTCTACGTAAAGGTTATAAGGAACTGTAAATCCTATATAATTTCCTAAATCAGGAAATAGAAAAGAATGTGCATCACTTATAGTCCACATACAAAGGTTACTGAAATTTGCCACTCCTGCTCACACTTCTTTCAAACCTTAGAGGGTGAAAGCATTACATGTGGAGGATATGGATGTTGTTGTTGAGCCTGGAATTGGTTGGCTGGAGCTTAATGAATATTTGGAAGAATACGGTCTATTCTTTCCTCTTGATCCAGGTTAGCCGATATTGAGATAGTACCTTAATCTCTCAGATCATAGCTTTCATATTAATTCTTTTATTTGGAACACATTTTCAGATTAATTGATCTTATTTTATGATAATTCTCCTTTAATCCGGTTGGCTATGATAATTCTGCTACTAGCTTGTTGGTATGGAACTATGCGTGACAATGTTATAAGCCTTAAGGTTTGTTGTTTCTGCCACTGATTCATTCCCCATTCCCCACTGTTATAAATTTTATGCTATGCTCCTCTCAGGTGGTTCTTCCTAATGCAGATGTTGTGAAGACAGCTTCACGTGCCAGAAAGAGTGCTTGCAGGGTTTGGCTTCAACTATTTTCTTGGTTCTTTGTTTGGATTTCTTTTTTCTCCCCCATATAAACTATAAATGAAAAACGAATGGTATGCTTCCAGTCAGGAATTTCCCACTCCCACTGGACGACATGCGGAGTTGTTTGATTACATATTATTTGAGTTAATGCTTGATACTTGTCGGAATAGTGTCTCAGATACGATTTGACTCGCTTGATGATTGGGAGTGAGGGGACTTTAGGAGTCATAACTGAGATTACTCTCCGGCTTCAGCATTCAGTGGTATTTTACTTCTTCCTTTATAGTAGATTTTGTTCATTTATGTTTGAGTTCTAATTCAGGTTTCTGATGACTATGATCTTCTTGGTTATGTGATTCAGAGTTCTCGACAGTGCCCCTCAGATCATTCGATAGTAATCAAAGGCTCTCGAGACCACACTTCCTTAAAAAGAAGGTACATAGATACATACTTACATTGAAAATAAGAATTCGAATATCTGTTGAGTCTTGTGTTGTAATTATGATCTCATACCTTTGTTTGTTGGTTAATATTCAAATGGAAAAGGAATGTAACAACTTTGTTCTTTTCTTTTGTTGATGATTTCTTGTGAGAGAATTTGAATGAAAATTAAAAGAAAAAGTTACATGAGCTAGAAATTCTTCGGTAAGTAAGTGAATTCGTCGGAATCGATTACTACGCCGGACAGTTGTTCAATGATTCTTCTCACTCCGGTTAGCCTTCTAACAGGCCCGGCGCATGACACAATCAAGTGAAGCGATGACTTAGGGCATCAAATTAAAGGGGCATATATTTTAGAAATTTTTTTAGGGTCTTATATGTTAAAAAAAAATTATAAGCTTTTTTGAAAAATAAATTTGTTGGACTTTCCTTTCACTATATTTTATGGACTTTATGCCTTTAAATTAATAAAATGTTAATTAATATGTTGTTAATGAATTTTTTTGGAAATTTTTGGCTTAAAATAAAATAAAATCCTAAACGTTTACAAAGATTAAATGGGTTGGCATTAATATCTATTGAGACGGCTATGGTTGAAAAGCTCGACTACGTGAGTTTGATGAATGATTTTGCTTGTAAAAGTCTAAATAGAGCTATATTTAGAGAATATTTTTTTTTCCTTACAAACTTCTTATGAAATTAATTACTGTTTTTTTTAGTTTAGTATGAGTTTTATTTTAATTTTATTTGTGATGCGAGGAAATTTTTCTTTTTACAAAGGACATGATTTCTTTTAGTGGCGTAGGGCATTTAGGTATACCGCACCGGCCATTCCTTTTCCTATTGCGAGTCTCTGAGATTAGCGTATCGTGTAGATGTGCTTTTTGGTCTCCGTAATTTGGATTCAGGGAACTTATGCTTTAAAATTGGATAATTGTGTTTTCTGTTTGGGATACAAATTTGGGACAGTTGTTCAATGATTCTTCTCATTCCGGTTAGGATTTGCTCGAGATTACGGTATCGTGTTGATGTGCTTTTGGTCTATACTGTATTTTTACGAGATAAAAGCCCAATCGTTTTTTAAGCCCAAAACTTGAAGATGATAGACTTGCTGAGCAAGGCTATATATCTCTCTATCTATTTATTGAGAAGATTGTAAATATCAATTATTACCAACTAGGTGAGTGCCCGCGCTACGCGCGGGATTTTGTTTTAAATTTTGTTTTAATATTTTTTAAAAATTTATTTAAATTTATATGTATATATTATTAGATTCCTGTATTTTTATAAAAATTATGTATTTGTCTTTTTTTATTAATTATTTTTTAAAAATTTATTTTTGTATATCCTTGCATGTTTGAGACTAATATATACATTTTTTTTTTAAAATTTCTCATTTAGCTTTTAAGATATATTTTAATATTATTTTTATTCTTATTTTAGTATAATAACTATACAATTTGTAATTTTATATGGAGTTTATCAACTCTAATTGAAATGTGTTGTTTTTTTTAGTTAGAACAATTTATTTAATGTAAAAAGAAAAGCAAATATCCTCAAAACTTTAAACTTGAATGTAAAACAAAATGATTGGCTTGAAAAGACCATGTCCACAGTTGTATTGAAGTATTTTATAAAAGAATTGTTTTCTAAACTTCATTTTCTCTTGGTCTCCATTTTTTTTCCCTCCATTTTAACTGATTGTAGAAGTTGTTGTCGGCTTCTTGTTGGGATTTGGTTCCTCAAATATGCTCCAGTTAGGGGTGTCAAAATGGTTAACCCAACTCAACTCATTACCCAATGAGTTTAGAGTTAAATGAGTTGATGGGTTGACTCAACTCATTTACTTCTTTTTCGCCAGGTTTCATTCGATTTATTGTGGATTGGATGATGGAAAAACCTAAATGAGTTGAGTCAACCCATCAACTCATTTAATTTGATGGGTTAGAAGGTTAAATGGGTTGACCCATTAACCTATTAATGTAATAAATAAATTAATAATTAAAATATAATAATAATAATAATAATAATAATAATAATCTATATATAATAGCAATCTAATAAAAACCATTTGCACATCTGAACGGTTGCGTCTTTTTATCGCAACCTTTCGTTTAAATCGGTTATTTTTTTACGGTTATTTTGGTTGCGTCTTTTTATCGTAATTTTCGTTTTAATCGGTTATTTTTTTACGGTTATGTCGTTTCCAATAAATACCATTTGTACATCTGAACGGTTGTGCCTTTTTATTGCAACCTTTCGTTTAAATATTTATGGTTGTTTTTCTTACAGTTATTTTTGTACGGTCATGTTGTTTTATTGAATTTCTTTTTACGTAAACCAATAAACTACATATAAAATTGGTTTATTTCATAGTTTACATATGGATATATTTTTAATTTTTAAACTAAAATTTATATTTTACGGGTATGTTTTTTAGAAAATTGCAATCCGAATATCTTCTGCGGTTGCTTCTTTTTATTGTACCTCTTCATAAACAGTTGCAACCTTTTATTAGAATTATTGCAATATTTAGTTTATATTGTACCTCTTCACGAACAATTGCACCTCTTCTTTTTATTGTACCTCTTCACGAACAATTGCAACATTTAGTTTATATCACAAACAATTGTAACTTTTGATTTATAGTTTATTTCACGAACGATTGCAACCTTTGATTTATATATTTTGTTTTGTATTTCACGAACAATTGCAACCTTTGGTTTATTTTACAAATTGCTATAACATCTAATTATCTACCGTCGCGTCTCTCGGTATAATTTTCATAAACTAATATTTTTAATTTTTAATTACCAAAATGCATTTAAATGAGATTGTAATCGTTTAATTGAACCGTTGAAACATTTGGTTTATTTGACCAATCATTGCAATTTTTGGTTTTGTTTTACGAACCATTGTAATCTTTAGTTTATTTGACGAACTTGACGAACCGCTACAACTTTTGATATATCGCAACATTTCATTTATTTCTTTTTAAACTAAAAAAATTATTTTACGTTATGTTTTTTGAGAAAGTTGCAATCCGAGTAAATATTTTTTACGGTTGCATATTTTTATCGTAATTTTTCATAAAATGATTGCAGCCGTTTAGTTGAACCATTGCAACATTTAGTTTATTTCACGAAAAATTGCAACTTTAAGTTTATTTTATAAATCGTTATAACATTAAATCATCTACCATCGTTATTATTAATTTTCGTTTGATATTTTTTTTAACGATTTTTGAAATATTTTCCCCCGCGACATCGCGGGGGTCCGGAGTCCTAGTAATAATAATAATCAACATCACTATTATTTGGCGGGAAAATCACGGATTTACGTTTTTGGCGGGAAAATTACGGATTTACGTTTTTGGCGGGAAAATTTTACTTTCTCATTTTTGGTTAAAAATTATAAAAACTTTTGGCGGGAAAATCACGGATTTATGTTTTTTGGCGGGAAAATCACGGATTTACATTTTTCGCGGGAAAATTTTACATTCTCATTTTTGGTTAAAAATCATAAAAAAATTTGGCGGGAAAATCACGGATTTATGTTTTTGGCGGGAAAATCACGGATTTACTTTTTTGGCGGGAAAATTTTACATTCTCATTTTTGGCTAAAAATTATAAAAAATTTTGGCGGGAAAGTCACGATTTACGTTTTTGGCGGGAAAATCACGGATTTACGTTTTTGGCGGGAAAATTACGGATTTATGTTTTTGGCGGGAAAATTTTACTTTCTCATTTTTGGCTAAAAATTATAAAAAAAAATTTGGCGGGAAAATCACGGATTTATATTTTGATGGAAAATTGTGTATTCACATTTTTGGCTGGAAAATTAAGGACTATATTCAATCGGTTTAGAAGTTTTGGTTAGATTCAAATTGAAATCGGTTTAGAGGTTTGAATTGGTTTGATTCAATTTAACAAAAATTGATGGGTTAAATGGGTAAATCATTGAAAACATTGACCCATTACAACCCAACTCATTTGATCCATCAACCCATTTGACTCAATAACTCATTTGATCCATCAACTCATTTGAGTCAAAAATTTCAACTCATTATGGTTCATGGGTTGAGTTGAGTTTTGGTTGACCCATTAATCTTGACCCATTTTGACACCCCTAGCTCCAGCCCTATTGAATATTTTGTGTTATATATGTTTATGTTAATTTTTTTTATATATATATATATATATATATATTATATTTACCTCGTCAAAGTCTTTATAACTGCCCACATGATGGTGGGCTGGTGGCTTGGCGGGCCCAGGGTGGTTGGGTGCAACTCCCTCCTCTCCATGGTTCGATTCCTCCTGCTAGCTGTTATCAACATTATTGTGGGAAGTCTGTCAGTTGGGCTTTGGTCCAATTGGTTTACCTGGTAGTCAGAAATGCAGGCGGCCTGACTACCCCCTGGCACTTAGTCGGAAGGCATTCCAAACTCGGGATAGGCAGAGTGGTAGCCCGAAGGGCCTAGCCGTTAACACGGTGGACCAGTCCACTATGTAGCACCTCGGTGCGTTCCTACCGGGGCCGACCGGATAGCCGATAGGGTTTATCAAAAAAAAAAAAAAAGTCTTTATAACTTATGTTTGACACCATGAAATTCTGATTCTTGGGGGTATAGTTGAGAGGGGATACTCTTATTTGGAAACGGAAATGTTTGCCAGCAAGATCACTTAAACATGTTGGTAAGATATTGTTGTTACCTTTGTTGCCCTACATAAAATGTTTATTTTTAGGTTTAATTGTTATTAAAAATGAGTAAAATTTGCAATATTATATGATAATTTCTTTCCTAATATTTTATTTACCTTCTCTTCCATAATTGTGGTTGCCGTTTTGTTTGTAAGTTTTCTCATTTCTTTGTCTAAAATTACAAATGTCGCACCATGTTCTCCATCATGAACAATGAAAACACTATTGACTGCAGATGACAAAATCACAAATGCATTTGAGAAACCCATGGTGGGAAGAAACAGTTTCTAGGGCCATAATATTCAATTGTTTACATTTCTTGTCCCATAAACCAAAACTGTTTAAAGGAAGTATCATTGTTAAACTCGAAAGGTACTACATTTTTTTCGTACGAATAACACCATCCTTCCATTCCTAACACCTATGTATTATTTGGTCAAAAGCGATATCCCGAAGCAGGAAAACAAGTAAAGAGCAGAAAACCAAAGCTGATTAAAAACATTGTAAAAACTTGGTGCATGATTCATGTAAATTGCACTCTAATACAGGGAAATGAATCACCTGTTTAGAAATTTCTTAACCATCCTTTGCTGACCTAGCATAATTCACCAGGACCTGCAGCAGAAACAGAGTGTTTAATTCCAGATCAGAAAACAAAGACTAATGTGTAGCATTTACGGAGATAAACCTATTGATGTGTCTCCATCATTATAATGACAAAAGAAACTGAATGCAATCCTGAGCTAAAATCTTCATAACTCAAATTGCTAATTTCACGAATAATTTCATGCCTCAATTTCATTTTTAAGAAAGTCACCAAAGCCTTCCCCAATGTTCAGCAAAGACTCGACCAAACCATTTCAATTTTTTTTTCCGATGAAATTCGTCATGCAAAAAGAAGAGTTATCATTTTTTCACTCCAGGGACACATTACATACATCATGATACCAAATTTTTTTGCGAAACCCTGGGTTGATTCTTCTGGAGTCTTAATTGACACCGGAAAGGAAATAGAATCAGTACCTGAGTGATGAATTATTTTCCAATGACAGTATGAAGGAGATCGAAGTCTATAACGCCAAGTTACTGAAGCTTTTGGAACAATGCGACAACATTTCGATCCGAAAAGCGCACGTTTGACTTCACCTGTTGAGCAAACTCGAATTGACGCTGCAATTCCAGCAATACATCATCCATCTTCCTCCCGTTCTCACCGGAATTTGAACCTCAGATCATATTTGATATCTTCGATACAAAGAATCGTTGGATTTTTTTTGCGTCAGTACTCAGATTCTTTCTCAAGAATTTTGATTATGTTCAGAAACCGTATTATCTTTCCTCAATTGAATTTACTGGTCAACCGTAAACCGGACCAACCGGTTTTATCTCGGTACACTTTAATAGTTTTGAAATTGAGGGTTTTGAAACTTAAAACCAAATAAGCCCTAAATCTTTAGAAAATCAGAGCGTTTCTTCTTTTCTCCTTTGTGGTTTAGTTCTTCTTCGCCGTAGCTGCATCTTCGCCGAGGATAATTTTCTAATCTGATTAGCTTTCTAGTCTTGTATCGCGAACACCCAAAAACCCTGCAGTATATTTCGATATACTAACTCGATTGTAAACTGAGCTAATCGTCACTTAAATCCATCATCCTCGTCTTCAAATCCCAATAAGAAGCAACCAATTCGAACGAGAAAACAAAAAAAAATAAAAAAATCAACGGGGTTTTATGCAATCAAACCACAAAATCGAGGACTCACAGTTCGATAACGGAGATCCATTTAAGAGTGGCGTAAACAGACTCTGGATCATCGGATCGGTGTAACTCTTTGACACATCGCACGACACGAGCGAAGGACTCTTTCTCCTTCTTCGTCTCCTCCGCTACAGGCGGAGGTAGCCATTCATTGTACAGATGCATCGCTTCTTCTCAGTCTCCGTCTTCGTCGTCTTCAAATTTCTGCAGATTGTTGTAGTTTCTCCTCTCCCCGACGCTGATTTTAAGCTGCCTTTGCTTTTTCAGTTTTTTTCTCTAGTTTTCTTTCCAAGAAGAATCTATTTGTCCAGTTAATGCCATCTTCTAAGCCAATTTTGAAGAAGAGTAAGAAGACAATCGTTAAAGAAGAGAAAGCACCGTGTACAAGTTTAGAAAGTGAGTTTGTATTCCATATTTATGCATTGGACTTTGCAGGATTTGATATTCCAGGAGCCTTGCTCTTTAGAACTCTCATCGGAAAGGTCAGCTATAATTTTGTGGAATTTATGGTGTTTAGGATTTTTTGTTATCATTTCTATTTTGAAGAAACTTTTTTTATAGTTTGTTTACTCATAGATATTTGGAAGCATAGGTTCTGTTGGGGGTGGCTTAGCCTTGGGGAAAGAAGGTCCCCTTGTACATACAGGTGCCTACATTGCATCGTTGCTTGGTCAGGTGAGCATCTGACCACCCTGTGATTCTGGCATAGAGATGAAAACTGAATTTTGCTTTTCTTAATACTCTGTCCTTTATCATTCTTCATGAAACTAATATTTTGTTTTTGTTGTTTCAGGGTGGATCTACAAAATATCATTTGAATTCTAGATGGCAGCAATTTTTTAAGAGTGATAGAGATCGTCGTGATCTTGTAAGTTCCTAGATGCTTCTTGTGAAAAATGCTATCTGATTTGTTTTCGTTTTAGATTAGGTTCAAATTTCTTGATAGATCTTTTCCTTAATTTTTTCAATGGCTTGAAAGGTCACTTGTGGATGTGCAGCTGGAGTTGCTGCCGCTTTTAGAGGAGGTCAAATCATGGTGGGTTCCTTCTCTCACATCCTATGTCCAAAGTGGCTGAATTTACTCTGTTCTTAGAAACAACAATGGAGGAACCTTTGTTGTCTATGCTGTAACATCCTTAGCAACTGGTGTCACTTGACAGCTTTGCACTGGTTTTTTACACTGTTCCGGATTTTAACAGTGTTTAAAGGGTGGGTGTCTGGTTTTGTCCTATTTTTCAGCACGAAACAAGTTTTGAGATTTGAGTTGTCAAAATTATCTTTGTTTTTCAGGTTTTTTTGGAGGCAGATGGTTATCAACCTTATCTTATATCTACAGAGAAAGGGTACAGATCGTTGATAAAGATTGTTCATTGCGTTGGGTAAAGACCAGGTTTAGTCATTGCGTTACCGTAGTTGATTTTTTTTTTTATTCCTAGTCTAAAAATCATTCATCCAGTTTCTCTGCTGTCAGATTTTTCTGTTACGCTAACATGGTCTTAATTTTTGATTAGGCTTTTGTCTGTTACACCAATTGTGATATTTTAAACACATATGGCCCATCTATTATGGGCTATTTTGTTTAGTCCTACACATTTATAATTAGAAGGTGAGCTTTTAAAAATAAAAGCTGACTCATATTAACGAAATGTTTTGATTGGAAGGGAAAAAAGCTGATGTGGCAGCTCGAGAAGAGCCTAAAATGCTGACGTGGCGATCATATGGAGAGAGTTCACCTCCTTTCATATATATGATTCCTTTTTCTTTTGGGGCATCGCATGATTCGCACCCGCTTTCTTTTTTTCCTTGTTCTATTATTTTTAAGTTCGTATATCCAAGAATTAGGTTTTGTATTATCTTGTATAAATTAAAAAAAGAAAAACGTGTGTGCCAAGAAAAAAAACTCCCAGCAGCCATGTCTCTGCTTCTCAGCCGCCTCTCGAAGCTCTCTTTCATGAAAACACCTGCACTCGTCGTAAGCTTCTCTTCTCCTCTCTCCAATGGCTTTGTGTTCTGTAATACTCCTTCTAATATCTGTGATTGTTCCTACGTTTGAATGTGTAACTTACTTAGCCATCTCTTTGGCCGTTTCCTGAAGAAACTTAGCATATTCTATTCTTGCAAGTAATTTCCTTTTCAAAGCTTCCTGTGCATTAATAAAAGAGCAACATCGGAAAGAGAGTCCCAGAAGGCAAGAAGGTAATAAATGAATGAGTAAAGCCTACACTCTGTTGAAACATACCTCTTCTTTCATCTTGTCCTGGAAAGTTGACGGTAGCATATTAGGGAAGAGCTTCAAGAAAACTGGCAGCAACAACTCCATAAACGGCACAAGGATGAACACAGAAAAGAAAATAGCACTAATCTAAAGATATCAACTGTTGTTCGAGTTAGCTGTTGCCTTTCTCTTCTGGAGAGACTCTTTCCACCAGCCAACTTGAGCAGCAATCTTGAACTGATTCTAGAGTCTGCCCAGAGTAATTTGGTCCCCAGCCAAAAATGTTTCAATGTTGATACAAACTCTTGTTTCCAGTGAGTGAGCTTTTTTGCCCAATCCGCCCTGTAGAAAACAGAAATTCAGTACACTACAAAAATCCATGCATTAATAAACCTGCTCGCGGAGGCAACAGCTCTTAAAGCAGGTCCTATCTTAAGAACAATTGCCCATGCCTCTGTACTATCAATCGAGCAACCTTTTTGGATTCTTGAAGACGTTTAGCTTTCGCTTTTGCTTTCACACTGCTCAGACTTTCAACAGCTTGATCACATTCCTCAGGAGATGCTTCTTTCCTGTTCTTAGCAAGCTCATCAACTTTTTTATCCAATTCTTCCGGTTTCTTAGCTGCAAATGTAGTAGCATTACGAATGGATAGGCTTACATATCTCATCCCCAGAGAAGGACCAACTTCTGAACTTCCATAACCAATGCCCGAGGAGTGAAACCCATGAAAGCTACGATTGAAATATCCGTTTCTAGAAAGCAATAGAAGACCATCTCTTTTTGTAAAGGACTTGTGTTCGGTCACACGTTTAGTTTCCACAGGAGGACGGTTAACACCAAAGTGGTAAGCATGTTAATGAACCGTCTGAGAGGAGTTTCCAATGGACTGAAAGCTCTGAATTGAGCGAGCATAAACATTCAAGTAATCGGAAATGATGCTCTTTCTCCTAACGCTCTTAACGCCATTTTGACAAAACCCTTGTTGTGCAAAGATGAATCACCTGGACATCTCCCAGATGAGAACAGTCCTTAGCCTGATCTATTTGGAAGAGGAAAATCGCTATCAAAATCTACGAGATAAGGAAACTGAAAGTAAGAAATTTCAGCTAACCCATTACTAAGAATCTGAACCGAAACAAAACCCAGACGATAAATCGAAATCGGTATGAGAAAAAAACACAATCTTTACCCAGAAAAATGAAGCGACGCAAGAAATTGAAATGCAAAACCCTTGATTTCAAAAAAGTACGAGGAATTCGAAGAAGATATGGTAGAAAAAAAGACAAAGTATAACTTAAAGTGAGAAAATCTGAAGATGACGAACGCTGTTTACCGGAGAAAGTGAATCACGCCGGAGAAATTTGAGAGGTTTTAGGGATGCGGCAAATAAATCGTGAAAAAGGGTTTTAGATTTTTCTGTTCTCTTTTTTTTTTGTCACTTTTGAGGACAGAATAAATAAAGATATTTTTCTCACACCTGAATGAGTGATTCTACACCATTGGATCAAATCTAGGTCTCAGATCTTTTCGATTGTAGCCACGTGGGCTAATCCTCGATCAGATGTTAGACCATCCGCAACGCAGGTCTCTTACAACATTTCTTAAGATTAAAATATTAAAAAGAAATAGAAAAAAAAGAGAGAGAACAAGAGGCGTACCTGATTTAAGGTATTTAAGCTACGTTTCTAAAGATTTCTCTTTTTCCCTTTCTCTGTCTTTTAGTGGCATGTTTTTTTTAATATTAAAATACAAATATTAAATTATAAGAAACTCAAAAATCTATGTTAACCGTTGAAGTTGCTCTTATACTTGAACTCCAAGCAGTGGCGGAGCTAGAAATTTATGTTTTGGGGGTCAAAATTTTTTTTTTAAATATAAGATAATACAATAAAAAATTTAATAATTTTTATTTGGTGTTTTGTAAAAACTGAAATAATATTAGGTGAGTATTTCTTTTATTTAAGGTAAATTATGAGTCTAAAATTTTAGTAAAAATCAAACTTTCAAATATTAATTAGACTATTTTTTCTTTCAAATTGCAATATTAATTTTGTATTGGGGTCAAAATTTATTATAAGTTGGGGTCATTAGAATTATTGCTAATGACATATAATGGATTTTTGAAAATTCATGGGGTCAACTGACCCCCCTATCAAACCCCTGCCTCCGCCACTGACCCCAAGGGCCAACAGTAGCAGGGAACCCAAGTTTCTTGACTTAGAAAAGCCAAAAACAAATCATGACTATTGAAGCAAAATAACTGGTTTTGAGTAATTCAAAATATACATCACATTGTTTTGTTTAATAAGTCATCTAGAAGACTTTCAAACAAATAAAGACTTCTTATAAGGGAAGAAAGAAGGGCTGAGAAATTAAAAAGATTTTTTCTGAGAGAGAGATCATCTTCTTTGATCAGACTAAAATGGAATTAGGAATAAGACTATCAAATAGAATTTCAATACATAAGTTAAAAAAAAAATCTTATATAAACATACCAATCTTACAAAATAAAACACTACAAGAAATTTAGCCATTGGTAGCACATTGAAAACGCTATTATATCGATTTGGTAGCGTTTTCATAAACGCTATGACATGAGGAGCTATAATAGCCCCACCCTATATGATAGCATTTTTTTGAATGCTACGCTAGATGAACCTATTATAGCGATAATCGTTTGCTATAGGATATATTTTCTTAGCACTTGTTTCGTGTTATTATGTACTCTTTCATGGCTTTGTTTTAGTGTCGTAAAATATTTTATAATGACACAGATAAAATGCCGTTAAATATTGTTTCGTTACATTGATGGCTGTCAAAATTGTGCACCTATATATTCACCATAATCGATTTTGGGATTCATAAAATCTATTGTGATACTTTGACAAGAAACAAAAATTCATAAAATACCAATGCTTTTCCATTAAAAATCCAAAGCATACAAAGTGAACTGATTAAAATCATGAACTCTAAAAGAGAACATGTAACCATCAAACCAAGTCACAAACAAAACACAAAGCCATGTCTTAAACAGAACGAGTTCTCAAACATAGCCGGCTAAACTTAAAAGCAATAAACATACTTCATCCATCAATTCAGAACAAGCAATTGACTTCACTCCTGAAAAAAAAAATATCTTAGCTTAGTATGACATATTTCCCCACATGTAAAATCAAAGTACGAGCAAATTAATAACTACAAAGCTCACCATTACCGGTATCACGTTGCGACAGTCAATGCAAGGGAAAATAATCATCTTAATATTTCTCCTTAAGCTGCAGCCACAGACCACACAAAATCCCAAGTACCTCTCTCATAACCAAGATCAGTTCTTTAGTAAAGTAAGATGAAAGCAAAAAAATAATGATAAACGTTAAACTCTCTTAATCCCTCATTAAACCTTTAACTATATATTGTTTTCACATACCTGTTAAGATGAACTCATGACTTTTCGACCATTATATGTTTTTACCCTTGAGCAAAACATAACAAACTCATAAGAATAACTCAAACACCAAACAAACACATTGAAATTCACATTAACAAGATTAAATAGTCATGTAATAAACCAATCAAGAACTTAAAGTCAGAAACAATGAAATCCACAAACAAGCCACATAATAAACCGATAAAAACTCATATTTGGAAAACTCCTGTTCATGAATAGAAATGACAATTCTATGCTGAATGTTCATGTTTAAAAGATTTGTAAAAGATTTGATGTACTGAATGTTACTATGATGATCAATTTATATAAACTTCTTTATTCAACAGTCAATATCAAAATATGATAATGGAAAATTGCAGATGACTCGGAAAAAAAATTGGATTGAAGGATTGATTTGACATATAATATGTCACATATTGATGAATAAAAAAGTTGGCTCGTGATTTAAAGCAAGTTCTTCAATGGGCCAAACCAAAAATTCTGTCTAAAAACATAAATCTCTAAACAGAAGAACTCAATTGGTGTCTATGTCTCTTTCATTACACAAAACAAACAAAAAATGGATCTCATAGAGAAACCAAACTCTCTTAATGAGAAACGTTAAACTCTCTTAATCCCTCATTAAACCCGTAACTATATATTGTTTTCACATACCTGTTAAGATGAACTCATGACTTTTCGACCATTATATGTTCTTACCTATTAGCAAAACATAACAAACCCATAAGAATAACTCAAATACCAAACAAACACATTGACATTCACATTAACACGATTAAACAGTCATGTAATAAACCAATCAATAACTTAAAGTCATAAACAATGAAACCCACAAATAAGACACATATAAACCAATAAAAAAACTCATATTTGGAGGTCGACTAACCGCCTTAAGCCTGTGAAGATTGGCTTTGTGAGTTAAAGTCGTCTTCACCCCAAAAAGAAATGAGTTAAAAGATTCTCTGTGACGGAAGCCGTTGTTAACGTCGTTAGAGCATCCCCAATGGTAGGGATCCTTAAAACATCCTTAAGAATTTTTTAATTGTAAATTTTGACAAATATAAAGTTAAGGATTTTCGTAGGGACTCTTAAAAATATTTATGTCCAATGGTAAGGATCTTAAGAAAAACACAAATTTGGTGTGTGGTATTTGAGTTTTGATTGCTTGAAAAGAAAGAAAGAGAAGATAAAGTATACAAGTTTTTGATACATTCTTGATAAACACATTTTGGATAACAAAGATTCATGACAATAATATGACAAAGTATACAAGATTCATTTGAAAACACATAAAAATAAAAAAAACTATACAAGAAAGAACATCATCTTCTTCTTGAAGATACTCAGCCTACACTTAGACACACGAACATGGCTAGGACTCTGTCTTGCAGTTCTTGAGGCACTGGTCTTCCTCTTCGTTGTTGTGGTGATGTGCTTGATGTGTGAACCAACGTTTTCCATCTGTTCTGCAAGAAATTACAAAGTTATTGGAGCCATGGGAGACGAATTGCTTCTCACCACACCAAAAGCATTGTACCGTTAGGACCACCCCATCTAGGAGGAAGTTCACCGTTTCTTGTAACAAGAAAAGGTTCTCCATCACCACCACTAGCCACACCATTCTCGTTTCATTATTCCTTTTATCTTTATCCATCTGAAATAACACAAACATACAACCATTTATGAACTGACCAGAGATCTTAATCACAAACCATGTCTTTAACGAGTAAAAGCATATAGCATACGAGAAACATAGATACAAAGTGCAGAAAGAACAAGAATCACAAGCGACACAACAGTGATGATATGTGATGATACAAACTGTGATGATACTAAAGCAAATCACTAAAGCAAAACATTAAAGCAAACAAAATCAGAAATCATATTTCCCTTAGTAGTTAGGCACAACACAGAGAGTAAGTGGTGATATTGAACTAAACTAGCATAGCATAACATATAGGCCACTGAGAATCAAAACCTAATATACCCATTTACGGAGATACAATGCATAGACGAAAGATGTTAAGCAATTGTATTAGCAGTTCCTAGATCTAAAGCCAATTTTGAAGAAGCTTGATATTTGAGAATCTCTAAAGACCCATAAATACAAACAAGCCAGTTTATTGTCGACCTGCGAATCGAATTCTGGCTATGCTGAGTCAAGCGAACCGGATTCGATGGCTCGAGGGGGACGACGACGGATCCACACAAAACTCTTCGGCTTTTCTGCTCCAATTTGATGGTCATGACGCCAGACGATGAAGATCGAGAAGTTTGCATCGTCTTTCGCCGTCAGAGTTTACAAGAAAGGAGAGAGAGAGAAATGAAATCGGGGAAGAAATTTTTTTTTTGTTTTCTCTGTTTACCAACCAATTAAATCGTGCCACGTATGCGTTTCTTACAATCAGAAAAAAAAACTAAACTAAGGAACGAACCTTTAACTGTTCTCACATTTTTGATTTATTTTTGGCCCATTTTCATAAGGACTCAGTCCTAAAATCTCTTAAGAAGTGTCCATTGGGCTTGCTCTTACTTTTACGTATTATATGAGCAAGTGTTTTTTTTTTTTTTTTTTTTTTTCCCTCATATGAGCAAGTGTTTAGCTCACAGTTTTATTATGCAAAAACTTATTCTCTGTAATTTTCTAGAAGTTTCTGGGTTGTTCCTCATCGTTTTGCCGGATTTCTTTCAAGGAATCTTGCAGGTGAGAAGTGGTGCCGCGTTTATCATGAACGTTGTAATCCATTTATCGTAATAATAATCGGAAGTTCTTTTACAATTTCTTACTCTGTTTTTACGTTATCATTGTTGTTGTGGTCTCCGATTTGATTCTGGTGAAAACAGCCAAACTAGCGTACTTCGCCGCCGTGTCAATATCTCCAACGAATCTGATCAAGTACGTGCCTCTCAAGCATAGCTGCGTAGGACGGAAATCTGGGTTTGACATTATGTCCTCCCCTCTTATTGACAGGGAGGTGGAGAAATGCCGACCAAGATTGAGGCGGCAGATCAGAGACATTATTCTTGCGTAGGCACAACGACGGTTGCTCTAGAGAAAAATTGAAAAAAAAATTACTAAAACGACGGCTAGGGGTTTTTTTGGGTTTAAATGTTAAGATTTTATAACTTCAAACGAAAAGAAAGTTTAGCTACCCATAAAAAAAGTGGAACGAACTTGACAGACAAAGAGAGTATAAAGGTAAAGAAATACAACCAAAGCGCAATCACAATCTCTATCGATCGATTATTTCGTCTCGTTTCTTTCCCGGCAAGGGAAGGCTAGGGTTTTGTCTTGATTGATCATTGGTACATTTATTTACAGATATCAAAATATTGATTCGAAATAATCTGTCTAAAAAAGACATAAAAAGAAATAGTTTCTTGTTTAATGACAAGACCAGTCCAAGTTATCTTAACCTGTTACCAAAAAAAAAAAGACCAGTCCAAGTTATCTTAACCTGTTACCAAAAAAAAAAAAAGACCAGTCCAAGTTACGCCCGCGACATTTCTTCCAGCTCGTTAATTTACACAACACTAGAGCTTTAACAACTTCATAAGTGTGCAAGAAGTATTTTGAATTGTACTTTTTTACCAAGAAACTAAAATCATAATTAAGTCACTCCATGGAGACTTTGAAGGCCATAAGCAACAATTTTTTTTTACGGTTTATTATTTGTAAAAAAAATTAAAAATGAAAAAAACAAAGATAACAGAGCGAGCAATGGGTTTCGAACTGGCCACTTGCTCATGTTGTAACACACTTCTAACCACTGGACTACTTCGAACATTATTATCATAAAATTTGGCCGAGTATATATATAATGGATTTAGGGCCGCACAAGATTTGGCCGGCTCTGTATATAGTTTACTTAATTTATTTACATTCGTGTTCAAAAAATCGCTAGGTGCTAGTCGCGCGGTGGGGTGGGTCTAGCACCTACCAAGAAAATTGGAAATTAAACGGAGATTAATTGGAGATTAGTTTTAGAGCTATTTAATGTTTTAAAACATAGTAATCTATTATAATTAAAAATTTTTATATAATATCGTTTTTAAAATTGCATTAAACTAATGAAAACAAGATTTTAAGCTCAAATTTATGATTTTTATACAAATTACGAATATAAGTAAGACGTTTTAAATTTTAGATAAAAAAAAAATTGGGCTAGGCGCCATCTAGGCGGGCTAGGCGGCCTACTTCCTACCGATTATGACAAAATCGCCGCGGTTTCCCTCCGATCAGCGCCTAGACGGCCGATTTTTAGAACAGGGGTTTAAATCATTAAAATTATAATAAAAAAAATAATCTAAAACACATAAATATATATATATATATATATATATATTTTAAAAAGAGATCTTTTCTAAAGTTCTAATTTCATCTATCCATCATCTTTTAAACGGTATATAAGGATTTTAAAATTAGGAAAAAAAACATGTTTGAGACTATTGATTGATAGAGTAACTTAATTAGTATTATAGTTTAAAACGAGAGGCTATTTTTTAACACTAATGAGTGACTTTTTACTTTCATTGTTGGTTTGCTTATTGACAAGTTCATGTCGTCTATGCTTGTTGATGAGTTTTGTGTTTTCTAACACATACATAGGTTTCTAATATGTCTATTTTTTTTTTTTTGGTTATCCCTTAAAATATAATGCAATTCACTTGGCCGTAATTTAATGGATCAATAAGTATATTGAATGTGCAAGTCTCTTAAGCAAATCAATATACAGTCTAATTAAGTGATTTTGTCTTCATTTGTTTTGGACTTTTGACATGTCTAATTAAGTGATTTTGTCTTGAGTCACATTAGTCCCAAGTGGTTTAGGTTAAGCTTTTGAGTGACAATATATAATATATGAAATAGTATCATACCTCCTAGATAGTTGTACACAACATGTACTATAGTGATCCACATTTAATTTTTTCTCTTGTTATCATTTTGTTTCTTTATGAAAAAGCTAGTAATTGGGGCCTATCTAATTTCAAGAAAAAAGATTCACCAAAATGACATTTTTTAAAAAATATCATTTCATATGCTTCATTGATTTTCAGATCAATACAACCGATCCAACCTCCTTAGCTTCACGTCTTCTGCGAGCTTCCCAAAAGTACCAGCACAAACTGCTAGTACAAAGTTTTGAAACCGAAATCTCCAAAAACACTAGGGATGACCTAAATAACAACACAACAATCTTTGATTAAATTTATGACTTAATTGAGATTGATCATATAAATATATAGACTGAAAATTTTTACCTTAACCACTTCGATTTTGTTTGAGATGAGATTTGAAGTGAGAGTTTTAATCATCAACACTCGTTTGGCGTTGACAAACTCTTCCTTCTCGAGCTTGTCATATGACTCCATCATCAAATTTGAGAGTTCCTTCATCAATGCTCCATCCTTCCCCTTCTCCTCTTCAAGCTCACCAAAGCTCATGGTTTTTAAGCTTAGGTTCTCAAGAGTTGTGCTTACTTCTTTGATCATCTCAACCGAATCAACCTTCTTGAGTTTGTTGGTGAGCAGTAAAAACTTTTTCTCCACGAACAACAATCTTTGATTAGATTTATTTAATATTAATTGAGATTCATACGAAGATATAGACTGAAATCACATGATTAGATTGCTAAGTCAAATTTTGTACAAACTTTGTTTTTGGTGAATATAATTTTGTGCTTAATTAACAATTTATTATTTTTAAATCTTAAACGTCACGGAAACTGGTAAAAGATAATCCCAATAAAAAAATGAATTAATAACAAAACCTATAAAATAGTATTATATGACTTAGACAGATACTGCAGTGTGCCTAATTGATCATTGGTATAAAATATATTTTTTATTGACATCAAATTGGTATATATATTTGCATATCCAGATATATATATATATATATATATATATATATATATATATATATATATATATATATATATATATATCAAACTATTGATTTTGGAATAATCTGTCGAAATAAATACATAAAAAAAAGTCATTCCTTGTTAATGAAAAGACCGGTAAGACATTTCTTCCAGCTGGTTAATTAACATCAACACTAGAGCTTTAACAACTTCATAAGTGTGCAAGAAGTATTTTGGAATGTACTACTTTTACCAATAAACTAAAATCATAATTAGGTCAGTTCATCAATTAATAGTCTTGATATATATATATGTGTCTATATAGTTTAGTTCATTTATGCATGTGTAAGTCAATTAGTGATACTAGGAAACAATGAATCTAAAACAAATAAAAGAAAGAAAGAATAAAAAAACAATTATACTTTAAACTTTAAAGATAAGTGTCTATATGAATTTAATTGATTATTTTTATTTTTATTTATTTTTGGGGTTAATGAAAAACAACTGTTTTGTTCAATTAGTATTGTACTAATCCCTATATATCAACCCACATATGTGATTTAGCTTTTCATAAATACATAATTTTTATTTATTTTTATCATTTCTTGTTTAGTTAGTGACAAGACATGTCTCTTGTTTAATGACAAATATTTATAAGATAATGTCCTTAAATCAGTTGAGACGTTTGACAAATTCATTTCAATTGTACTTTATAGCAAACTTTGATTGAAGGAGTCTAAAAATTAAATTTGGAAGCAAATAATACCAATTTCTAAATAAATACATAACTTCTCTAAATTTTTCAGGAGATGTTAAACAAATGATATTCAGCTAAATACATATCTCGTCATATCTTCCTTCACGTAGTTCTCTTTGGGACTCTCATCCCAAACCCACGCTTCAATTTCTCAATCCTACACCATCAACAAACCAACTAGATTACATAAATTTCTTTCTTGTGAAGAAAGAGCAAGGAACAAATATAGTGATGTAAAAAAGGCTTACGTTGGGGCTAGTTTCCCGAGGCAATCGAGCTTTTCACCGGTGTCTACATCTATGACTCTACCCGTGATGTCAACAATGTATGATCTATCTCTGTCTGGAGGAAGTTCTCTACCCGCAAGCAAGTCCAAATCTTTCCGGTGAAGCTCTCTTCCGTTGACAAACACTCCCGTTTCCACCTGAGCAGTTCTATGGCATTGGGTAGTTAAGCTCTTCTATGAATGGCTGCAACAAAAAGAATTCCGCCTTTTCAGTAAGATTCAGAAACATATTGACAAGAAGCAATATCAAAATGTGTTTACCGGTAATATTCCAAGACCTGGACCTCCCATTACTCTCCAGAATCCAGCTCTGTAATCATACCTAAAATGTTCCCAAAAACACATTAACAAGAGTCACGAAGAAGATGATCATAAAAAAAAGTGGAATCGAATTCTGCAATATCTACCAGTAGTTTCCTGGCTGAATGACTCCGGCTTGCTTCTCAGCTTTTCTCAGCAGACGTTCTGTTAAAGGATGTCCATTTATCGAAACATTGCTTTTGTTCCCTTCATCATTCTGAATAGATTTTGTCAGATCCTTGAAGCTTTTCTTCACAATGCTTGCGAATCCGCTCTTCTTGGCTCTTTGCTGCTGATCTTTAGATACTCCACTGTTACGATGAGAGTAGTCGTTGAAGTTAACTTCCATCTCACTTGCAAGTGAAACCTCTTTCATGGAGTTCTGTCTCATAGCTGTAGTCTTGCTCAGTGTGACCTTGTCGTGTTCTGAACGAGAGCTACGGCTGCCTGCTCCAGACCGGTCATGATTGATCGAAGAGTAATCAACAAAGTTATCGTGAAGAGGAGAATCTTGAGCTTGAGCTAGTGACTTAGCTGTTAGACTGTCTGAGCTTAGCTCGTCCTCGGAAAGGCTAGCAGAATGAGAATGAACGTGTTGCATATCTCGAGACTTGTCTGAAATCAATCCCGGAAGATCTCTTGGTTCATCATCCAACGAATGAAACACATAACCAAGAAGATCATAGTCATCAGAAGTGTAATCAGCAGCTACACGGGCTTCTCCTTGTCTCGTTGAAGCGGTGTTTGTCGAAAGAACGAATTTGTTATTAACAACAGATAAATCTATCAAACAAGAGCATGCTCCACATCGCACTTTCTGCTGTTTTTTTGTACCAGCCTCTGGTTTCTTTGGCAATTGTAGAAGCTCAAAACAGTTTTGACAGGTTATAAACGGAGCACCACCTGCCAAAGGGCGGATATGACGAGATCCACCTGATAATACAACTTTAGGAGGACGAATCCGCGAAAGAGAGTCCATTTGAGCATCACTGAAGTTACTAGGCCATCTGCCATGAGGCTGTAGACCACGAGAACCATAAGTTCTAGGATTATGCGGTGGAGCAAAACCCATAACGCTCTCATGAGGATAAAAACCGGCGTTATAGGGTGCATCAGGGATCACCGGTGCTGAACCTCGCCAGTATTTACTATCATAACACTGGTAACAAGAGCAAGATGAGTGATGAAAATGCCCGTTTTGCTGCGGGTATGCGTCAAAGAGGTCATGACCGTTGTTATTATTACCAACATATTGTCCCGAGAAGTAGGGATGAGATGGTTGCAGCGGATGAGGACCTCTTCCGTGTATAGGGAACCTATGAGGGTCTCCATAAGAGGGATGCATCAGACTATGGTGCATAGGGACTTCATTGTTGTTGTTGTACGGAAACTGCGGTTCAGGATGTTGATGGTAATAAGAAGGACCTCCAACAGCGTGATTTCCCGTACTGTGAAACCGCATTGGAGGCGCCTTGTTCAACCCTGAGGCAGACGAAGAACTAGGAACCTGTTCTTTAGACTTGTCAGTCGCCACATTGCAAGACTGAACAAGCTGTTCTTTGATCTTTTCTAACTGTCTCAGAAGTCCAGCTCGGTCTTGCTCGATTGCTTCATTGCTCTGGTCTTTCAAATGTTTCTGGAACTCATGGAGTGAATCTGGAAAGTAGTTAGCTGAAGAAGAAGTGCCTTCATCACAAGGATGCCTTGATGTGGATAATCTGTTGTTGACACTTTCAGAATCACATCTCTTAGTTGTTCTTTTCCTAAACCGATCCAAACCAGAGTCTTGTCTCCCCGATTGCGATTTAAGGTCATCTTTATCCCCTATTATAGATCTGTTACCTTGTTCTTTTGAACAAGGATCACTCTCAACATCAACAGGAACAACATTTTGGTGGTGTCTCAAAGAAACAGAATTTGATGGAACATCAGAGTCAGATGAAGTTTCACTAGAATCCACAATTGCTTTCTCTGGGGAACTAGTAGAGTTAGCTGAAATTGGTTTGGCTTTATCTTCAACGGACTTGACTGAAACAGAATCTGCTTCACGCTCCTTGATTTTGGCTGTATGTTAAACAAGTCTCTTTAGGCAAGCATAAGAAAAAGAAAAAGCTACTTAATTCGAATCAACAAAAACCAGATCGCTAATAGCATCAATAACAAGAACTTAAGAAAAGAGAAATTTATCTACATTGATTCCATCAAAAGCACACTCATCAAATCCTACAAATTGGGCATCTCTTGTTGAAACTCAAAAAGTGAATGAGAACTTACCTCGAAGAACGGTGAAGCAGCCACCACACTGGAAAAAGGGGGAATCTTCAGGCTCTGATAAGAGATTCTCGCATTTTGGGCAGCGAACTAGCCTTACTTTGGTCGAATCGGCCATTTCTTTTCAATCAAACGAACCCAGAAAACGTCTGATCTGACAGAGAAGATTACACAGAAATCAGAAGGAGAAGAAAGAATGAATTGTCAGTGAATGAATCACACAAAGAAAAATTCAGTTTTGAAGAAAGAGAGAAAAACTGAACCTTTTGCTCAGAGCTTTCTCTTTGATTGGGTTTAGCTTCTGGTTCTGCTACTGGATCCCTTCTTTTTTCTAGCTAGATTTTCTCGGGAAACCCAAACAGGAAGAAGGAGAAGTTCACAAAGACCAAAAGACAGAGGAAAATGCTGTCTGAGAAAAACTGTGGAGTAAAGGCAAGAAATTTGGTGGAATCTCTGTCTCTAATTCTAGTTTTGGTTAATGGTAGTTCTCGTGGACTTCGAAGTTTGGTCTTGTTGGGAGAAAATCTTTCTCTGGGGGGTTATGCTTTGTTTCTTCTGCAAATTTCGCTCCTTTTCACACGGCACAGAGTAACTAGTATAAAAGTATAAACATCTCTCTCTATCTCTCTCGGAAAAGAAATGACGTCGTTTTAGCAGCCACCAACATATATTAAAAACGAAGGCGTTTTTACAGTGAGCGTTTTTACTAGTAGTTGGTTGGTTTTCAATATTCCTTGCTGAGCTGTGACGCAACCACCACAATGGTCCGTATTTTCCCAACGGCGAAACTCTCAGTTCCGTCTGATTCTTCTATGCCGTTAGTAGTGTTTATACTGACGTGTACTTTTTCCATTTTCACCCTCTTTTTTAATTGTTATTGTTGTAAAATACGAAATGGTTGATTTTTATGTATTTGTTTCTTATATATTATCTCTTTTCAGTGAGCATTAGTGGATAAAGACCAACACAGTGGAGAATTACTATATTATGAAGAAAATAAATAAGTTGGGGAATTTTGCTTTTGAATTTGCTTTTGCTTTTATAACAACCATATATAAATAATAGCTTTTCTTTATAGCTTCTATGTCAGCGACCACTGAGGTAAAAAGAAAAGCAGGGTTTTGGCCTTTGTTAAAAGATGTGACAGAATAAAGATATATAGCATTCATAAATTACATGAAAACAAAATGGCAGAGAAAATAATAACAGAGTAAAGAAAATGAATTGGCAACAAAAAAGAGAGAGGAAATATTCGTAAATTAAAAGGTCAAAGAAGACGAACGTTAAATTTAAAGTGGTCCATGTGTACAATAGTGGAGCCCAATGCCACACCAAACGACCCAACCCATCGAAGCTTCACCACATTTTCTTTCTCGTGTGTGTTTCTTTTGACTGTTTTCTAACTCTTTTTTATGACTTTCACTTTAAGAAATTGGATCTTTATCTTACTATTAAGTGTTAATCACAGATGAAGAAGCAATTTAGGTGGAGCATTTTACAGATTTTATTTATGTAATCTTTTACTTTGATCTTAACAAAATTGCTTCTTTGGTAATACATAATTAAATTTGTGAACTTTAAAATGAAAATGTGGAGCCCATAAAAAGATCTCTGAAGTGGATGGAGAACCATAGAAACCAGAGACTTAACTGCTTTTTTGAGACAACAATTGGTAATGGATTATGCAATAATAGCTATTGGTCTGTTTCGCATTGATTTTACACTTTCTTGTGATTTTAATTATTGTGATTTGTTCCTTTTTTTCTTTCTTCAACAGCCTTTGTACTTATGATGTGAATTGGAGTGTTTCAAAACAAAATACTATATGTAGTATATTTTTATTTTACATTGGATAATACATGGTATATTATATAAATTATATAGATGAGCAGAATCAACAGATGGAATTCATAAGTTTATAACGATTTAGATGGAGAGAATCAAGCTTCTGAAGATGCTCGTTGAAAGCTTTAATACCTTATTGAGAAAGCATTTTATGTTGTAACGGCTAAACTATATAACTCAACATGAAAAAAGCAAATTCTAACGGAAACAAAATAGCCTTTAAGTCTTTAACTCTGTTCAAATTTTGATCATTTAGATGAGCCGTAACAGGCTTTAACCAATAAGCCCATCTGCGCATACTCAACAGTCAACACTTTTTCAAGAGTAACAAATTACACAAATTTACCGAGTTCCCAAGACCTAAATCATTGACTCAGTCAATAATCATTGACTCAGTCAATAATCATTTGCATGTTGGAATATTGTCAGAAGAATCATGGAAATTTCAAAGCTATTGTACAATACAGGGGCGGATCTACCTTAGCCTACATGGGGGCAGCTGCCACCCCTAAATATTTGAAATCTTTTGAGAATTATAAGGAATTAATTTTATTGCCCCCAATAAAAAATCTCTTTTGCCCCCGTTAAATTTATGTTTTCCTAAAATCTCTCTTCACGTTAACTAAAAAAGGGTAATGAATATTGCATATCTCTTATCCCCTATAATTTAGCTAAATAGTAAATTCCTTACAAATTTAAATTCAAATGTGACAACGTAATCTAAATGCATATACCATACCATACCATACCATACCATACCATACCATTTTTAAACGTAATGTTTAAAAATTTGGTCTCTTCCCAATAGATTTAGTGGTTTATAGTTATGACGATAATTGGTTACTCTATAATATTTATATGTGTTGTATACTTGTATTCCAAATATTTGTTTTTTTCTATAAAACATTAATAGAAAATCTAGTAAATTTAAAATTTAAATCAAACTAAAAATGACAATTCAAAATCTCTAGTTTTTCGTATTGCTCTTTGATTTATTTAAAGTTAAATAATTTTTAATAAAAATAATATTAATTTAAATTTTTATTATATAGTATAATGAATTAAATATATCATAAATAACATGAAAAAACTATATTAAATTTTTTTTGTATTTATTATATATATATATATTTACATAAAATATAATATATTTATAAATATATCGTTCGCCCCCTCTAAAAAAAATTCCTGGATCCGCCACTGGTACAATATACACATTGCTTCACATGTTTTGTCCTTTGTTATTCACTTGTGTTTTGTTTTCTATCAAGTTCACATTTTTCAACTGACACTTCATGAACTGTTAGTATAATGGCAATTGCTAAACGACTCCTATATTATTATATCGCTATATATATCTCATATTTCCCAATGTAAACGCTGATTGCATGTTGATCCACGTTTCACTCTTTGCCTAAACGTTTCAGAGCTTCCAATGTATGATGTGATGGGTATTAAATCCACGAAAATTCTTCTTCTTAAACTAATTACTGTGCATTTAATCCATAATTCAATAAAATGTATTTCCCGTTTCATTACAGTTTATTCGATTAAATTTTTCAAATTAAACATGAACAAGTAATTAATTGTTATTTTACGATGCAGCAAAAAAATAAAACAAGGAGATGTGAAAATTACATCTTCGAAGAACTAGATCTTGTTGTAGGAATCCTTATCTTAGAGAAGATCCGACAAAACATCTTCTTCTTCTTGTTGTAATTATCGACGGTGTTTTTCTTTCTCTTCCACCATTTGGTTCCAAAAGCACTGCACAATAATTTACCAGTCGTCGAATCAGAGGAACAACACAGATCAACGACGGTGCTGGCCGCACGATTGGCCTTTTCCTCCAGATCAGACGGTGTTCGAGAACAGCAAACTTTTCCGGCGCCGGCAAGAGAAGGGAGAGACATGAAATGGCGTTCGATGATGTGAGTAAGAGAGACGAGCTCGTAGGAATCATAGAGTGGACTTCCACAATCCCATAGTATACGATCATCGTCAACAACCATATTCTTCGTCTTCTCTGTGGTGTTTTTCATGAATGATGTTTGTGTAGTTAAGTGTGTTTCTCGATGTGGATTTCTGACAGTGAGTGTGTGTCTTTTATTGAAAGTGTTTTTAAGGTTTTTGTTTTCTTCCTCTAGTTTTTGTTTTTTGGTCGTATGGACTTATAACATCCAAGCTGGCGGATTTGTTTGTGTGTTTTGACGATTAATTACTTTTAATGGAGATTTTTTTCTTCCTACTGTTTAAAAAATTCTGAATAGGAGAAAATATATACACAATCAAATCACAAACTGATTTTTATTTTTATTTTTACCAATTCAATTCATGTCAATTTAGCCAATTCAAGCTAAATTTTGAATTAATGTAGCTAAATATTGAAAACAAGTATTCTCGGTATATTTGTTTAGTTTTTACCATTTTCCGTATATGTTATATGGTTTTAGAAACTTTAGTAAACCAATTAAAAATCCAATCATGTATTTCTTCTTATGAGATTGGTTAGACAAAGACTTGAACGAAATAGATGTGACCAAATTTAGTTCACTTTCTCAATATAATATATCATTCACGCATATATCAAAAGAGGAAGAATAGGTAAAAGTTATTATTCGCTCCACCTGCAAAATTCTTTCTTTAAGATTCAATGGGCTGACAAAATATAAAGATGGGCCGATAATAGGCCCAATGTGAGTAAGCACACGTTAGCAACTAGCTGAGAGAGAGAGTTATTAGGCTTGGTTTAGGCTAATCTATGCAAAAAATTATCTTCTCCGTTGCGCAATTGGGATCGACTTTTTAAAAAGGTATCCGCGCCAGAGCTAATTTAATCATTTCCATTTCTTCTTCATCATCATCAATCAATCTTCCTCACAGTCTCGAAACCCTAGTTTCTTTTTACCCAACCAACAAAGGAAGGAAGAAGATATGCCGAGAGAGATTATTACGCTTCAGGTTGGACAATGTGGGAATCAGATCGGTATGGAGTTCTGGAAACAGCTTTGCCTCGAGCACGGTATCAGTAAAGATGGTATTCTCGAGGACTTCGCTACTCAGGTCCTTCTTCTTCTTCTTCTGAACCAATGCTCTCTCTTTATGTAATTAATTGTCTACTTGAATTTTTTAGGTCTGATTGCTTCGAAATCGTTGTTTCTGGGTTTCTATTAATCGACAATTGAATACCATTGTGATTTGTTTAATCCTTTAAATTAAGATTACTGATAAGAGTAGCTTTGCGTTTTTGAATTGATGTTTGTGAAGGGAGGTGATAGAAAAGATGTGTTTTTTTACCAAGCGGATGACCAACACTATATTCCACGAGCTCTCCTCATTGATTTGGAGCCTAGAGTCATCAATGGTATTCAGAATGGTGATTACCGCAATCTCTATAATCATGAGAATATCTTCGTTGCTGACCATGGTGGTGGTGCTGGTAATAACTGGGCCAGTGGTTATCACCAGGGGAAAGGTGTTGAAGAGGAAATCATGGACATGATTGATCGAGAAGCTGATGGAAGTGACAGCCTTGAGGGTTTTGTTCTTTGCCACTCTATTGCTGGAGGCACTGGCTCAGGTTTTCAATCTTTTTTGCCAATCCACTATCTTAATTTAGCTTATGTTTATTCACTGAATGACTTTTATTTTTGTTTTTCACATCAAGGTATGGGATCTTATTTATTGGAGACTTTGAATGATCGCTATAGCAAGAAGTTGGTTCAGACATACAGTGTATTTCCCAATCAGATGGAAACGAGTGATGTAGTTGTCCAGCCATACAACTCACTGTTGACGCTTAAGCGGCTTACGTTAAATGCTGATTGTGTTGTTGTCCTTGACAACACTGCTTTGGGAAGGATAGCTGTGGAGCGTCTACATCTGACCAATCCTACCTTTGCTCAAACGAATTCTCTTGTGTCAACTGTGATGTCTGCTAGCACAACAACACTGCGTTATCCAGGATACATGAATAACGACTTGGTTGGCTTGCTTGCATCTTTGATCCCAACACCAAGGTGTCACTTCCTCATGACAGGATATACACCATTGACTGTTGAGCGCCAGGTAAGATATCTCAATGGCTTTAATCACTGAGACCATCAATCACAAAATATTTTTATGGGAAGCTACCGTTATATCTTGAACATGAATTCTACAGTGTGCAAATGTTCCATTTTATCGATTTCCTGCTCTCTTAACTGAATTGTTCTTTGCAGGCAAATGTCATCCGTAAAACTACTGTGCTGGATGTTATGAGAAGACTTCTACAGGTGAGCTGTTTGCTTTCTCCATTTTTTTTTTGGAAACTTGAAGCAGATGCTTTTCTAACATGATTGTCTTCACAGACAAAAAATATCATGGTTTCGTCTTATGCTAGAAACAAAGAAGCTAGTCAGGCAAAGTACATATCAATATTGAATATAATTCAAGGAGAAGTCGATCCCACTCAGGTACTTTTACCTAGCAGGCACATTGAGGATGAATTGGTTAATTATTTCTTGCTGCTGTAATCTGCTCTGTTGTTTCACTACTTGATACCAGGTGCATGAGAGTTTGCAGAGGATACGAGAAAGAAAGCTTGTTAATTTCATTGAGTGGGGACCTGCAAGCATACAGGTTCTAACCTAATTGCGTCTGCAAATTAGTTATTGCTTTTGGCTTGACCATGGACTTGCATCATAATTTTTTGCATATCTTACTCTCAACAGGTTGCTCTTTCCAAGAAGTCCCCATATGTTCAAACTGCCCATAGGGTAATCTTATATCACTCTATATATATCTGTCATACTGGGAGTTGCTACTCCTTACAGTTAATGTCTTAGGCTGATGGTTCCTGCTTTAGAAGATTCAAGGAAGACTCTTACTTTGGTGGTGTATTTGATATTTCAGGTCAGTGGTCTTATGTTAGCAAGCCACACTAGTATCAGGCACCTATTCAGCAAATGTTTGAGCCAATATGATAAATTGAGGAAGAAGCAAGCTTTTCTTGACAATTACCGGAAGTTTCCCATGTTTGCTGTAAGTTGACTGCTCGAATATATTGCCTTTGTTTGGCTAGTGTTTAGTGCAACCCTCCCAGCTTTGACAGTTGTACATGTTGGTATGGGCAGGACAATGATCTTTCAGAGTTTGATGAATCAAGGGACATAATTGAGAGTTTGGTAGATGAATATAAGGCCTGTGAGTCACCAGATTACATCAAATGGGGAATGGAGGTATATAAGCTTTTCCCATCTATAGTCTTATTTATGGATGAACTCGAAATGATAACTGTATATGTGTCTGTCTCAGGACCCTGAACAGCTTATGACTGGTGAAGGCAATGCTTCAGGAGTTGTTGATCCTAAGTTGGCGTTCTGATTATTAAATAAAAACAAAAACCAGAGTAAGTCGCATGATGTTTCACATTTAACTGAGATATTTCAGGAGGTCATCATAGGTTTACTTTATAATAGGTTTTGGTAGGAGCAGTAGTAAGTGTTGACACGTAAAACCTTGATATAGTGTTATGATGTGGATGAGTTTGAATCTGTGAGATGAATGTGTGTTTCCTGGGATTGAGAGCACATAAAGTTGCATCTCCTCAGGAGAAGGAATCTTGAATTGTATCTTTTTTTATGGGTGTTTTAGCTCATGTCTCTGTGATCTCAGTCTCATGTTCTCCATGTGTGGTCAAAAGACTCGAAAACTCTAGAAAGGAAGAAGCATGTAGTGTTGATGAAGGAATTGGGTTCAATGGATTCTATTTTCTTGGTATATATATGCTCATCTAAACTTATACTAGTGTGTTGATTGCTTAGTGGATTCTATCGGTCAACTCTCGTTTGACTGTTTTTTGCATACGACGTCGTTCTGGATGCAAATCAAACTTGACCAACAAAAAAATCATATTTTAAAAAAATCTTATGCAAGTTGAAGTGAATTTGCTTACTATATAACAATTTTAAATTTTGTGGACCCCACATTTTATAATAGTGTGATTAGGCAACAAATTACACTAATGATTTCCGAGAAGTCGTTTGACGGAGTATTTGAAAATTAATAAGCAAATGCTAATGTTGACAAAAAAAACTCGTTTTAAACGATAAACAATCCGACATCCACTGCAAATAATTTGACCATATGAGTATGCTTTAGATATCGAAATTATGTTGCTTTGTTTATTAGCCAAGTGTTTATCTTTCTTCTTATTAAACTAAGCATAATCTTACCAGTAAAAAACAAAATCTGACGATGGACCTATAACAACATTTACTTACTAGCCGTTACATATGTTTCACTCAAATAATATTTTGACAAAGAAATTTACAATTGAATAATAATTTGTTTTTATTCTCGTATTAATAATAAAACCAAAAAAAAAAATGTAAAAGTAAAAGTAAAGAACTGAAAAAGGGAGAATCTCATCATATCACATGGCCTCTATGTAACTAAATTATTCCACCTCCAATGTATTTCTGGTCCCTAACTATAAACATCTTTTGTTGTTTGGCATATGATATTTAATTATTTGTTAATAGATAATGATGCTAGTAGTATAGTAGTACCATATTTAAATTTTAGAGAAATGTTTGTGGAGACTGGAGAGTGAAAATACAGTTTATTTTTACATAAATATGTAGAAAGGTTTTGAAAGTAGTGAGGATAAGTTTTCCTGTTAAAATATAGTAGACTAATTATATGAGTTTTGGAACAAAAACATAGACTATCTTGTTAATTAAAGCGTGTTATATTAGGGAAAGAAATGGGAGATGCACACACATATGGCAACATTTAAACGTCAGATTCGTGTGTCAAAAGAGTAAGAATCCTGGCTCTTAAGCATGCGTAAAAATGTTAACATTTTGAAAGAATAAAATCCACCTCTGTTTAATAAAACGAAAGAGCTTTAGCCATACTCAACGCGTAAATTATTATTATGTAAATAAATTCCAATTCCATTGTTGAGGGAATAAAAATCAAACGAACCAACTAGGAACGGTCAATTAGAAAATTCAGCCAGGTAAATGACACATGTCAGTTAACTTAATTGAACAATTAAAAGAAAATTCTACAGTGGATTACCGGCTATACCCGGTAAACAGTCAATTACTTATGTCCTATAAAAACGCGTTCGGCAATTAGATCATCTCTGTTCTTAAGAGGGTTTTTGGTTCTCCGTCTCGTTCGTCGTCTCTCTCGCCGGAGTTCTTCATTCAGATTTCTTCATCTGTAAAATCTAGAGATGGCGTCCGTTACCGTAATCGCCTTCTTCGCTTTCGTTTTCGCCGTCATCTCTCCATTCGCCGGCGCTCAATCCTTCGCTCCTGCTCCTTCTCCCACAAGCGACGGTAAAGTTTTCCGATTTCACATTCTCTCACCAGATCTGATTGTCAAAAGTATACTCAAAGATTCCTCCAAATTTCCCTCTATTCACAGTTCGATTAATTTTGTATAATTTGGGGAAAATGAATGATAAACAGGAACATCGATTGATCAAGGAATCGCGTATTTGCTAATGGTGGTGGCGTTGGTGCTGACGTATCTCATCCATCCTCTTGATGCATCTTCTTCCTACACCTTCTTCTAATCTTTTGTAGTATATCATAATTTGAGTTATATAATTCAGAGTTTATGAGTTCTTCTTTCCCGTTTCAACTTTACTATTTTCAGTGAACATTTCGCTAATATCAAGAAATTAGAGGATACCATATTGTTATTTGTTATTTTTAGATTTTCCTTAAAGATTTGTTTATTAATTTATGTTGCCTATAATCTTTTGTTTATTGTAGACGTACCCCCTTTAATTAGACAAAAACACTTTGAATGACACGCATTTTAGATACCGCGCCTTGTCAGTGATCTGGGCCTTATATGGGCCAAAAGTTTTACGTTGTTGAAATGAGCCCATTTACATTATACCAATTACCAAGTGAGCTAACTCTCTTGTGTACTTGAGAGTTGAGACCAAAGTTTTGATTGTGATTTCAAAACCCAAGTCTAAATTGAACCGGATTTCAATTAAAGGTTCTGATAACAAATATTGTAAATTACTCTGAAGATTTTTAACCCAAGTTTTTATATTTATATTGAATATGGTGTATTTGAGAAAAAAGATATTCTATTTCAACAAGAACGAACCAGCCTAGCAACATTATTCATTTTTAATACTTTCATAAAAGCTCTTATTAATGACCCAATTTGAAACATAAATGAGAGTGACACATGCTTTATTTCATTCTTCTTCTTGACCTAAAACAAAAAGAAAAAAGAAACAGGAGTAGAATAAACGGTATGAAATTTGGAAAGGTGTCTTGAGAGCGTTGAAAGAGATCTAGTTGGGGCCCGTAGTAGATTAGATTTGTGGCCAGTGGCCAACTTGCTTCACCTCTCAATCTTTTGTGGCCCAATCTTTGACTAGTTCCTTGTGCACTATATATGGGCTTATTAGACCCACTCTTTATATTATTACTCATCTTAATTTAATATTTGTCGTTCCATAGGAGATTTACAATTTAATATTTATGTAGTTCTAATTCAGTTTGAATGGTTTTATTTTTATTCAGTTACTCGAAATTTAAACTGAAATAACTATCAAGATTCAGATCATAATCATTTTAGTCAAATTAAAACATATTAAAGCTAAATTTTATTTTATTTTTGAATGAAACTAAGGTTTTCCTTTCGTTTTAATATTAGATATTTAGATATGTTGCTTTATCTATATTGTAATATTTCCTATTGAAAACTCTTCGAAATTTAAAAGTTAAATCTCGAACGAGTATATTATCCACCCAGTTTGAATTGAAATGCAGAAACATAATTGGGTCACCGCTCATAATAATATTTGAATTTTTAATTATTATTAGTTTTATTTCTTGAATCTTGTTCCCCTTAATTTGTTTTGCTTCATATGGTCGGTCCAAGCTGCAGGCATTAAATGCTCCGATGCTTTACATGTGTGTTGCAAGTGGTTCTGAGTATGTGATCAATCTCTATGTTTTGTTTCTTTGCATATTCTTTGGGATTCCACGATTCTACTGGTAATTTAGATTTAATCATGTTCATCATCCAGTCTATATATAACCACAAATACAAATAAATGGATTCGCAATTCTTTTTATCTTTTTGCCCAAAAATGGTATATAGGACATTCGATATTGAATCATTGATGTGATTTTTATCTTCAATTCATCTTCTTCCTTTTTTTTATTGTTGCGGTCAGTACTTGTACCAGAGTAACTGTCTCTAACTTCGAACACAAGATATACACATCTTTGTTTTTTTTTTTTTTCACAACATATGTATTTTTTAAATGTAAAGGTTTTTGAAAAAAAACATGAATGTGACCAGGAAGCTTCTGAATGAGTAGTTTCCCACTCGAGAAGCCAAAACCATGGGGTCCAATATCAAATGCTGCAAAAGATAGTAAATTATCGAATTGGTCAAAATATTGACCTTCAAAGGACCAAACTGTTTGTGTTACTCTCTTTAGTTTTTTTTTTCTTGATTTTCTATAGCGTGAGGAAAATAAATATTTTAGTTTTCTTATAGGGAGGAAATATTTTATTCCAAATCATTATTTGGTAATTAGTGGGGGAGGGAATGTATTAAACTATATAAATAAAAATAGAGTGGAGACAAAGAATAAGATCAACGAGACAAGGTCGTGAGGAGATTTCAAATTTATTGGAAGACTCACGTGTATAGTAGCTAGATAATCCAATTCTTTAATTATAAGTTTTTTTTTTCCTTCTTTTTGGAAGGGCCAAATCATGTCATTTACCTCATGTATAGAGAACCGGCATTTTTAGGGGTGTTAAGAATTAAGATGGCCGATTTTTTTTTGTTAAGAGAAGCAAAAGTTAGTTCTTAATTATTTTTTACTAAATAGGGATTCTTGAAGTATATATGTATTCTCAGTTTTCATTATAACTCTACATAAACTTATAATGGTTTATATTGAACTAAAAATTCGATGAATGAGGCCATGGACCTTAGATCTCTAGAGATTTGTCCCATCCACTTGGATGGACCATGGTACAAAACAGAAAACAGCCATTTAATTAGAAGACAACACACTTTGTCCTTCGAAATTGATATATACCAAACTCTATTGTCTTTCTATACGTAGACCTCGACCAATTTTGACAGAATGCAAATGTATATACATGTTTATTGTATCTCATAGATATGTGTATATATGAAAAAGGTAGAAGTACTTGGTTATCTTTTATGGTGAATTTGAAAACGTGAAGGATGTTTTTATGAGTGTAGACACAATTGGTAGGGTTAATATAGGATGCAGTGGTTTGGTTCTTCACATGAATGGGCTTTGTTACTTAAGTGGAAGAAAACAACAGCAGACACGAGAACATGTCTCTCGGCGATACCTTGAATCTTCACTTCACTCCACACCCACTCAAATCTATACGAGGATAATCAGTTAAATTTTGACCATATATATTATCAGTTTAACCCATTTAGAATTTGAATTCGAATTCGAATTTAATCTTATGTTTGGAGTAAAGAAAGAACTGATAAATGCTCGTTAACGTAGATAGGATCACCATAGTTTATTTGTCATAACAAAACAACAATTGCATATGCAAAAAAAAAAAAGGTGTTGGTGCATGGTGAATACTATTTAAACATGATTTTATTTATATTTTACAGTATTATGTATATATATTTATCTCTAATCAGAAAAGATGAAAATCAATTAAATGATACAAATCATTCATTCATAATATAATTAGTCTAGATCATGACTTTTCTGGCATTTCCAAGACTTTTCTGTCATTCTATTTGATTTATCTTTTGAAATGTGTTTTTTGGTCGCATAAACGAAATATAATTTCATAGGAATAATATATACACTTAATAAATAATTATAGACACAGAAACACATTTATATACTGCTTCCTACCGTTGAGACAATCTCAGAGTGAGGAACCAAAAAACGAAAGTCTTAAAAGGTCAAAACCTTGATAAACATTAACATACTTATCTTCTTAACTAAAATATTTACCACAAATAAATTAAACAAAACTCTAGTTATTAGTTTTTTTTTGCGCTTCAGTTGATCTGAACAGTCCACGTCATTCAGACGAAAACGGTAAGCCGACGGTCACGATGCATCCACGTCATCATCACCACAAAAAAATCCCCGAAAGAAGTTGAAACATTTCAAAGTAGAGATTTTTAATCGAAAGAGTGATGATGATGATGGTCGAAGAAATTATCCACATCCCATGAAGAAGACTCGAAATCATCAATCAAACTAAACGAGAAATCTTCGGATTCGTTTTCTCCTTGTTTCGAAATCTCTGTGTTTGGTAACGTTGATTGGATTTTGATTTCTTCATCAAGAAACAGAAGGTCAGGGGCAATTTCGGTATCCCAAAAACATTCGCCGGTGAGAGATAAATCCGGTAACAGATACGGATCCGGGAACACCAAACTCACCGACGATTTTTCTTCTTCTTCTTTTAAAACCGTCGACTTTCTCTCCGGAGATAGCTCGATCGGTTCAATCTCATGCTCTGTTTCCTCGTTGACGTTGAATCCAAGAACAGAGGTTGGAGAACGAAGGCTCTGGCGAGAATCTCTACCGGAATCGCAGGCGGAAACCGTTTGGAGATCAATAACCGGCGTCGGCGTCGTCGTCGTCGGCGGAGTTAGAAAATTCGTCAGTGCTTTATGTCCTTTGAGATGAATCGCGGCTCTATCGTAAGCTATAGCAGCTTCCTCCGCCGTGACAAAAGTCCCAAGCCAAATCCGAGTACGGCTCGACGGATCTCTTATCTCCGCCGCGAATTTTCCCCAAGGTCTCTGTCTCACGCCTCTGTACTTCTTAGGCTTCACCGACGTCGACACGTCATCAACAACCACGGCTTTCTCCGCCTTGTGCTTAGCTTTCCTCGCCGCGGTGGACGAAGACTCACCTTGACAGAATCTTATCTCCTCCACGTATCGTTTCACTCTTGGAGCCACCGTGACGTTGTTGTCGTCGTCGTCGCTAGACGAGTCAGTAGCGAAAGGGTCAGTAACAGTGATACGGACCAGTCTTGGAGAGCCGTTAGATGGTTTAGCTGCTACGTTTGTGACCGTACGATGCTCTGTGAACTTGACTCTTCTCGTTCGTCTCTCCATAGATAGAGAGAGTTAAAAAGAGAGTTTTTTCACTGTTTTGAATTTGCAGAGAGAAAGAGAGAGAGAGAAGAAGAGTCCAAAGGTTAAAGAAGAATCGCCGTTTCTCAGGAACATCCTTCTTAAATACTATTAAGTCATAACTATTTTTGGAGATTTTTATTTATTGTGATTTTTTCTATATAGTTTACTGTGTCTTTTTGTTTTGTTTGACTAGTAGTAGTTAATTAGATTTTAACTGTTACAGAGAAATTGATGCGTTTTGAAACCGGTTTAACACTATTCATATGATATGTGAGTATGACCCAATCAAAACGCATTCAATCTTGTAACTAAACGTATCTTAAAATATTGTTGGTGAGAATGACAGAATTTATTCAATCCGGTTAAGGTAGTTTTATAAACCGGTTTAACCGGGAATTAGATTTGGATTTAATGTAAAGGAGACAGAAGAGGGAGGAGGATTAAGGCGGTTTCGTGGCGGCCAATGGGGGATCCAGAAACGGCTTTCCGCATCTCTGATTGAGACGTTAGATTTCTGACACGTGGTAGTTACCGTACCGAAAGTAGAGCCAATTGTCCTACTCTATAGCTTGGTCTCCAAGCAACTTTCCACTCTCTTACGCGCGGTCTGTTTTACGTTTGCTTCACGCGAGGGCTAGTGGATCCCACTCATGCGAGATTGGTCACGAGTATGTGTCACTTCGCATTGACCCAATATGGACATTGTGAAGTTTAATGGTAATGAATCTAACGATGTGTTTGAAAGATTAATAAAATCTCGTCTTAATTTTAAAATTGTATATTTTTAAAAAGGGAAATTATGATCTTTTGCTTGGAGACCAAGTCTCTTATCAGAAACTTTATTAGAAAGAGCTATTAAAAAGGTAACTACATTAGATTTCCATAGTTAATGGTTGAGCTTTGACTAGATTTGGTCCTAAAATAATAATTTTAAAATAAGCTTACATTTTTCTTATATCAATAATACTAGTAATATTTTTGAACCTTATATAACCTACACGAATTCACTTAAAAAGATAAATGTGATTTTAAGGCTTTCTTTTACGTGGGATTAGTCGTGTACTCTAGTTAAAAGTTAGACCTTTAAATATAACAGTCGGTTGATAACATTATAATAGTCATTGGAACATTAAATTGCATGACATTCGTTAGAACCATAGTCGTAGTAGGTACTAGTAACTAGGTAGAGAGTGGTCTCTCTTAAATTGTCTAATATGGTTTTGTATACTTTTTAATACAAACATACAGAGAACAATAGAAGCAAACCTTAGTAAATAATTCCATCATCTGCTCCGTCACGAACCCGTCATTTTCATATACATCACTTTGCATTTCATTTGTCGGCATTGCACACGTAACTCCCGACACGTTGATACTACTATCAGCAAATTGAAATTAATCTAGATACTAATACATACTAAAATAAAATAAAACAGAGTCAACAAGAAAAGCCTAGATTAAAAAAAAAAGAGAGTCCTTTTTGAGCTATACTTTTGAAGGGATCTCACTCTTAATTCTCATTGCAAGCGAATTACCATTCGCTCGGGCTTCATAAACTAGAAATTAAAAAATTTATATCTGTGCTTTTACGTTTTTACCCTTAAAATCTCACTTAATTCACCAAAAGGAACCAAAAAGCCCTAATCTTTAGGTTGTCGACACTCTGTTCAGTTCTCTTGACGCCGTCCATCACCCTCCGTCATATCGCCGCCGCAAATACAGACAGAGGTGAATCTCGTCTCTTGTTCCTTGTTCTGGGGATCAGAAAGTATCAAACTTGTTCTGTTTCTGTCTTTCCTTTCTCTCATCCTTTGATTATCTCTACCTAGAGTTCACAACAATGGAGTACGTAAACCCTGAAGGTCTTCGATTAGATGGTCGCCGATTCAACGAGGTATCATTGCATCTCTATTCACTGTCTTTGTTTGCCACTGCCTTCACAAGTTAATTTTCCTATTCGTAATGAATCTCAGATGAGGCAAATCGTAGCTGAAGTTGGAGTTGTTTCTAAGGCTGACGGGTAAAACTCAAAATCTAGCTCTTATCTTTTTTTTTTCATCTCAGTTCTAAATTTGGCACTTTTATATGAACAAAAATTCCAACTTTGTTTCTAGTTCTGCTGTCTTCGAGATGGGTAATACTAAAGTAATTGCAGCTGTTTATGGTCCAAGAGAGGTACTTGATTACTCTTTTTTAGACCTATCAAGATTGATGCTTTAATTGTATAATTCACCGAATTGGTTTATTTCTGTCTGTTTAATTGTATCTCTGTGCTCCTTCAGATTCAAAACAAGAGCCAGCAAAAAAAGAACGACCATGCAGTGGTATGTATCTGGTTTGGTCTTGTTTCGTATTGTTCTTGGTGAAAAGCTTTGTGAATTTGAAATTCTTATGGCTAATTTTATGTTTTGGTAGGTGCTGTGTGAGTATAGTATGGCTCAGTTTAGTACTGGTGATCGTAGAAGACAGAAATTTGACAGGTAACATCTTACTATATAGCTGAAAGACTCTTTGCTTGTTCTTACGAAGATCATTAAATTCGAATTGTTGTGTATTATGATGGTCAGGCGATCAACAGAGCTATCTCTTGTCATCCGTCAGACAATGGAAGCTTGCATATTAACCGAATTGATGCCTCATTCTCAGGTTTCCTTGACGAATTCCCGCGAAATTGAAATCTAAGTTTGCATTATTCTCCTTTTTAGCTTAATTTTTGATGGATTGATTTCTTTATGCAGATTGACATTTTCCTTCAGGTTCTACAAGCTGATGGAGGTAAAATTAAACTAACCCTCTGTTCTGCAATTGAGGTTTAATGCTCTTTCAATCTCTGATCCGCCATTAGTGTTATCTTCTGTAATCAGGAACAAGATCAGCTTGTATCAATGCCGCGACTCTAGCTCTCGCAGATGCTGGAATTCCAATGCGTGATCTCGCCGTTTCCTGTAGTGCTGGTTATTTAAACAGTACTCCTCTTCTGGATCTGAACTATGTTGAAGACAGTGCTGGAGGAGCTGATGTAACAGTCGGTATTCTACCTAAATTAGACAAAGTGACACTCCTTCAGGTTTTTCTTCAACTCTTCATATTACATTTCTCTACATTCGCAATCAGATGTTTCTAGACGTTTACGTATTGCGTTTAATATGTAGATGGATGCGAAGTTACCGATGGAAACATTTGAGACAGTGTTTGCATTGGCTTCTGAAGGTTGTAAGGCAATTGCAGAGAGAATACGCGAGGTAACAATGTAGTTCCGAATCTTTCTAAGGTTTTCCTTTACCTCCATTGAAAAGCCTTCTTTGTTTTCTAAGTCTTTGGCTCTTCTTTCTTTGTGAAGGTACTTCAAGAAAACACCAAACAGCTAGAGTATCGCCGAGCTGCATAAACTTTAGAGTAAAGAGAAAAAAACATAAAAGCTCCAAGATTTTTGTTAATTAGATATTGCTGTTGTTTTTGGAATTTGAGGATCAAAAGCTAGTAGTGCCAAATGGTTTATTTGTGTATCCAAAAATACAAAAGAAAAGTCCAACTAAACCGGAAAAATCAATCAATTTGAAATTTTTTTTGGTAAACCAACTCTGATTTATAGATTCAATTCATTTGAATGAGAAGTCGGATTGAACGCACCTTGTCCACACATTCTTACATTAAGCCGAGGAAAAAAAAAAGACCAGAGGCTTTTACTGTCACTACATCACGAGACTGGTCTGAGAAATCACCAGCTCATAAGCTCTACTGTGAGAAAACGAGAATCAACAAAAAGAGATAAAAAAAAGAACGGTGCCTCTGCTCTTCCAATGTTGCATTACAAAAACAGCTGCAGAAACTAATAGAGTCAGAATCCTTTGCTCTGTAGTTCGAGTTGATCGAAGCAGAAACTGGATTTAACCGCGGTCAACATTAACCGGCCGGTCCATTCTTCTCCTGGCTTCAAAGTGATCGGTCTCTCAACTGCTGCACCATCCACACAAAGCATGGTTTTGTACTCATCATCCCCAAAATCCGCCATTGTTTTCGATTTCTTCTCCCATGGATTCCACACCACTGCAACCATCCATCACAAATAATGAATCATACTATATACAAACAAGTAATCGAAACGACTTCTTGTGTGATTCTTACCAGTGTCTGGAAGACCTTCCTTTCCGATAACATATGTTCTTTTTCGTTCATGATCAAGAACTGCAACCACCTTTGGTGATCTAAGGTAAGTCCGGTCCATCTGAATCAAAAGAAACATCTGATCAGAGGTAACCGAGCGAAGATACTTAGTCGTCATCGATGATTGCAGAGTCTTTTCAAGGTTTACCTCGGATTCAAAGGTTATTGCATCGCCTTGTTCAGTCAAAAGCTCTCTTTTGCTGAGGTTGTCTAAGTAGTCCAATGTCTCCAACCCTTCAATTCTCACTTCACTGTAGAGAAGAAAAGTAACATTGTTTGGTAATAAAGATTTCACCAAACACTGAATAATCTTTTGCTGACTTATTGAAGAGGAGTAATTTATACCTTATGTCAGAGACAGAGAGGTAAGTGTGATATGCAAATGAGAAGCTAAAGGGCTTGCCATTGATGTTTCTGATCCGAGAAACTAACGTTAAGTCGCCATCTACAGCAAGAGAAACCCTAAGACGGAACTCGAAACTGCAAGGGAAAAAGCATAGAATTTTAGAATCTCTATAAAGAGAAAAATGATGAAACAAGTGATGGACATTACCTATGAGGCCATAGCTTTAAGTCATCTTCTGATGGTTTCAAAAGAAGATCAACAAAGGATTTTCCAGTGGATTCATTTGAGTAAAGTGGAGGTGGATTCTCATCGATTACCCAAATTTTGTTCCTTGCAAACCCATGTTGATCCAGTAATCCACAATCACCAAACTTCACAAACACACACAAAATTCAATTACAAAGTGATCAATAAAAGATATCAGTGAGCTCTACTAGTAAATTATACCTGAGGATAACAAATCTGAATCCCTCCACGCATTGATTTTGGAGGTTTGAATATAGCCTAACAAATTTACAAACAAAATTTAAAAATCAGATTTTGAATTTTCAGCTTCTTCACAATGTATTTGTAAATGTCTGCATACCTTGTTGCTAGTGAAAAGAAGCTCTTCTCCTTGTTCATTCCTCCATGAAACCACTTGTCCTCCATGTAAACTAATCTGGAAATCCAAAAAATCAAAAACTCAAATTGGATTCAGTTTTAAAAAAGCTCGAATTATTCAGAGAAGAAGGTGGGAAAAAAGAGTGAAGACCTTGGCAGAAGCACCATGTGGGTTTCTGAGAAGGACTTGGTCAACGCCATTCCAATCTTTGATTATCTCACTTGCTTCTTTTTGATCCCACACTGTTGCGTAATGACCCATTTTCAATTTCTTCTTCAGAATCTCAAGAACTTATTACACTGACAAAAAAATTCTGAGTTTTTGACAGCCAAAAAAGAGCAAAAGATAAGAAAAACGACAAAAGAGCTTTATCTTTCTCACAAAAATCTCATGAACACGACGTTTATTAGATCTGGAAATCTATAGCTTCATTTAGTACTCTCTCCACTCAAGAAAAATAAAAACATTAAAAAAAAAAGAGAGGAGGAAGAAGAAGAAGAAGAAGAAGAAGAAGAACACATGGCGATAGAAAGAGCAAAACAGCTATCTTGATATTTAGTAGATTAATTATACTGTAAGATAAGTCTCATTTTTTCAAATTTATATATGGGAATTAAATAAATAAAAATAAAAATCTCAGGTTTGCTTTATTAAATGGGATCTGAACAAAAGAAAAAAACTAGTTGAAGAAGAAGAGATTATGGAAACAGTTTGATGAACTTGAGAGTTTATATTTAAAGGAAGAGATTAATTAATGGTTGGTGAATTTGAGGAGGCTACGTGCATTGCTTTCAGATAGAAATGGCGGAAACAGAACTCAACTTTCTTCGGGATACAGATGAAACTCTTTATTGTCATTTATTTTTATTTACTACCAACTATTATTTTATTTATAAATACTATTTTATTAATGTCCAACCTGTCATTAATTAATTAAATAAGAGATACAAACATAATTTGAGGTTAGAGGAGAAGAATAAACACCTTAATTAGTGGGACTAGATTCTTAGTGCACGAGGATTCTGAGATTTATTAAAAACTCTTGCAATTTCTGATACTTAAATGTATAATTGATTCATTTCTATATTATTATTTTAGTCATGTTTAAAAACTTAGTTGTTTTTTTAAAAAAAAAAATTTACAACAGAGTTAGTTTCCTTAATGTAGTACCTATAAATTTTGCAACGAGAAAATCATTTGTATAATTTTTGGTAAAATAGTATAAAAAAAAATAAGAAAAGGTAACTTCACAATTCCATGTATAAATTGTGTACTACAGTACTTTGTCTCATGATTGTCTAATAAATAAAGAAAGGACTGTGTGACCTGTAGTATTATAAGATATCTGTGACATTGTACCACGTGTACGGTTTGTAATCAACGGTCAATATGATTTGAAAGTTTTTGAAATTGATTGCGGGAATTAAAAATAGTCCAACTCGAACAACATACGCATGGCCCAAATCCAAAGTCATGTCTATTTCAATCCAACTAGATAATTTAGTTAAAAATACACAAATCCAAAATGAGACGACGTAGTTTTGATAGGCGAGAGTTGTGTATATTCATTCTTCTTCTGTTCACAACTTCGTTGTTCATAATACAAGAATCTATGCTAAGAATTTCATTGAAGAGTTTAATTATAAAGCCAAGAGAGTAAGCGTACATAGAAAAAAAGAACGCATTTACATTCTTCTTATAACGTTGTCGCGGAAACGTTTTTAACCTTACTTTTATCAGCTTTATTAATCTTCTTCAAGCCTTATAAAAGAGAAAGAAAAAAAGACAAGTTAGAGGGAGAGGGAGAGGGAGAGAGATCTAGCAGCAGGTAAACGAAAGAGAGAGACAGTGGCATTGAACAAGGAAACGGTCACTAAGGATCTGTAGACCTTTTGATGGTAAGCTCTGCTCTGAGATGGAGAATGCCATTGATGAAGTATTGACTATCCTCTGCTATAAAAGACGTCCATGGTACCCCAAACAGGTTTCTGTAACCTACTGCTTTCCCTCCTGTGAATGTGTAGTTCCCTTTGTATTTGCTTATGAAATCCTCCGCTGGCTTTGACCTCGCCGAGAATTCATAGTCCACTCCGAAACTCACCGACCCTTTCTCCTGCATCCCTAGGAACAGCCCGAAACAGTGGAACGAGCTCTGCTGGTCCATGTTGCAGTGAGCTGACAGGAAAAACCCTTGACCTCCCAAGTGAAAGGCCTGCGAATACACTCTACCCGACGGGAACAATCCCCCACATTCTTCTCTTTTCAGGTCTAGGTAGACTACGCACTGCGGTCTTGGAAGCTCAAACTCGACGACTTTGACGGGTCTGTATTTGTAAGCCCTCTCTATCAGGCGGCGGTTCAGGGATGCAGATTCTTCGGAGGCTAGGCTACGTTGTCTGTGCGGGGCTTCTGCTTTGAAGAAAAGAGCTTCTAGAACAAGCTTGGATGCTATTTCATGCTCAAAGTCACTGCAAGTCAGTACTTTCTTCAGCTTTCGGCATGTCATGAAAGGGAAGCGGATGGAGAGTGCAAGACGTGACCCGAGAATCTCTCTCCGCTCTTCCAAACAAGGGTATTGTGCCCTTGCCCACTTCAAGATAAAATCATAAACTGCATCCTCTGATGCAATTTGGAGATCATCGCTTGATAGAATTGCCTCAATTCCAGCCAAAGGTAGAGCCATAACCTCCTCATGAAACCTGAAAATAAAAAGATGGACCATGACTTATAAGAATCGACCCACCATCTCGTGTGCTCTTGATTAGAGTAATATCACGGATATGCAGTCAAAACTATTATATGTAGTATCAGGGGTCTTACTTGGTAATATCCTTGTAGCGGGCAGCAAGGAACTGTTTTGCAGCATCAGTTAAAGGCTGAACAGCTTTGGCCATTAGAACACTAGAGGGAAGCTCGAGATAGAGCAGCGCAGACTCTGGAGTCATAGGCATATTACGGAGAAGTCTACTACAGTACCTCATGCAAGAGGCAACTTCAAACTTATCAGCAGCCATCAGGACATCTAATAAGGCAGGTGCTGTGGTGACAGAGACCGCATTGCTATACATAAAGTTTAAAAGCTCCATCAAAGCAGCTTCCTCTGTAATACACACAAAGTAGGGTATGAATGTAAAATCAATCTAAGAATCTCCAAGTTACCGTAACAAACTCAAATCAAAACCATTTATTGATTCTGTAGAACTAATTGAGAACGGAACAACAAATGCAAAACCATTTTGTGTCTAGTCTGATAAAGTAATAAAACGTTCAGATAGCTTCTGTTGCAATGGCGTACCTGATGCATTAATTCTAAGAGTGACATGCCTTTGCTCAGATTCCCTCATTCCATTGGAGAACAACTATTAACATTTCCGAGAAAAAAAAGAAAACAAATGGATTAAGAGTAAGATACACATGAGAGAAAAAGTAACATCAATCAAGAACCTATAGATACCTTGTAAAAGAAAGGGCTTTTGGCAGCTAAAATAGGAGAACTAATATGAAGTTCTTTAACCCTAACAACTGTAGAACAATCCATTCCCCAGTTTGGCTCACTAGATGTTTCCTCTTCATCACCTAAATATAATAATAAAAAAACTTCTCAGAACTAAAGAAGCTCCTTGTCTACAAGCTAACACTTCCCAAAAGGATGTTGCTTAATAGTAGTACCAGATAAAGCTTCTTCAACCATTGCCTCTCCTCCTTCATCATCAAGATTTTCACCACCAGGACATCCATCCATGTCAGGTTGTTCATCAGTTAAAATCTGCTCCTCAGGACATGCCACAATGTCCGAAATCGTGACTGCAAATGAAATGACAAAATTAAAACCCAAAAAAGACTTCGACTTCAATAACCAAAACCCTAAACAAAGCAACCATACGAGCAAATTATAACAAGTACATACCACCACCAGATTCCTTTTTGATATCTTCTCTTCTTCTTTTCCGATGACGAGCCCAATCAGCAATACTCGTACACCCTTCAACCTCGGACCTAGAATCAGAAGGTCCACCCATGATCTCGATCCGAAGCAAGCGATCAGAGAAGTTACTGTCGTTAAAAGCGAATCCAAAATCGCCGTCGGAAGAAGAACCATGACGAGTGAAATCAGGATCCATTTGGGTTTTGGGATCGAACAGATCCGTATTTTCAGTAGTTCCTCTCATCACCTCTCTTCAACTATTTTCCTCAGCCGGAGAAACTGATCGGAGAGCTTTTGGTTTTGGAAAGAGAAAGTTGAACGTCTTTCTTTTCAGGTGAGAGAGTATAGGAGACGAAAGGCTCTACGAGACCAAGTACTATTGATTGTCTTCTTATCTTTTCTAATAACCGGTTTTGATTCGGTTCGGTTTGGTTCGTGCTAATGAACCAATATTTCCCTGGTTTTCTCTCGTGACATTTTTACCTAGTAGCTTTTGAGCTGCTACAAAATTTTGAAATTCATCTAGGAGGCTAGGAATCAGATATGTACGTATAAAAGATTAGTTTAAATTTATTTGTTTAGTTCCTAATTTATTTACGAAAAATCCGTGAAAACAATCTTTCAAAACTTTTTTTAGAACGTTGAAAATCGGGGCTTTAATTCTTAAGAATAGAGGTGGGAAAAAAATAAAAAAAATAGAGGTGCGTTTTGAGAACTAGTGGGCACTATGTGTGGTCAATTTAGATGTTCGTTGTCAAAACCAAAATATTTTTAAGAGTTTTTTTAACCTCCCCCATTCACAATTTAACTCGTTAATGCTTGTTACTATTACTATTTTGGAAAGCCAACGCTGGAATATATTAAAAAAAAAAAAACAACACTAATGGTGTTAAAATCGTATTTGTCTTCTAATGGTTGAAAACTTTGCTAAATAACAAACATATATACGTATGTTGCTAGTTTGGTATATTTAGGTCTTGGCTGATTTGATGGGTCAGAGTAATTGTCTAATTTTTCTTTTACTTTGACATTATGGCATAATGAAGGCACAAATTAATTTTGTTTTTAGTATGTAGAATCCATATATCACTTCGTCAACTTCTACACGATTTATTATTAGTGAATGACATTTTATTCCATTCTTTAATTTTAAGTAAATTATTAAAGCTTTGGAAAATTGAAAATAATAAGTGACCTCTAAGAAAATGATAAAATACAATAAAATAGCTGTTGTCCATTACCCGTAAACCTAACACTGCCAAACCTGACAAATCCCATCACGAAAATAGGTCCCAATTTTATACAAGTACACAAACATAAATATTTAAAATAATTTACAGCAATAATAAATAAACATTATAATCACTATTAATATTTGTAAAAAACAAAGAACAAAATCATTATTTTATCCTCTAGGAACAGCAACAAGACAACCTCCAGTTTTAGAATCCGACCCATTACATGAGATATTGTGGGCCACATGTTTGAAAATGTTCTTATATTTCACTGAGAGATAGAGAAGGGTTCGCTTGATCAAATAAAAGTATCTGAGGCTCATTTTATAAATTTATAATTAATAGAGTACCAAGTTGCAAATAAAACATTTCCAAAAATTAAAAACATTACCGTATCATCTTCATCAAACCGCCGGCGATTTCTCTGTGCAAAAACAATCCAGTAGAGAGAAACAAGAAACCCAAAAGACCAAGACTTTCGCAGACCATTTGCTTCTTCATTGCAACTATGGAGCAATCTCGAGTCTTGGTTCGAAGCAAAACCCAGTAAAGAGCTGAAGAGGGAACTTCTTAGTAACAGGACATTTTTGAGACCATCTCCAGTACTTGAGATTCATGTCGAACGTCAGAAGCGCGGGAGATCCATAGCTTTGAATGTAAACCAAATCATCGGTGCCACTACTCGCGAAAACCTCGTCGAATTCACCAAAACCTTGGAAGAATCTTTGAGGCATTTTCGCCATTTCTACCCATTCTTTCCCTTTCAGAACCCAAATCCCAATTCCTTTTATAACCTCTGGTCGATCGTGTTTCCCGATTCCTCCAACGATCACAAGCCTCTCTCTTAGATTCATCAATCTTCCGCAGGTTAAAGAACACGGCATTGGAATGAAACTCCTCATCAAGATGCCGCTTGAAGATGATCCAATCGAGGATAGATTGGAAGCAATCAAGCCGTGGCGATGATCTGAGCCTCCCGTGGAGTAAATCATGAAGTAAAGAACATTGTTGCAGATCACACTCTCGTTTCCTCCTCTCCATCCGGATAAGACATCGTTTACTGATGTTGTCCAAGTCATTGTTTCAGAGCTGTAGAGATGAATAGAGATATCCCATTGGAAGAAATTCCCGGGAACTTGCTTTGATTTCACTATCGAGACTGAGTAAGTCCGGTTTCCACGTGTTACTGCTCTGTTTGATTGGTTAGCTCGGTTCACGGAGGTAGACATTGCCGTGTAATCTGTCGATCTGTGACCGGGAGGTTCAATAAGCCTCCTCCATTGTTTGGTAATTGGATTTGAGACATAAATCTTGTTTCTGCAATCATTGTCCATGAAACAAACCAATCCACAAGAGGAAGCAACAAACCAATTCGATGTTTCGATACAAGGGAGATCGAAACTGTACCATTTCCGGATAATCGGGTCATAAGCATAACCCGATGGATCATCCGTGCTAGTGAACATGAAGTACCAAGGCCTTTGAGAAACAGAATTGTTGGAGAAATTACATAAGAACCTCCGAGAAGATACAATCTCGTTCCATCTTTTGCAGACAGTACCAGCTCTGAAGATGCTTGCAATGGGTAGAAACGAGAGGATTCGTTCTAATAAATCGTCAGGGAGAAGAGAATCCATTGAAAAGGTTTCAACTTTGGCTTCATCATCGCTCTGCTCACGGTATGATTCAGCTTCAGGGACATAAGTAATGTAGCTGTACGGGTAATTAGTCCAAGACGTTTCTGCTTCCATTGTCAAGAGCCACTGAAACAACACAAATAATAAATCAATTTATAACCTCTTTTTTTAAAACATATCCATTACCAAAAGAACACATATAAAGATTCAAAGCTTTGCGAATCTGAATCCCAAAGATCCTCCATTTCCACAACACAGAACCTCTTCAACAATACATAAATCAAGACAAAACCTTTTCAATCAGATTTGCTATAGGAGACATGCATAGTGTCAAAAAATCGAAAATGCAGAAGATGGAGAAGAAAGATAACAATATTTAGACTTAGTCAAGTACTGCAATACATGTATTCACCAAAAAAAAAGTACTGCAATACATGTTTCAGACAGAAACCAAAAGAACAAAAAAGGAGAAACCTTGAGTCATCCTTTCAACGTCAAGATTCCACTGGTGAGAATTAATACAAAATTTAGATGTTAGGTATACAAAAAAACGCTTCTTTTTTTTTTATTGTTTTTGAAAATGAAATTAGGCTATACGCAGACATCAATCGAACATCTGATAACAACATACAGCATAAATACAAAAACCCATCATCAATCATAGATTACGAACACGGAACAGATCAATGAACCACTCAGAAATGAAAACAGAGAGTGAAATCAAACATAAACCCAACTCGATTCACTACACACCTTCGACTATGGATACTCGTGGGTCTCTGAAACTTTGGAATTCTCGAGATTCAAACCGATAAAAAGTAGAAATTTTTAATCGATTTGCGAGAGGAAATGCGGGTTTCGTGGATCTCGGTTTATTGAGAAGACCGAAAAGATGAGATTTTCCTAGAAATAGAAGATGGAAATGAAATGGGTTTCTCGGGATTTAAGATTTCTCAAGAGTGAGAATGAGGTAAAAGGGTTCATCAAAGACAACGAGAGCGAGAGAGAGAGGGATTGAGATTGAGAAAAATCTGGTCTTTATAGAAAGAAGAGACGTTTCGTGGTTCGATTGTAAATACGAGTGAATGATACAGACAGACAGAGAGACGAAAGATAAACGAAAGGGAAAGACAAAAGAGAGAAGAGAGCAAGCGCGAGGTAGAGAGAAGAAGAGTAGACGTTTTTGCTGTTTTTTTCTTCTTCTTTTTTTTTTTGTTTTTTTTTTCCATTTCTATTTCGAGGGGAAATGGGTTTAAATAAATAAATTGATTAAAGTAGAGGCGCGTGTCAGCGCGTGTTATTTCCTTAATTTTATATGAAGAACTAAATATAATAATGTGACTATTTGCAAAAGAAAAACAAAAAATTAGTTCATGGGAACTTACAAACAGAAAAACAATGAAATATCATAACATTACACCAATAATAATGCTGTCTTACTCATCAACCAACTTTTGATAAAATAATTATGATTTTTTTAAGCGGCGTTATTATTATTATTATTGTACCGAGACTTATATGATTGTTTCATTAACATATCGGATTAGTGATAGTATAAGTTAAAAATATTTTTAGCAGTATATTATAGCAATACCAAATTGTAATTTTTTTTTTCGACAGCAATTGTAGATAGTTTAATTGTAGGATCTAAATAGAAAGTAATTAAAATAAAGGTTTTATTTAATTTGGTATTTACTCTGGCAACCAGAGGGGTTAGCTGAAAATGACATACCACATGAGGTAACCTTTTTGTCATTTTTTTGTTTAAATATTTATTATTTATTTAAAAAATTGTCTTTTAATTATTTGAAAGTAGAATAAATAAATGATCAAAATAAAATTTTATTATTATTACCTTTAGTAATTATACTTTGCTTTTCAAACACTGAAAGGTCTGTCTCTCTACTTTCCTTAGCCTAGACTTCTCGCAGTTTCTCAGTGGCCTGTCCTTTACCTAATACACTCACTCTACAAATAGTACAAAATTAAAATTAACACAAATTATTCATTTTATATGCACAAAATTATTCATTTTGTTTTTTCGTCATGTGCACTAACTACATTTAACGTGTAAAGCTATATACTGATCTCAGCTCCATAAGCATTACTTTCTTTCTTCTTTCGATCATATGCCCTTACCCTTTATGGTTTATATAGCTACTCCGGTATTTATATTCCATATAATAAGATGTATGCGATTAGTGGATGGCTCATAAAACTATTATATGATCACATTGCTCGCTATTGCATGCCCTTTTCACAAAATTGGATCTGTTGTCTATGTTTTTCTAGAATTCAATTGTTGGTTCTATAAAATATATATCACTTTTACGATCCGTTGCATTTTAGTCTCTAACAAAGATGAAATAGTTCTTCTGGCAGATTGATCATGTTTCGTATATGTTCAGTTATGTGGAACATGCATGCTCAATCCGATCGGCCACTAATCTCAAATCAAATTTGATGAGAACGTATACTTCTTAATTTTTGTACTGTTTTCATGGGAAATGGAAACTAAATTTGTTTCAAAATGTATATTGCTAAACTGTGAATCATGCACCTATTTTTTTATTAGAGAATGTCGTTAAGGAGAAACGAAATTAAAAAGACGAATGAAAATATCCAAAAGAATATACCATTTAACTTTTGATTATTATAAATTCAAAATCAAAGCATATACCTAATTAGACTATGTAGTATAGTGATGCACTGTCTTAATTATTGCTTTAGTTTCCTATAATTAAAGCATCAAAGATTCAAAAACTTCATGCACATGGCATTTGTGTTTTTTTTTTTTTTTGTAGGAGTTGAAGGTAAACAAATTCCAAAGTGCAATGTTGTCATAGGGATCGCGGATCTATACGTATCCGTCACTATGTGAAATCCATAATGGCAAAAGAAAAATGTGTCCAGTGAAAATGAATAAATTCAAAATGTTTTCATTCTTATTTGTAACTGGAAGTTTAACGATAGTTTCGTGGAAGTATTACTGCAGATAGTAAGGTGTAACTTTATTTATTTGTGAAAAAAAATCAAACCTTCTAGTTGTCGTTTTGTAAAACGATAAATTTAGAAAATGTGAAGGTTTTGAAGACTTTGTTTCGATTGGATCCTCCTAATTAATACCGTTCTTTAGAAAATGAATCGAGGACGAAAATCAATCTACATGTATAATTTAATTATATTGGTTTCCCACAACATGATAAGTAAGTTTATTTTTCGTCGATGCGAATTTTACAAATGTAAAGATTTTGGGAACTATTATTTGTTTCTCTTTATTTTTCACTCGCAAAAGAAAAAAAAAGACGATCATAATTAAAACAAAAGATACAAACCCATGAAAACTAAGCATATATACCTAAAATACTTGAAAACACTTCAACAAATATCAGTGGTATCTGAATTTTGGATCACACAGCGGATTTGAGAGATAATGTATTGCCATTCATCATGACTTTGAGTTTTGGCTAGATCCTAATCTTTTAAAACATTATTATTGTTCTATAAGTGTTGTAGATTTTTTTCAGCAACTTCTTATTAGGCACCTTTTTTGCATCGTTAGCAGCTAACTAATACTTTTTTTATAATAACAAAACTCTAACTAATCTAGAGAGTAGAAGCTGTAGTCAAATCGTGTTTAGTGTATCTATCTAGGAGTTAATAGTATGAAAACAGCACTTTTTTCTTCTTAAAAGAACAAGATTACGATGTGAAGATTGTGGGAAGATCTAGCAAGATCAATATGCACTAATTAATTTGGCCCATTTGGTGGTCTGTGTAAAGAAAAAACACAGAAAAATAATAAATCAAGGAAAGGATAGAAGAACATAGTGGCAAATACTAATTTGTCACTTGTGGTTATGGACCGGCCTTGGTCTTTCTGCCAAAGGTACTTTGTGCACATTAAGTCACTTTTCACTTCTCATTCTTTACACTATGGAGCAAACACACTCACACATGCACACACATACAATCTTTTATATAGCTGGCAAAAAAAATTTCTGAATTCTAAACCATTATAAAATCCTTTATGCTTTGACCATGACACATACATACATTTTTTTTTTTTTTTTTTTTTTTTTTTTTTTTTTTTTTTAGCACATATGTCGATATAGGTAGTCTCTTCATATTCACCACACACCACGATTACTAAACACGTTTCAATAAACTAATCAGATGTATACCAAATTACCAACATATGAATTAGGTATTGTAACATAATCGTGGGTTTTAACAAAAATCGTTATAAGTAAATCAAAAAGAGAAATGATTGTGGAAGTGGACTAATTTTAATTTTGCTGTTTTTTGTGTGTGTGGAAAGTGGAGTAAACTTAAAAGTCACACTTAGACATGATGATGTTCTCTTCTTCTGTTCCACATTTTTGTTGCTCCCTTTTTTTTTTTTTTACTGTTTCTCTATCACGTTTGCATTTTTTGTACTGTTTACTCACTCTCTCTATACTCTATCTCCTATTTTTAGAGAAAGACTTGTCTCTTATATTAGAAAGATGATTTCTCTAAACTAACCCCCAAATGTTCCGAAAGACTTATCCGTTTGCGTAACTTCTCTGCATCATTGTAACTTATTCAAAGATTTAACCCATATAATAAAATAGCTCAGATTACCAGAAAACATTAAGCTATGCGCGTATCACAACCATTACAATCTTTGAAAATATGAACTAATTCAGAAAACTAAATGTTTCATCTCTTCTTTCTCGGCTTAAACATTTAAAGTGCAACCATTCGCTGTGTTGTTGTGTTTGAAATGAAAGATATATGATTCCGAAATTTTGAGTTTTCTTTCTTTCGGAGTTGAGACCATTAGTGTGAGTTTCCTTGTAGTCATGGGCTTGGGCCTGGACAAAGTGCTGCATGACTCACCCATTAATTGAATATCAAATAGACCAATATACGAGTTTTGTACCCATCTTAGCCCATTAAGAAGAATGAGGTCAAAAAAGAAGCCCACATCTTTGCAAGTTGCAACGTCTCGTGGAGTCGTGGTTTCGAACACACAACGACCGTTGATCTGTTAAAACCTTATATGTAGAGGATATAGCATCCACACACGTTATTTGATGAAACACGACAAAACATCGAAAAGGCCAAAAGCCGCAAAACCACAAAGTCACTGGCAACAAAAAGAGCCATGTGAAAAGAAAAACTTATAACATAAAAACAAATTAAATTCAAAATAATATTATTAATAAATCATAACGATACGAAGAGTTTATCTAATAAAAAATCAAATCTCGATTCGATTCCATCTATAACAGCTCTTCCATGTAGTAACAAAACGAAATTCAAAGATTCAATAAAGCATAAAAACAATACATCAAATTTAACCAAACAAAAGCTTTTTGTTTTGATTAAAATCACTAGCCATGAGTATTCAAAGCTTCCCAAACCAAGTTCTTAACCACCGGATTAGCCGCATCTCTAGCTTGATAAGCAGCTGTCTTCAAAGTGTTAATGGTCAACACATTTGCTTCAAACCACGACATACTCCTATAAGGAAGATTATGCTTCTTGCAAAGCTCTTGAACCACCGGAGAAACTTTCCGGAGATGGCAACGAGGTAACCGAGGGAACAAATGATGTTCAAGCTGAAACTGTAATCCACCAAAGAACCAATCCATGTATGATCTACAAGAGATATCGATTGTTCCTGCAGCTTGCTTCTCGAACCAGTCGCTACCGGTGGGTGGACCAACGTAGACATCAGCAGCGAAATGGTTAAGCGTGAATTGAATGTGTTGTAGCGCCGTGACGGTGAAGCTTGTGAAGACGAATAAGAATCTTTCAGGCCAGTTTGGTAGACATGAGACTAAGAGAGGGAACCAAGTCCAGAAGACTAAGATTCCGGCGAAGTTTAAAGCACGATCTGGGACTTCACGTTTGGAGAAGAGCAAGAGAAACGTTTGAATGAAGAGATTGATTCTTCCGAAGCACATGACTGGATAATAAGTAAAGTGTTGATAGCTGATCAAGAATCTCGCGACTGGATCAAACGTGAGTTTCCGATCGTAGAATCTTGAGGTCAATGAGTTGAAGAATTTGGTGGAGACGGCGAAGACAGGGATGTGTTGTAGATCTGGATCGTAATCGAGGCTGTTACAAGCTAAGTGATGAGCATTGTGAGTCCATTTCCACCACGCGATTGAGATTCCGGTGAGACAGTTACCGGAGAGAAGCTGAGCGAATCTGTTATAAGATTTGTTCGACATGATTACGTAATGACCTGAATCATGACCTATGTAAGCGCTCTGGATCCAGAGAAGTCCGAGAAGCGCGGCGGCGATTTGGTGAGCGAAGACGGAAGTACAAGCCAAAACACCGTAGAGAACGCCGACGAACATGGCGGCGACGAAGGCTAAAGTGTAGAGAGTGACGTGACCTTTGTTTTCGAAGAGACCGAGTTTACGAAACTCGGCAGCCATACGACGGTAATCGCGTGAGACTTCAGAGACTTGGAAATCTCTGATGTGGTAACCGGTGAAGAGATTGTCGAGATGGTGCCAAGCGGTTCCGGGATGAAATGCGATGAAAGCATCGGTGACGTCTTGACCAACGAGATTGAGAATCACGGTGTCGCCTCCGGGATGAGTTTTAATCCAATCGGAGACGTTGTAGACCTTGCCTTGAATCGCGATCCATAGATCTCCAGATTTGTTGTGTTTTTTAAGTTCTTCGTTCGTAATGTACTTTTTCTCCGTCTCTTCCGCCATTGATAACGAACCAAAAGCTCAGAGATCCGATGAACAAAGAGAGAAGATGAACCTCTCTCACGATTTGCTTTTTCAAAATTTGAAAAAGCTTGAGATTAGAGAAACACCAACCTTTGTTTGCCCAGGAATGGATCTGGAATCGGATTTTGAATCGAATCTCTCTCTCGCCGCTTATCTCTTCGACTCCTTCCTTATCCTCCTTATATTATGGTTTGTTTTATATTTACTGTTTTTTTTTTCTAATTAACATTGAATTTTTGGAGACCGAAATTACGTGGCTAAAGCGTGCCGACGTCAGTCGTTCTCACGTGTGGGACTTTTTTTAAGAATTAAATACTCGGTTTGATGTTGATTTTGGTGGTATTAGAAGTGGTAAGAGGGATCATTATTGGGAAATTAAGAAATGGTTAGTTATGGTAATTGTAAAGGAGGAAACTTAGTGGTGTCCCTCGTAGTAGTAATCATCAAAATGCAAGACAGACCACGTGTTACGTTAGATATTTTTCTGTACGCTGTCATTGGTTGGTGCCCGTCAATTTTTTTTCCTACGCTCCAAAAGGTAGTAATGTCAACATTAACAAAAAAAAAAAAGCAGAGTATCACCAAAGGCCAAAACTGAAAAGAAAAGTATCCTAAAATTGTGGTCAATATTTTTTTTTTTGGTAGCATATGGTGACATAAAAGCATAAATTAAATTTAAATCTATCGATGCAAAATTTAAAATTGACCATATGGTTTCCGCCACGATATATTGATGACTTTTGGCATATTCCGTTTATGTAGAAAAAGATTTCTGAATGCAACTAGCACCGTCCCTGTTGTCTAACTGCTTCTCAAGACTTGGTCTCAAAGATACACAGCTGTGTTCTCCTCCGTATCTTTTTCTGATTTTTGGTTAACTCTTCCAAGATATTTTTTTCCTCATTAAGATCTACTATATAATATATTGTATTTAACTTCAACAAAAACAATTATTGCTTTGTTTTCAAGTGAGAAATTTATTCAGGGAAGGACCAAAAAAACTTTATAAAGTCAGATAAACACACATTAAATATATATTATAAATAAATTACAAATTAAATAGCAAATGGGAGGGAAATTCCTCAACTAGGAAACTTAAAGGAGACTTTTTTTTTTAGTTAAGGAATATAAAGAGGACTTGGGAAAGCAGTGGGAAGATGGTTATTCACTTTAATATGTATAGGAGATATTTCTAATGTCACTTTTGTTTTTACTAAAAATTATAAAATTTATACGATTCGAAACCTACAACGCGTTAAAAATGAAAATTGGTACAACTCTTAAATAAGTTGTTTTTTTTTTCTTTCTAGAAGATGATAATTTCGAATGCCATTTATGTAGAAGAGCTACTTTGAAATTTGAGTCAATTTGCGCAGAAGTATTATTGGGACATCAAATTAGGAAAAAAACATTACGGCTGCATGTCTGAGACAACAAAAAAATAAACGATGAAATGGGTCTTCAAAAGTCAGGTATTTACAAGAAAACCAGCGTCTCCGTCTTCACTGCGCGTGAGAATTATCTGGCCTTCCACATAACCAAAAGAACAAACTGACGAGTCTTAAATGCAAAATAGTTGAAGTGATTGTTATCCGGCGGCTGACATACGAGGTGACTTGCATTTAATGAAGCAACTCCAAGTTGGCCATTACGAAATTTAAACGGCTGCGAAAAGATTTGGGCGGGATACACAATTTTTAAGACCTAACCTCACAGCGAGAACCCCCAATAAATAGGTGGCCGCATATGTCAAACGAAGTGGAGAATAAACGAAGGAACGTGGCTTTACGAATAAACGAAGGAACGTACTGACACAAATTAAATGTTCAACAGTTGAACTGAGAGTTATCCGTCGACAAACAGAACGAAGTGATTGTCATTTAATGAGTTTTTTGATGATACAAATAAGAATCTAAAATTATTAATTTAAGTACCGTTTACAAAAAATAAAAAATACAAAAAAAATAAGAATCTAAAACATTTTTTGGATCTTCACAATTAGATCTCCAAAGTATAGATCCAGATCTTATGTTCATATCTCTCTCAACTCTGTTTCAATTCATTCAAACCGATAAGAAAAACAGCGTCATGTTTATTATTCACACCGCTATTGTTGATTCATCGGAAAAGATAACGTTCACGATACAAATAAGGATCTAAAATATTTTTTGGATCTTCACAAATAAATCTACAAAGTACAGATGCAGATGTAAGGATATATGTGGAGATGGATCAAGATTTAGATTAATAAAATATAATAGCAAAACAAGAAATTTTAGAGTGAAAAGGAAGAAGACGATGGAGCATAGGCGAATTAATATTTATCTATAAATTTAGATACATGTTCATATACTTTCATAGAGTCATATATCGAACTATAAGTGCTACATTTATTAATAGATATCTACGCAATTAGGTTAGTGGTTTAATTTTTCTAATTTTCGTCCATATGTTTTTGGTCAGAGACTTTGGCCTCCGCGATTTGCTCAACAAAATCTCGCTGGTGATAGACTCCTCGGTTACCACGATCACCCACAGGTTCTTCTTGATAAGCGAATAACCTAGCAGGAAGGTCTAGATCCGCCATGTTCCTTAAGAAAAAGAGAAGATCATCGTCAGTAAATGGACCCACAATAGAAATTATAAACATACAAGCACAAAAGTAAAGATCTATGTAGGTTTATGAATGACCAAAACAGATCTAAGAAAATAGTTGAAGAAAAAAAAGGATTTGGGAAGAAGAAACGATAAATTTAGATAATTAGGGTTTTTTTTTGCAAACGACGGATAGCTTTGAAACTAACAATGGTGACAGAGAAAAAAAACTTACAAAAACGACCAAATCGACCAAAAATTCCATAAAATACAGGGAAACTCCGAAAAAACGACGCAAATGGAACAAAACCGAGAAAGACTTAGGGAAATAGATCATCGTCATTTAATGGACCCACAAGAGAAATTATAGACATGCAAGCACAAAAGTAAAGATCTACATAAGTTTCCGTTGGTATAAGGGAAATAATAACATGCAATAAAATAAAGTATAGATCTACAATTTCCTTTAGCAGTCCACACTAGATCTAACCAAAAAAATAGATCTAGGTATAGATCTGCGCAGAGAAAGAAAAAAAAAAGTTTGAGATGGTTCATTGAAATCGAAGAACAACACCGAGAGTTTTGAAAAGCGAACGCTTTAGATCAAGAATAAAGTCGTAAAACCACCAAAAAGTTATAGAAGATGGAACGGCGGCGAAGCGCAGAGATAGAAAAACAAAAAAAAAGGAACCACCGCATGCTAACAACAACCAGCTTACCGGCGCAGTATATCAGAATTTGAGGCTACCGGCGTGAATAGTGTAAACAGTGGCGTATGGTAGCGTATGCGGAGGAGAGAGATAGAAACTGGAGAGAAATGAAAGAGAAGACTAAAAGACTAAGGATTTAGAGAGAGAAAGGGCGGGATATGAAGAAGATGAGAGTTGAACACGCAAGCGTCAGTATCTAAAGACTGACATTATGACCTCGATAACCATAAAAAATGTTGCGCTTGTCTGGGGTATTTGGGCCGAATCAATAGGGCTACTACATGGGCGCGTGAGGACAGAATGGGAAGAATCGTGGGCTAAGTTTTACTAATGTCGTGGACAATTTCCCATAACCCCGAAAATTTAATTTGGCCAAGATCGGTTACCTTACACCCAATTATCTCTTGAAATTTTGATGTTCGGTGAAATGAAATTAGACCTATGGGCCTACTTGACTGGTTGGAAGAAGAGCCTTAATTTGAAACCCACTCCAAAAAGGGCCCTAATTAGACCTATATGTATACTTCAGAGTTAGAAGGCTTGCTTCTCTCTCTTTTGCTTGCAGTTAGTCGAAGAACAACAATTAACAAGTAGCAGAACCACATTAGTTTCGCCGATTAATAGTGTCTGCATGTTCGATTGTAAATTAAATTTTGATATTTTCATTGATTGCAGTGTATCAAAAGATCTCAAAGTCAGCTTTGCAAGCACATCTTTGAGTTAGTCTAACCTTTGAGGCTAAGATATACATACATATACTGATATACAATTACTCTCTAAGAGAGAGGTTACACTAAACCTAGACTATACGATATGTATGGAAATTATTTCCTAATAGTTCATAACCATTGATTTAGAAAAACATGTACGGGCTTAAAAGGGACGGTCTATTACAATTGAGCTCTCAGATTGTATAGCTATTATTTCCTTTCAGTTTTTGTATCGTCCTATTATATATGTGAGTTTTCCATTTTCTAATATGTTAATGTTAATTTCTCCGTTTTCTAAAATGTAAATAATGTAATTCTTTTCCATTTTTTGTTTATTCCATTGTTTCTGTCCCATCTAATATATAAACGTGTAAAGCCTTAAAACTTGATATACTGTATATCACATTCAAATTTGATAATTCATATATTTTCTCTCTTTCTCATTATAAAAAATGACTACCGAAGATGATGTTTTGAGGATGAGGCAGGAGAGGTTGATGGAGATGTCGGAGAAATTGTTGAACCTAATGGATTATGCTGAGTCACAAGTTGAAAGGTTTAAGGTGATCTTGACATCGCGTGACGATCCAGTCGCTTCGTTTTGTGCCGTGGTCGTCTGTCTTGTCGTTTGCTTGGTTCCGTTACAGATTTGGTTTTACGTTTTGATCCTCAGTTGGCCTATTTCCCAGTTTCTTCGCAGCGACTTGCCCAGTAAAATCAACAACTTCTTCAAAAGATTACCACCGACCAACGAAGAGCTCGACTTGCCCAGTAAAATCAACAACTACTTCACAAGACTGCCGCCGACCAACGAAGAGCTCATGTCCTCCTGACAACTCTGAAAGGCGGTTTCTAGGCTGTTGTGTATTTTTTAAAAAAAAGATTGGGACATCTCATATTTATGTATTGGGCCTTTGTTTTTAAAAGCCCATTAATAATAACTGCTAGGAGTGATTTGTTTCAAAACGTAACGTATTGAGATAATTAATGAAATAATGGATCAAAACATTTTTATTTCAATTTCAAAGCTCTCTCTTCTACGTTTCTCTCTGACCGGGAAACAAATCACTCATTCCGATCAAAACATTTCTTTTCAAATTCGATAATTTTTTTAAAGTCATTCGACGAAGATTCGTGTCTCTTTGATAGAGAAGTGATCTGTGTTTCTGTGGGGTTTTGAGGCAACAGTAGGTGTTGAGACATAGATAGAGAGCTATGTGGAGTTCAATTGAGAATTTTAAGGAGAACTTGCACAAGATCGCGCTCGATGTGCATGAAGACGATGACGAGGAAGACGATCTCCAAAGCTACGGTTCCGCCAATGGCGTATCGGAATCTGATCGGAGGAACTCCAGTGGTTTTAGGTCCTCCAGGTCCGCGATCTCCAATGGACTCGAATCGCCTGCTCATCATGAGGTATTTGGTCAGAATTGGAGAAATTTCCTGCTCGATTTATAGATTAGGAATCCGAATTTAACTAGAATGTTGCTCGAATTTGAGTTCGTTTTCTGTGATAAAGATAATGTAGTTGGTGTAATGATAATGGTAGTTTTGATTGTTTTTATGATTCAATTTTTGTATAAATTTTAGATTGAGCGGTATAAGGCAGAGATTAAGAAGCTTCAGGAATCCGAATCAGATATCAAAGCTTTGTCAGTAAATTATGCAGCTCTATTAAGAGAGAAAGAGGTTAGTTTCTGACAGACTCTTCAAGCCATTGAGATGTCCTCTCTTTCTCTCTTCTTACATTGAAAACACAACGGGATTATTACAGGATCAGATTTTCAGATTGTACCAGGAGAATGGCTCATTGAAACAAAATCTGACGTCAACTAGTGCCGCTCTTAAAGAGGCTAGAACCGACATTTCCAGGGGATCAAACAACCACGCTATCAAGGTAGACACTTCTTATGTTTGTTTCATCTCTATGCGATTGTATGCGCATTAGGCTGCAATACATGTTATTTTAGGGAGGATGCAACTACTTCAGAGCTGTAATCTGTGAAGCATGTTTGGCATGGAACGCATTATTGATAGGATTGGTTATATGCTAAGTTTAGTTTATTAGTGGAATTTACTAGGATAGAAAGCGTATCATGAGATCAAATATAATATCAAGATTCAAGGAAGCTGGATATTGGCGTTTCTATTAAGAAACTTTTTTCAACATCACTATTTCAGATTCGTTTATTTGTTGATTTTGCTTAGAGATGCGTTCTTGCATGAAGGTCTTAAACTACTGAATTAATCTGTCATCTTCTCCAGGGAAACAATGATCAGTCACCCAATAGGCTACACAAATCTGTGTCACATATAAAAAGTCCAAATCATATGTCAAATGGAAAAGGGAAGGATACCGATTCGTATATAAAGGAGAAGGTAACACTTATGTTTATTTACCATTAACTTAAGATAAAAGCTTTGTGGTCTTGAAATTGGTTGGTTTGTAGGATGCATACTTCTGAGTTTCTGAATTTCTTTAGGTGCATCTTGTAATACATAAGTAACCGTTTTCAGCACTAGTATAGTGCCTTTTATTGCTCTGCAATGTTCTCGTTTGGTAAATACCATATTATATGCGATAATCTGGATGTCCTTTTAGGACCTTGCAGATATGCTAGAAGATACAACCAAATCAATGGCAGCTGTTCAAGCTATGGAGCTTGCCAAAGAGCGTGAAAAATTAAGAGATCTGCAGCTATCTCTGCAGGGTATATAATATCACTAGTAGCTTGGTGCTTCTTTTGTATCTATGTTATCTAGTATTCTCACTTATCTTACTTTCATCAGAGGAGCGGAAAAGGAGTGAATCTTTCAAGGAGGAACTCGAGTCTATGAGGTTAGATAAAAACAAAGTAAGCCTTGGAGTTAGAAAAGAGACGCTTTATGTATTCAGATAGGAATCACCTTCTTCAAGTTACAATTTACTTATTTTCTGTTTGCAGACCTTCATGGAAATTAGCAAAATGCGTAGTGAATTGGATGCAAAATTACTTGAAATCAAACACTTGCAGATGAAGTTGAATGGTCGGGAAAGCCATGCTATTGGAAATGCCATTGAACATCTAAAAGAAGTTAACAAAGCTCTGGAGAATGAAAACAGCGAGCTTAAGGTTTATTGTGTTCCATACTGCTGAATGGTTTTGCAAGCAAAAATTTGCCATTCACTAACTGTGTGTATGTCTACTTTGACTTTTGGAATCTGGAACCGAATCTGATTAGCTTTTTCATCACTTTATAGTTGAAACGAAGTGAGCTAGAAGCTGCTTTAGAAGAAAGCAGGAAGCCATCCAGTAGCAAAGTCTTCCCGAACGCCACAGAGACTCTGACTAGGCATCCTAGTACTTTGGACAAGGTTCTTAAACCAGAAGGGACTTTATTTTAAACGCATTTTGCATTGCTTTTCATTAAATGTGGAGCATTTTTTTCCTTCCTTAAGCCTTTTCCATATCTAACTAGGAGAAGCCTGAAAGCTTTCCTGGAAAAGAAGAAATGGAGCAATCCCTGCAGAGGTTGGAAATGGATTTGAAGGAAACACGACGAGAAAGAGATAAGGCACGGCAAGAATTAAAACGGCTCAAACAGCACTTGCTAGAAAAGGTTAGTAGCTATCGTAAAAGCTAATTTTTTTCTTTAATCCACTATTGTGGGACATGGTTCCATATGTTGCAGTATTAGCTTTTGGATCATTAATTTGCAAATTATTTCGTTTTCTAGCTTCTAAGATTGTTATGAATTCAGTCTAAACAATGTTTTCTTGATAATTTTCTGTGAAGATAATTGAAAAGTGTGTTCTTTGCCATAATTTCACAGGAAACAGAGGAGTCTGAGAAAATGGATGAAGATAGCCGACTGATTGAAGAACTCCGCCAGACTAATGAATATCAAACGTCTCAGATATCACAGTTGGAGAAAAGTCTTAAGCAGGCCCTCGCAAATCAGGAGGATAACAGATTGAGCAATGACAACCAAATCCGAAAGTTAAAGGAGACAGTTGAAGACCTAAATCAAAAACTTACAAATTGTTTGAGAACAATCGAGTCCAAGAATGTTGAACTTTTAAATCTTCAAACTGCTCTAGGCCAGTATTACGCTGAAATCGAAGCTAAGGTTGGAATTAGGAAATTCAAAATCTTTCCTTTTTTTATTCTTACACTCAATTTATCAATGTATTCGTATTCATTTTGTAGGAGCATTTTGAACGAGAGCTCGTGATGGCTAAAGACGAGTTGATGAAGCTTTCTGCTCGTTTGAAAGTAGGAATATAACTATCTTTCCCATTATTAAGTACAACCTGCCTTAACGATATCTGTCTGATGCTATGTTGTGGTTGCTGAAGGATTCTGATGAGCGGTTAGAGTCATCAAATAAAGAAAAGGAAGATGTCACATCCAAATTGTTGCATGCGGAAAAAGTTGCAGCGGAATGGAAAAACAGAGTAAGCAAGGTTGAAGAAGACAATGCAAAAGTACGACGTGTTCTTGAGCAGAGCATGACAAGGCTCAATAGAATGTCAATGGAGTCGGATTATCTTGTTGATAGGTACACCATTTATCACTTCGATATATGGTTTCGAATTCGATTATCCTGTCTGAATTAGGTGTCTGATGCAATGATGAACCAACATGTGTCTTCGCAGGCGAATCGTTATCAAATTGCTGGTTACATACTTCCAGAAGAATCATAACAAAGAGGTAATAAACATTGATATTACTCTGAAATCCGGTTTTGTGACATTCACATGTGAGAAATGTCTATGATTTTACTCGGTTGTTTCTTGCTTTCGCCTAGGTTTTGGACCTCATGGTTCGGATGCTAGGATTCTCAGAGGAAGATAAAGAGCGGATTGGAGCGGCACAAAAAGGAGGTGGTAAAGGTGTTGTTAGAGGCGTATTGGGCTTTCCGGGTCGCTTTGTCGGCGGAATTTTGGGTGGGAAATCTGCAGAGTCACATGCTAATGCGGCTTCTGATAACCAGGTAAAAATTCTCCATAACATAATGAAGTACTGATCCAATGGCTTAGAAACACCGGCATAGAATCAATACACAGAGCCAAGTTTCACTAAGAGAGATATTGTTGAGTTTTTTTTTTTTTTTTTTGGAATTTGTATTACAGTCTTTTGCGGATCTATGGGTTGATTTCTTACTCAAAGACGCGGAAGAGCGAGAGAGAAGAGAAGCAGAAGAAGCAGCAGCGACTAAAGCCAAGCAAGATTCGGAGAGGACAAGACAAGACGCGGCTTTGTATGATTCAGAGTTCTCTACTGTGCCTCTCAGATCATCTGAGAGTAATCAACGACTCTCGAGATAACTTCCTTAAAGATGGTACATAGATACATTATACATACTTACAATTAAAATAGGAATTCGAATCTCTATTGAGTCTTTTGTTGTAATTATGATCTCACACCTTTGTTTGTTCGTTAATTTTCTTTTGTTGATGTACGCTGATGACTTTTTGATGGAAAGTTTGAATGAAAAATTACATCAGCTGGTACTGTGATTTTCTTTGTGAAGTAACTAAATTATTTCATTTTTATGAAAGGTTTACCATTCCATGAGGCATGAGCTAACGACTAAAAGAAATACCATACTAGTTATTAAATCGGCATTCACATAAATCATTTGAAATCATTTCCCACGAAAAAAGGTGCAAGTCAAAATTAGAGAAGGGAAAGCACAGAATAACATTTCTTCTGAAGTAAAAAATAAAAATTCCCCAAGACACAAAGCAAAACGTCAAGGGGAAAGAGAATAAAGAGAGAAAGAGAGAGAGAGAGAGGGAGGTTGCTTCACTCTAAAGTCTCTAACCCAACTTTGCCTTAAGGGAAGCAATAGGAAGCTTAGAAAGAACCTTCTCATCGAACACCATGTAATGTTTCTTCAGCTCCTTCAACGTCTTCTCTGCGACTGGATCTACCTTGTCCTCGTGTTTCTCATACAACATTGGTACTGTATGCAACAGTACAAAACCTGTTTTTTTCCACACACATGGAGATAATTTCAGATTCATACAAACGAAAAGACGAAAGCTTTACTCAACTAAATCCTTTTTTATCGATACAAATACTTACAGATGTATACAAGAGTCAAAAAGTTGAACCAGTTGCCCACGACAGAGATTATCCACAGCCCAACAACCACCTGACATACCAAATATATACTAGACCTTGTCACAAAACCCATGATAGAGCAGGATTCAAGTGTATATTGAACAAGTTCTTAACTTAGGCATACAACAATAGCATATTCTTCTGTTAACTACAAATGTCTACAATAACTTGAACACAAAAACATACCATCAGAAATTTTTTCAAGTCCCTTCCTAACGCAATGCTCCTTAGGATAACAAAGGCTTGGTTCAGCTCGTTTCTAAGTGCAGAAACAATCATAATGAAATGTTCCTCTTTAATATGGATTTCAGGAATTTTAGGTGGAGTCCTGAAAATAAAAGAATTTTGGAAACATTTAAGCAACCCAACGAAAAGAAAATATTTAAGTTGTATCTTGAAACATGATCAAGGCAATCAAAAGCTTACTTGTTCATAAATGCATGAGCATTGGACAATAAAAACATGGCTGCGAGAGCAAATATCAAAATGTGACACACAAGACTCAAAAAATGATACTCAACCAATTCAAACAAAACCCATATGGCAGTCGCTACACCGAGAACAGAAGCTGAGAGTTTTTTGTCTCTCCACAAGAACACATCAGCGGCTGCAAACAGAATTAAGACAATTTCAGTGCATCAAACCAAAGAGGTTATAATTCCCAGTAAGACAAATCCAAATGGTTTGAAATCATAGCAAAACACTTATATATCAACAAACATAATCAATCCTCATATAGCAGATCAAGCATCGACGAACGATTAACAGAGGAAAGAAATAGACAGAGATTAGAAGAAAACGTACGTAATCCACCACCGAGAACCTTATGAACAGGCTTTTCTCTACCAAACAAACGATATATCTTGGCCTTCAAAGCTGATGGAGACTCTGGTTTCTCGTGCTCGGAATCAGACGACGACGAAGAATCGTGATCGTGGATCTTCTCAGCGATCTTATCCATCAGAGATTCTTCTTTCGGCATAGATTTCTCCAATTCTTCCGCCATTGTCGTTTACTTTTACCCGATTTCGATCCAACGTGATGAGAAAGTTATTAAGGTAGAGAGAGAGAGCACGAATGGTGAAATAGGTTTTATTAGGCTACTTATGAACGAGCCTTTAGATTCGGGACCCGAACCACAAAGATACGTTAACGGCGTTAGTCTTTTTTAAAGAAGGAATAAACGGACGTCAACGTTTAGTGCCTTGAACGTGGAGGCAACCAAGGAGGATCCAAAGGCCTAGTGGGCCTGGTGCGCTGTGTTAAGTCGTCTTTTTTACTTAAGAAAAATTATGTACACGTGGCAGTCATCGGTTCACTGAAGATTAATATCAACGGCTCACTCGTTTTCAAAAAAGCGGTGGATAAAACGACGCCGTGCGAACATTTCGAGTGAGAGTGGGAAAGTCTCTATATCAGTTAGAGACTTTTGGACCGACGCTATCTTTTTTTACATTCTTTGACTTCTTTCTACCGTAACATGTGAAACATACATAAAAAATTGGGATCTAATTGCTTAGAAAACATATGTTTAAGTCAACGTTACCAATATTTAGGGACATTATTGTTCAAATCTCAAGTTCCAACTAATTTGTTCCCATCTCTAGAGACATTCATCTTCGACAATTAATCTAATCTAATTTGATTATTTACATATTTGACTTTATAGTCCAAATCTCGATTAGCTAACTAAAATATAAGAAGATGAATGCAACAGTGATTTTTTTGTTTGTTTGATACAAACTTTTAAATACATGACAAAGAATATGTAAAGCAAATCAATAAATTATATATTATACCAAGAAAAAAAGATAATATAATAAATGCCACGGAGCAAAAAAAAGAACTGTTTTATCTTCTGGATCTCCTCCGATCGGCGGCGTATTGAGACAACGGCACAACTTCCGACAAAGGAGTTGACTGCGGCGTAGATTGCGGTGTCGGAAGTGGAGAATTCCGGCAAACGGGACAAGAACCATTGAGCTTAAGCCAAGCGTCAAGACAATAAACATGGAAGTAGTGTTTACACTCAGGCATCATCCTTAACATCTCTTCTTCCATATACTCACATAGACAGATGGAACACGTCGTATCTCCATCTCCGCCGTGAAATCCATCACCGTTGACGACGGCGGTGATATCTTTAGTGAAATGGAATTTAGGGTAAGAGTTGATGATTGAATGATCAAGTCCTCCAACGACGACGTTTCCAGACTCAAGGTCGTCGTCTTCAGCTACGAATATGATTCTTGGGACGATTACGCTACGGTCTCTAAAAGATGCGTTTGCGTTAGCGGTTGCGGCGGAGGCAGAGAAGCGAAGGCGTGAGGCGCGGCAGCAGATGTAAGAAGAGAGGATGATTGTGGAGATAAGAACGAGGAAACCTAGAGCTATGGCTATGGAGTAGCCAAGGCCGAGGCTAGTTATATAGGTAGGGATAGGGACAGGAGGCGGAGGAGGAAAGACGGCGGCGGCGGTTGACATTTGATGGTGAAGAAAGAGGTTAGGGCCATGTGGGATTGGCGTCGAGAGAGAGATGGGAAAAAGAGTGATTGAGATAATTATTATTATTTTTAGTTTTTTGTTTTTTGGAGAGGTGGGTGGGGAAATGTAGCTACGGCATTGAATACAATGTTTGGCGAAATATTAATAGCTTTGCATTTATTAGGTTTCTTGTTATAGGTTTTGTGAATAGTGACTTCACTTAGTAGTGTGGCCCAAGGGAGGTCAATTGTTCTAGTCTTATTTAGTTTAAATGCTTGAGCCGTATGACATTGGACCATGTGTGATATTTTGTTGTTGTTTGCCTCTATAGCTATTTTCGTTTCATCATTCAAGATCTTATTGAGCAATGAGCAGATAGTAGTATCTTATCGTAAGATTGTTACGACTTCTAAGTTCATTCTGTTATAGGGAAAAAAACAAAACAAAAAAGCAAAAAAATCTCCGTTGCCGGGACTCGAACCCGGGTCTCTCGGGTGAGAGCCGAGTATCCTGACCAGCTAGACTACAACGGATTTTGCAGAGCAAACTTCGTATATTGTATAAGTAGTATCGGACATTTACATTATCTCACTGTCTCACGCTCACCTGCAAAGCTTTGCATGAACACTACTAAATGGAAAGGAAACTCAAAACTTGAAAGACTTTTCTTTATTCATTCTCTTTCTTTTTACTCACTTAATTGTCAAAGAAGGTACAAAGAAGAAAACCACAAGTCACAAAGCTTCGACTAGTAGAAGGAATCAAAACTCAAAAGAGAGGCTTTTTCCCATTAATCATTCCCAACAAATGATCAATAATTTGTCTTCCAGCATCACGAAGACCCGAATGCATAAACTCATTCGTTACCCAAAGCCTGATACCCGAAATCTGAGAAGCTGTTTCTGTCACTAGCTTGAAGTTTACATACATATCTTCGTAGTATACCGCTGCAGCAACAGGCACCTACCGAAAGGAAATCATGTGAAAACAAAGTACATTGTTTGATCCATACGAAAGAACGATTAAGATTCTGAAACAGACCTTGTTATTCTGTAATCTAGGAACATCATATAATGGAGGCCAATCCTCTTTCTTGGCCAAAAGATCGGCGGCAGCTTTAAATGGCTTCAAGGCATGAATCTCATCAAACATCCATGGAAATATCATCTATACAAATCCAAATTCTATTTTAGTTAAGCAATGTGAACGAATCATTTAAGCTATGAGCAATTAACCATACAATTAGAAATACTCGAAACCTGTACCTCTCCTGTGAAGAGTACAGGCCGACTTTCTTTGACTGCCTTCATTGCGTCGAATTTGTACTCATATTTATCCCGTAATCTATGAGCAGACCATCCTGATGAAGCACCCTGAAAAAGTTTCCAATTAAACATAAACGATAACAAGAAGAAGCAATTGTATGAAATGGAAAAGAAGATGAGGAATTTGAAGAGACTATACCTCACAGTATATGGCCTCGTGGAGAAGAGCATATAGTGGATTTGTATCAAAAGAATGCCAACTCTCAAACTGCAGCAACGATAAAATGTCTCAGACTATTGATCCATCTTTGAACAGATACTCGAAAACAACAAATTTTTGTGGGTCTCTTACAGCGTTTAAGAAGAACTGACTAATACGCTTTGGAGCTCCAGTAACTAAAATAGGATCCCATACTCTCTCCAACCTATGATCAAATAAGAAGGCAAGATTTAACACAGAACATGTGAGGTGGTTGATAAAAATTAACCAAGCTAAACTCTTACATATAATGCAGGCGCTCAAAACCAGTACTTGATCCTAAACCAGAAAGACCAAGAGTTTGAAGACCCTTAGGAGTGAGAATGCCTCCTGATGGAAGAGGTACCTAAATACAAATAACAGAGAAAGGTAAGGAACTATACTAAACTGGTCAGTGGATTTTGTAAATGTTGTAATCCCTCACCCCGCCACCTTCAGATTCAACCAAGTATTTTACGATTTCGCGAACAATCTCAATGTCTTCAGGGAATCTCTGGTAGTATTTCTCGTTTTGGCGAGCAACTTGTTCAAAACCGACTTCATACACATCGTCTGCTGTACATGTTTTGCCAATTGGTGGGATTCCTCCAGTTATTAGCACTTGTTTAAGTCCTTCTGGCGCAAAGCTCAAATACGTAAGTGCACAAAAGCCACCAAAACTCTGCAGAACACCAATCGTAAAAAGATGAACAAGTAATCAAATGACAAGAACTGGTGCAGAGTAACTGGACAATACAGAGACAAATTACCTGACCCAAAATTGTCCATGGATCAGCATTAGGAACAAGACGAACTCTAATAAACTCAGCATCCTTAACTATATTATCAGCTCGAAAGTGAACCAAATAATCAGCTAAATCCTTTGCTGATTTGAATTGAAGCATAGAGGAAGATGTTAAAGGAGTTGACAAGCCTGTTCCTCTCTGGAATACCAACAAAATTAGAGCAACACAAAGACTAAAAAAACTGTCCAGAGAAGAGCATAAAACTATATAAAGTATCATACTTGATCAAGTAGGATAACGCGAAACTCTTCACAAGCTCTTTGAATCCATCCACTAGCTTCACTAGGCCTTGGACCTTCAAATCCTGGACCACCTTGTAAATACAATAAATACGGCATTGCTTGTTCCTCTTTCCCCACTACAAAAACAAAGACACAAATATTTAGCTTCGTAATCACAGAGAGACTTCTGAACCAAAAAGCTCCAAATTTTAAGTTACCCGCAACGATTTCTCGAGCGAAGACGGTGATTTTGGGAGAAGTTTTGGAATAATCAAGAGGAACTATGAACCGGTGGTCACGCAATCGGAGCTCCGGCACCGAAAACCACTTCCCTGTGACATGCTCCGACCTCGATTCCCCAGCTATCTCGACGGAGACCGATTCTGCTCCAGCCATGGAAGTGATTACACGACAAAATCTCCGGCGACGATAGAAATTGATAAAACCCGGAACTGAACCAGACGATTTTGATGGAGTAGTAGATAGAGAGAGTACGAAAGCAGTCAACTTTGGAATCGGAGTCACCAGCGCGTGAGTCGCCAACATCGTTTTTATTCAATTTTTCTTTTTAGAGAAAAAGATTTATCCAAAAGTCTTTAAATTTAAAATTAATTTCAGGTTCGAATTCCAAAATCGCTTTCATCAGCAACAATGGCTGCTTCGTTCGTCAGGAGTTGCTCTCGTGCTTCGAGGGCCATCACCACCGTCCGGTTTATGAGCAACGTACCGGAGAACACGGTTTACGGAGGACCGAAATCGCAGAACCCGAATCAGAGAGTGACTTTGACGCAATTGAGACAGAAGCATCGGAAAGGTGAGCCGATTACTATGGTCACTGCCTACGATTACCCTTCCGCCGTTCACATCGATACAGCCGGAATTGATGTTTGTCTCGTCGGAGATTCAGCTGCCATGGTTGTTCATGGCTATGACACCACTCTTCCTATCTCCTTAGAGGAGATGCTTGTTCACTGTCGCGCCGTCGCTCGTGGAGCCAAAAGACCACTTCTTGTTGGCGATTTGCCATTTGGTACTTATGAATCTAGCACCAATCAGGTGAATAATCTCGAAATTTGGATGCTTTGTTTCAAATTCACAACCCGAATGATCCCTTTGATATGACCATCAAATTTGTTGTTGTTCGAGCAAAGCATCGATTTGGTGGATTAAGTTTTAGTTTGAATGATGTTCAGGCGGTTGATACTGCAGTAAGAGTGTTGAAAGAAGGAGGAATGGATGCTATTAAACTTGAAGGAGGATCACCTTCAAGAATCACTGCTGCAAAATCCATTGTGGAAGCAGGAATTGCTGTTATGGGACATGTTGGGTTGACTCCTCAAGCTATCAGTGTTCTTGGTGGTTTTAGGCCACAGGGCAAAAACATTGCTAGTGCTGTTAAGGTCTGAATATAAGTGTTCATGCATGTTTATGTAATCCTCCTTATGAGGTTATTTTTGAAGATGTGTGATTAAATTATTTTCTCTCTTATTTGGTGGGATTAGGTTGTGGAAACTGCAATGGCTTTACAAGAAGCTGGATGTTTTTCAGTTGTTTTAGAATGTGTTCCGCCTCCTGTGGCTGCTGCTGCAACCTCTGCTCTTAATATTCCAACCATTGGCATAGGAGCTGGCCCTTTCTGCAGTGGTCAGGTTCGTTTTGACACTCTTTTACTTTGTCTTAACGAGCAATAGGATTTTTGCGTGATTTAAGAGTAAGATCAGCACAAAAAGAGTGAGTTAACTACTACTATTCTGATCAAGTATGTCACATTTTTCTTGTGGATGCAGGTTTTAGTCTACCATGATCTTTTGGGAATGATGCAGCATCCACATCATGCTAAGGTCAAATCCTGGAACAAATCATATATCATCATGCTTCTTCATGTATTCATGATTCATTATCTGATAGTTTCCGCTGTGTTGCATCCCTATACTTTTTCATTTCAGGTTACTCCAAAGTTTTGCAAACAGTACGCTCAAGTAGGAGAAGTGATCAACAAAGCCCTCTTAGAGTATAAGGAAGAAGTATCTAAACACTTTTTTCCAGGTCCTTCTCACAGCCCTTACAAGATCGCCTCAAGAGACCTCGACGGCTTCTTAAGCGAGTTACAGAAGCTGGGCTTAGATAAAGCTGCTTCTGCTGCAGCAGCATCAGCTGAAAAGATGGAGCCTTCAGATTCATCATCTTCTCAGTGAAAAAGCTTAGCAATGCTCTTAGCTCTTGATTTTGAGTAGGCAGATCTGATTGAAGAAATAAAAATCCTTCAATAGGATAGTTTTTTGCGGGTAAAATTAGTGTACTCCATAGGAGCTATTTTAGAGTTCAGGGTGGTGGCTTGTTTAATAAAACAAAGAGGATAATTTTATGAGAAAAATAAAGATTCGTCCTCGTTTTGTAATAATGTAATCAGCGTGATATAAAAAAGCTCACGTTCAGAATCAGTTTTATGAGAAAGGTTTGTCCACATTGTGTAATATTGTAAAGGTTTTTAATTGGGCCAAATAAGTGTGAAGGCCCATTATTTCAAACGGGCCCAACTTCTTGTTCGTTGAATCCGCCGAACAGAGTTCGTCGTCTCATTTTTTCCCGGTGGCCGTCTGTTTCAAACCTTGACGATGAGTATCGTGCTATCGATTTTCCGGCGCCGGAACTCTTATATTCTGGTCAACCAGTTCCGATTACTCCGCCGTTTTTCTGATGAAGTTGACCCACGGCCAGAAATCAAATCGGAGAGCCAGGAATTTGTAGTAGTCAAATTTTTGAAAAATCTTCAAAAAACCCCGCAACATGATTGGGCGTCGAGTGAGTCGCTAAGTTCGCTACTCGTATCTTCTTCTTCTCATTCTCCTCTAGTATTCTCGCAAATCACGCGGCGGCTGGGATCGTACTCTCTGGCAATCTCTTTCTTCGAGTACCTGGATTCGAAATCTCAGTCTCTGAAACGCCGTGAAGAATCTCTCTCCTTGGCGCTTCAGTCGGTTATTGAATTCGCCGGTAGTGAACCTGACTCGCGAGATAAACTTCTCCGTCTCTACGAGATCGCCAAAGAGAAGAACATTCCGCTTACTGTCGTTTCCACTAAGCTTCTGATCCGATGGTTTGGGCGTATGGGTATGGTGAATCAGTCGGTTCTTATATACGAACGGCTCGATTCGAGTATGAAAAACTCGCAGGTTCGTAATGTTGTGATCGACGTCTTGCTAAGTAATGGACTTGTGGATGATGCCTTCAAGGTGCTCGACGAAATGCTTCAGAAAGAATCTGTTTTTCCTCCTAATAGAATCACAGCGGATATTGTGTTACACGAGGTTTGGAAGGGAAGGCTTTTGACAGAAGAAAAGATTATTGGGTTGATTTCAAGATTTAGCTCTCATGGTGTCTCCCCAAACCCTGTTTGGTTGACTCGGTTTATATCAAGTCTATGCAAAAATGCTCGTACCAATGTAGCTTGGGATATTTTGAGTGACTTGATGGAGAACAAAGCCCCTCTTGAAGCTCCTCCCTTCAATGCGCTTTTGTCATGTTTAGGAAGGAATATGAACATTGGTAGAATGAATGCTTTAGTCTTGAAGATGGATGAGATGAAAATTCGGCCCGATGTTGTGACTTTAGGGATTCTTATCAACACTTTGTGCAAATCAAGGAGGGTTGATGAAGCTCTCGAAGTTTTTGAACAAATGTGTGGAAAGAGAACTGGTGATGGGAATGTTATCAAAGCTGATTCGATTCATTTTAATACTCTCATCGACGGGCTCTGCAAGGTAGGGAGGTTGAAAGAAGCAGAGGAGTTATTGGAAAGGATGAAAATGGAAGAGAGATGTGTGCCCAATATAGTTACTTACAATTGCTTGATTGATGGGTATTGCAGAGCTGGAAAGCTTGAGACGGCTAAAGAAGTTGTTTCTCGGATGAAAGAGGACGGGATTAAACCTAATGTGGTTACTGTTAATACAATTGTCGGTGGGATGTGCAGGCACCATGGATTGAACATGGCGGTTCTTTTCTTTATCGATATGGAAAAGGAAGGCGTGAAAGGGAATGTGATTACTTATATGACATTGATTCATGCTTGTTGCAGCGTCAGTAACATAGAAAAGGCTATGTATTGGTATGAAAAAATGTTGGAAGCTGGTTGTTCTCCTGATGCAAAGATCTATTATGCTTTGATCTCTGGTTTGTGTCAAGTTCGACGGGATCATGACGCCATTAGAGTGGTGGAGAACCTGAAAGAGGGAGGGTTTTCTCTTGACTTATTGGCTTACAACATGCTTATTGGGTTGTTTTGTGATAAGAATAATGCAGAGAAAGTCTATGAGATGCTAACCGATATGGAGAAAGAAGGGATGAAACCCGATTCTATCACTTACAACACTCTGATTTCGTTTTTCGGTAAACACAAGGACTTCGAGAGTGTTGAGAGAATGATGGAGCAGATGAGAGAAGACGGGTTAGACCCGACAGTTGCGACATATGGAGCAGTAATTGAAGCTTATTGCTCAGTCGGGGAATTAGACGAAGCATTGAAGCTCTTTAAGGACATGGGTTTGCGCTCAAAGGTCAATCCCAACACTGTGATATACAACATTCTCATAAACGCCTTTTCTAAGCTGGGGAATTTCGGACAAGCGCTGTCTCTGAAAGAGGAAATGAAGATGAAGATGGTGAGACCTAATGTTGAAACTTACAATGCCTTGTTTAAGTGTCTTAAAGAGAAGAACCAAGCGGAAACATTGCTTAAACTGATGGATGAGATGGTCGAACAGTCCTGTGAACCAAATCAGATCACAATGGAGATTCTAATGGAGCGTCTCTCGGGTTCTGATGAGTTAGTGAAGCTGAGGAAGTTTATGCAAGGTTACTCTGTTGCTTCTCCGACCGAGAAAGCTTCACCTTTCGATGTCTTTAGCTTGGGATAATGTTGGTTTAGATTCAGTAACCTAAAGATTAGTATAATGTTTTTAATCATTTCTTGATTCTGCATTCCTTTTATACAATTACACAATCGCTATTTATGTTTGGTTATTGCTAAACTTTATTAACCGTAAGAAAAATTCCATTGTTTTATAGCAGTTACAGTACACTTGTGAAAGTTGAAATAAAAAATCTAGCATTCTAGTTTCTACAATTCTCAATGCATTAGCTTAAATAAGCCCATTTACTTATGGGCCTTGTGTATTTGAGCTCCATGAGATTGGGACAGACACGTGTCTTGAATTGAATGGTTATTTACTCGTTCATGGACCTGACTATTAGCGAATCCTAAGCAGAGAATTTGACTCGCGTTTCTTTTTTTCAGACAACTGAGAAGCGGAAGTCAAAGCTGCCATTTGCTCAACGAGTTGACTAGTTTTGTTTTAATCTCTATATATATATATATATAGAATTAAAATAACAATACTATTAATCTTAAGCTATTTGATAGATTGTTGACTAATCATTATAACTAGTTATTAAGAGCCTAGGGGTCACGACCGTTAGATCGTAGCACTAAATTTCATTAGTGTATAAATCACGATTTATTAATGTACACCCTCTTGGCAATAATTGATTACAACCTTTTTTCCGTATTATATACTCCGACTTACTACATAGTAGTACATTCGTACATTTTATTATGTTTGAGGAACAAAATAATAGTAATATATTCTTGAGCTCAAATAAATATTATGATAATTTTTTCAAGAATGTAAAATAGAACTATTCTCCCAAGAATATTACTACGTACACGTTAAACCAAAAAAAAAAGATATTACTACACGACACAAAAATCTTTTTTTTTTTTGTAATTATAAGAGACAAAAATCTATTCCATGGTAGAGAGGAATATTTAAACAGTTGTATTTATTACGTACGTTGAACTAAAATATTCTATAAAAAAAAAATTCTTCTTGAATCCTATGCAATGTGGATATGGAAATTTAGAACACAGATTCTCTTTCACCTCTTGAGGTTTTGTTAAATTAACCGTCAGATTTTTAAGCGCCATTGAGGTTTTGTATCATGCGTCAAATAAGAAATGATTTTATGTTACAATCTACAACTTACGACCAATTTGGCAAAGAAACATCACATGCATTTACTTAAACTTACAACTTTTGGAAGCTTAACCAGTAGCTTTGCTTCCGACTTCCGATCGTTGTTCATTTACTCATATGTATATATATGTTTAGTCACAATATAAAGCCAAAAGCATCACATATGCATTTACGAAAGAAGAAATCAGAATTTGTTTAAGACTAAAACAAAAGATTCAAAAAAATGTTGGCGTAACAACTAACAATATTCTATAGGGGACAGCCAATATCACACTACAGTCCCTGTATACAAAAGGAATTTTGTTACACGTACGTGTACGTATTCTTTTTCCCTACAAATACACTAAGAAAACGAGTAATCACTCAACTTAAATACGACGTGTCCTGTCCGTCTAGGTTTAGACTTTTTGATGTCCGACCAATTCAATCTAAGGCAAAGATTAATCTAGATAGAAGTTTTACTACAAATGCAATAAATCTAGAAAGCCGCCCATAAAGATTTGATCTCCATTCCTTAGTGGGCTGCTGCCATGTGTTAATACTTTCAAATTTGGTTTCACATGTTCATTTTGTGGGTTACTATAAACGTAATGAATGACCTTGACGAAGTCTTAGAGTTAAACACCAACGACCTTATTTTTGCCCAAGCCTCTGTGGTCTAGTGGCAGAGGAAGCTTTGGTAAAGGGTGAAACTCCCAGACCCGAGTTCGATTTTCCCTGAAAACAAAAAACACATTTGTTTGGGAAGTCTGTCAGTTGGGCTTTGGCCCAATTGGTTTACCTGGTAGTCAGAAATGCAGGCGGTCTGACTACCCCTGACATTAGTCGGAAGGTATTCCAAACTCAGATCAGGCAGTGTGGTGGCCCAATTCTACCTGGAATCGGGAGAAGTCCACTCTGTAGCACCTCGGTGCGTTCCTACCGAGGCCAACCGGATCAGCCGATAGGGTTTATCAAAAAAAAAAAAAAAAAAAAAAAAAACACCAACGACCAACCTAATACCGAAGTATAATCTTTCTACATCATTTTATTCCTCTTAAACTAATTTAAAATGGAGAAAAATAAAATTTCAAATTTTAATTGCACGTGATTAGACCATGATCACGTTTCGGTTGACACGCAAGTAATTTTTAAAACTTAAAAAATATGATTTGAAAAAGGTAAAACCAAGTCAAGGTAAAGATTTTCCCCGGAATCTTATATCAAGGTGGGTCTAATAATAGAGTTCGTAAGACTTGATCTTGTTAATTTGTTACTACGTTGAATCTTTAAAACACTCTCGACTTTTAATTTGTTTATTTTCTTTTGTCTCTAGAACCTCTCTTGCTTGATCTAATTGTTTAGCTAAAAATAAATGAAACACAAAGTCTATTTAATGTTATAATTAGTTATTACCGTGATACCAAGTCGGCTGTAATTTTAACAAAAAAAAATAGTCTGGTGTACTCCAAAACATTTTTTAAAGAACCATAAATACAAGTATACTTTGTCTTACAAGGTTTTTCATAGGATCGTATCTAAAGTTCTTAAATTTTCAAATGTACCGAATGCATGGCTATATGTTTGACTGTTTGTAACGCGTTCGTTGTCCTAATGTCTGAAAAAATCTACAAATGCTACTCGTGCACAAAGTTATTCATCATCATTAAAAATATTTATTTATCAAAACTAGATTTTTCAGATATAAAATTAATTGTGTTTTCATTTATTGATTATAAATAAATATAAATATTAATAATACTTGTTTTTGGTTATATGACAGTTCCTTTTTAAGAAAAAACATGTTAAATATTGGCATAGATTAAAAAAGACATTTTGGCTGTAGGTGATAGCAACACTTAAAAAAAGAGATTTTGGCTGTAGATTTGACTTTATGGAAGCATATTTTGTCCCCACGGAAATTAATACTACTTTTATAGAAAACAGAAAATTTCAGTTAAGTTTCCTATAACGGAAACAAGTTTCTTTCAAACGCTCGCTCGTTATAAATAATCCTCAAATGCTCCCATTCATTTATATCACAAGCAAGCTGACCCATCAAAAAAAAAAATCACACACATTGTTCAAATTATTCTATCGGATAAATGTCTCAGAGTGCGAATCAGCTGCTATCCAAATTAGCCTCTAGTGACAAACACGGTGAAGCTTCGCCGTACTTTGATGGTTGGAAAGCTTACGACAATAATCCTTATCATCCAATTCATAATCCACATGGTGTTATTCAAATGGGTCTTGCCGAAAATCAAGTTCGTCTTCTTAATTACATCCTAATAAGTTCTTTACATTTTTGTCTGCTTCTAATAAGTTTTCTGTTTAATTTGATTTATTATGGTTTGCTTTCAGCTTTGTTCAGATTTGATCAAAGAATGGATAAGGAAAAATCCACAAGCATCTATTTGCACGGCGGAGGGAATTGACTCTTTCTCCGACATTGCTGTTTTTCAAGATTATCACGGTCTCAAACAATTTAGACAGGTATGTTTCTCATTTCTTATAAGTTTGTATTAATATTATATATGATCATTTATTATATAAGGTATATACTTATGTTACAGTATCAAGTATTTTTATGATTAACTATATATTAAGTTTATAAAACAAGAGAAGTGGTAAGTTTAATATATATAATATAGCTCATTCACGTAATCTTGTTTTACCTTACATTTATGGAAGATTATGAATTGAATTTATTCTAATATTCGGAATTTGAGATGTGTAGATTACTAGAACTAATAATTTGTTTCTAAATAATGTTTTGGCGATAAAAAAGGCGATTGCGGCGTTTATGGAGAGAGCGAGAGGCGGACGGGTGAGTTTTGAGGCGGAGAGGGTGGTGATGAGCGGAGGAGCCACCGGAGCAAATGAGACGCTCATGTTCTGTCTTGCTGATCCCGGCGATGCTTTTCTCGTCCCTACTCCATATTATGCAGCGTACGCATTTACACACACACACATATTTAACTAGTATTCATATAAATATTGTTTTAATTAATAGTTAAAAAGACACATAAATTAGTGATTTTGATGTTACAAAAATAGAATTAGTGATTTTGTTACTGTATAACTTTTTGCCTGGCCAAAAACAAAAGTCTCTTTTGATAAGGGTTTTCAAAATATACCTCATTTGATTGATTCAATATTTTGGTAAGCAACCCCGTCAACACAAGTTACAACTTTCATCACATTGTCCATTGACTCTTCACAAAAGTCACACCTTTAATTAACACTTGCATGACTTGCTCTTCAGTACTAATTTATGGGTTTATTAAACATTTCAGATTCGACAGAGACTTAAGGTGGAGAACTGGAATTAGAATAATCCCTGTGGCATGTAACAGCTCAAACAATTTCCAGGTTACAAAACAAGCCCTAGAATCAACGTATCTTAAGGCCCAAGAAACCGGTATCAAGATCAAAGGCCTGATCATCGCAAACCCATCAAACCCTCTTGGGACATCTCTCGATCGAGAAAATCTGGAAAGCCTTGTCAGCTTCATCAACGACAAGCAAATTCATTTAGTATGCGACGAAATCTACGCAGCTACGGTTTTTGCAGAACCGAAATTCATCAGTGTAGCAGAGATCATCCAAGAGATGGTTCATGTTAACCGTGATCTGATCCATATCGTTTACAGTCTTTCAAAGGACATGGGTCTCCCCGGTTTCCGGGTTGGAGTGGTTTACTCTTACAACGATGCTGTTGTGTCATGCGCAAGGAAGATGTCGAGTTTTGGATTGGTCTCGTCGCAGACACAAAGTTTTGTAGCTGCTATGTTGTCTGATCAAAGGTTTGTCGATAACTTTCTTGTTGAGGTTTCAAAGAGAGTAGCGAAGAGACACCATATGTTCACGGAAGGGCTTGAAGAGATGGGGATTTCTTGCTTGAGAAGCAACGCAGGTTTATACGTCTTGATGGATTTAAGGCAGATGCTTAAGGCTCAGACATTTGAGTCCGAAATAGCGCTTTGGCGAGTGATTATCAATAAGGTCAAGATTAATATCTCTCCTGGCTCGTCGTTTCACTGCTCTGAGCCAGGTTGGTTCCGAGTTTGCTTTGCTAATATGGACGAAGACACACTCCAAGTTGGACTTGAGAGAATCAAAGACTTTGTACTTGGAGACAAAGCCTCCAAGAACGAGAATTATAACTGCATTTGCAACAACAAAAGGGAGAACAAGAAACGTAAGAGTTTTCAAAAGAATCTCAAACTGAGTTTCTCTTCGATGATGTATGATGAACATGTTAGGTCACCAAAGTTGATGTCCCCTCATTCACCGTTGCTCCGAGCTTAAAATTGGTTTTATGATTATACTCAAATAGATTGTGTCTATTAGTCTATATCTATGTTACAAATTACATGATTCAATAAACAAAATTCAGATTGAAACTATCTAACTATCAATATTTATATAAAAACTTTCTAAACAAGGATGAAGTTTTAATTTTGCATATGTTTTGCTCGTAAATTGCTTATTTTTTAATTTATTTTTAATCAAAATTTACAATAGTAAACTAGAAGTTTGAAACAAATTTAAATAGGGAGACTCACAAAAATGCTCCTTTTTCAATACCCCTTTTCAAAAATGCCCCATTTGGCTGTCCATTTTTAAAAATACCCCTTTTTATGTACAAAATGACTAAATTACCCTTCTTTTAATAAAATATATCACAAATATATAAGAAAATATAACAAAATTAGGTCTACAAAATACAAAATATTTTTTGGCGGGAAAATTGATCCCGCAATTTTTCCCGCCAAAACACTTGTAAAACCTTTAAAATACCTTGTAAAATTTTCCCGTAAAATTTTTCCCGCCAAAAAATTTTCCCGCCAAAAATTTTTTTTTGCGGGAAAAGTGATTCCGCAATTTTTTTGGCGGGAAAATTTTTCCCGCCAAAAATTTACAAGGTATTTTAAAGGTTTTTTACAAGGTATTTATAAGGTTTTACAATGTATTTTAAAAGGTTTTACAACGTATTTACAAGATATTATAAGATTTTACAAGCTATTTTATAAGGTTTTTACAAGTTATAAGGTTTTACAAGTTTTTTATAAGGTTTTACAAGTTATAAATACCTTATAAAACCTAATAAGTACCTTGTAAAACCTTTTAAAATACATTGTAAAACCTTACAAAACACTTGTAAAAAACCTTTAAAATACCTTGTAAATTTTTCCCGCCAAAAATTTTCCCGCCAAAAAAAAAAATTGCGGAATCACTTTTCCCGCAAAAAAAATTTTTTGGCGGGAAAATTTTTTGGCGGGAAAAATTTTACGGGAAAATTTTACAAGGTATTTTAAAGGTTTTTTACAAGTGTTTTGGCGGGAAAATTGCGGGATCACTTTTCCCGCCAAAAAATATTTTGTATTTTGTGGACCTAATTTTGTTTCAAATAAGGGTAAAATGGTCATTAAAAATTAAAAGAGGGCAAACTTAAAAATGGACTCTCAAAGGGGGCATTTTTGAAAAGGGGTATTGAAAAAGGGGCATTTTTAACAATTTCTCATTTAAATATCACTTCGGACTTTTGATATATTTGGATTGATCATGTGTACATGCCAAATTTTAAATTGTTCTTATTTTAGTTAATTACAAATTAAAATTTTTTAAAACATGTCAAAATCTAATCAGAAAGATTTGATTAGCTTTTTCTCTGATTTTTGTTTTACTAGATAGAAAGATTGTCATTTGTAAATCACAGAAATATAAAGATACTCTCTTAATTTGTTGATTATGATTTACTTCTTTTCTTATAGATGTTGTGTTAACTTAAATTTATACCATTTGTTTTTTTTTTGTAGGAAATTTTAAACCATTTGTCAAATACAAAGAAACTTTATCCTTGTTTTAAAAAGAAAGTATATCATATAGCTAGAACTTTTTAAAAAATGTTACTTTGAATTATCTTTTCTTAAATCAAAATTTTTATTATCTTTTTTTTTATTTCATAAAAATATCATATCTATTTTTTGCTATAATTTTTTTCTTTTTCAAATTTTCAATTAATGATTTTGACCCAAACTATCCATATAATGAATAAATCCATCCGTAATTAATGATAAAATAACTAAGGCAGAAGAAGGATTACTATAAATATAACTTCCCTAATTTATATCAACACATCACGGGATAGTTATATTTATTACGATTTCCTATCTTAATAACACCTAAAACTTGTGGTACATTTCTCGTCTACCTACATCCATACATTTTTGTTGTGATTTCTTAAAACTTAGGAAGGTGTATATATAGTTCTCGTTCATTATTGAATTGTGATTTTCCTTTCGAATTTTCTTCGACATCAATGTTCATATACACGACAGTTTATTAAACAAATCGAAATTCTGATGACTTTTTTTTTGTTTATTTTAATTCTCAGAATTTTCAAAATGAGCTCAAAAAAAGGGACTACGCCGCAATGTTTTTTCCGGCCAAAGAAATATTTCAGGATGTTGTTTCCAAATAGCTCAAATTTATCATCTCCATTATTGAACAACTTTGAGTCATCATTAACCGAGAGATTGAAGAAACTCATACCTCAAAACAAAGATGAGATTCTCACCTTACCTTGGATGATTCTTGCTATGGAATTACTTTATGATACACATAATGATATAAACATCCTCATCACTGATCTCAAGCTTCATGATATGACTGATTCGGAGCATGGATATTGGTTTGAGAATTACATGAACATAAATGCAAAATTGCTGGATCTTTGTAACGCTTTTCGCTCCTTGCTCTTAAGCATGAACCATGGAATTTTATGCTTAAAGCTCCTTAGGCATAAATTAGAAATGAAATCTGAGGATCAATGCACTGAGATTTGTTCCACACTTGATAGTTGGAGGGAAAATATTACCGCGGAAATCTCGAAATGCCGCAAAGTTCTTGGGAGATATGTTAGATCATTAAACTTTCATAGAGTCAAGAATTGTATCAAAGAAGCAAAGGTTTTTATGAAGGCGTTTTACGCGGCTAATGTTCTTACGGCTTATATCTGCAGTGTGTTTGTGATAGTTTTGTCGAATTCCGACAAAGATATTTTGCCTATACATGTCTCGAAGAAATCATTGTGGAAAAAAGATTTCTTGGATTTGCAGACTATCGTAAACGTCAAAACAAGAGATATTCTTTCCTCTGATGGAACAATGGTACTCAAAGAGTTAGAATCTGTTGCTGCCAAAATGAAGAAGATGTATCTTACAATTCAAGAAGGTGATGATCTTGTTCAAGAAATGTTTAAGGAGTCTATTGCGGAATGCAAAGAAGAAGTCGAGAAACTGGATCATGGGTTAGATGAACTCTCAAGGAAAATTGACAACTTGTCTAGTATAACCTTTAAAGGACGTGAAATCATTTGTGAAGGTTTATTTGATTCAATGATAGAGGAGTTAACTCATGAACCACACATATATAATTAAATCTCATTTTTTCTTTATCTTTAGGCCATGCCTCTAAATACCATGTACATTAAATCCATTTTACAACTATTTAGAAACAAATAAATTGAACTCATGACCTTATATTATCTTCTTCTCGATTTAATTTTACTCATTTTCTCTCAGTATTGTCATCTCTTTAAGTACTGAACAAGTGAACAACAAAACCCTATAGGAGGCCATATGAGGCCCAATTGATCGTATTAGAATCCATAGAAGGCCCAATATCTCGATGATTGTTTTTTTTAAGGGTTTCTTTACAATTTCCACAGCCAGAATTCTTCCAATTTTGAGGTTTCTCAAAACAAATATTGATATGACGAGCAACAAGGATAATGACTTGAAGAAGAAGAGTGACGGTAACGTATTCATAGAAGATCGTGCTAGCAAACTCATGGCCGAAGGAGATACAATGTTCAAAAACAAAGATTGGGTTGGTGCTATCAAGATCTACGAAAAGGGGCTTCATTGCCTCCCCAAGGGACACAGAGACAGAGCTATGTTTCATGACAGACTTTCGTATTGTTTGATGCACATTGAACCTATCAACTATAAGATGATAGCCAGTCAGTGTTCCAAGGCGCTTCACATTAAGCCTGATGATTCTCGACCACTTTTAAGAAGAGCTCAAGCTTATGAAGCTCTTGGAAAGTTTAGCATGGCTCTGGCTGATTTAAATAAGCTTTTAAAAGCTAAACCCACTCTCGAAAAGGCCAAGGACATGTGGTATAGGTTATCCATGATTCAGGAGTTAAAGAAAAAACGTGCAATCGAGTGGAAGGCATTGGAGGAGGAATGGGAGAAAGAAGCTTCTGTTGATAAAGAATTGGAGGAGCTATGGGAGAAAGAAAGTCCTGTTTCTTCTGTTGATCTTTCGATCGCGAAATGGGACGAGGAATGGGAGAAAGGAAGTTCAGTTTCTGATGAGATGGAGGAATTAAATAAAACAGGTTCAGCTTCTAATGAGGTGAAGGAATTAGAGATCATGGAGCTGTCCTTTGAAAAGCTGTTCAGTAGGATCTTTGGAAAGGAAGAGATACGTATTCTGATGGCGGGTCTTGATGCTACTGGTAAGACAATGATCATGGACAAGCTTAAGCATGGAGAGATCAAGACTGCAACCCTTGGTGAGTTCTTAAACGCTTTCTTGGATGCATTCATCTAAATAGTTTGGATAGAATTCTTATATTGTGGTTGGAATGGATTTGTTGATATAATTATGAATGAAATTTTAATTTCACAGGTTTGTATTTTTCTACTTGTTCAAAGGTTGACAATTCTTTCTTTTCTTTGTTTGTTGCTAGATTGCAATGTGGAGACTGTGGAATACAAGAACATTAACTTTAGCGTGTGGGATGTTTGGGGTGAAGACAAGGTATTTGTCATTACATTCCTTTGTAATGCATCTATCTAGAATTAACAAGCTAATTATGACACTTCAGCTATTCCACTATAACTGTGTTTTTTTTTTGTTTGCTCATCCAGAGGCACTACTTCCACCACACACATGGGCTGATCTTTGTGGTGGACTGCAATGACCGTGACAGTATTGTGGAAGCTAAAGACGAGCTTCACTTAATGATGAAAAAGGTATATACAACTCAAAACATATCAATTTTGATTTGACATTCTTATCTTGTTATGTATGTATCCTTTGAACTGTTGCAGGATGAGTTGAGAGATGCAGTGCTTCTCGTCTTTGCTAACAACCAAGCTCTTACAAACGCGATGAACACCGATGATATAACTGAGAAACTTGAGCTGCACTCTCTCCATCAACAAGTCTGGTAAGCTTAAACAAAGAAAAGAAAAACTAAACCGTAACATCTAGAAACAGGAAGATGGATGTAAATCGTTGGTGGCTTTTAACAGGTGCATCCACGACACTTGTGCTTCCTCTGGATATGGGCTCTATAAGGGACTTGACTGCCTTTCCAAGAACATCGCATACAAGGTATAATATAAAAAATTTAGTGTCTACAACTGTTGTAGTTTAACTTTGTATTGCTAAAGACTTCATCAAACCAGTTGTTTCACTCTTTTTTTTTTCTTGTGTTGTTAGAAGGATTTTAGTGATGCAGAGCTCAAAATAGATATTGATCTTTTGGAATATTTTTTTGGGGAGAAAATATTATGTGAGTTTGGGGCGAGACAACGAGATCAAGGTTCTAGACTACTGACAACTTCGACCTTGTATGGAATGGAAAGATAGATCGTGGCAGCCATATCAAGAAAAGGTAGTTATTTACGTTTCTGTCTTACTAAACACCATTGGGTGTATTTGAATTTGTTGTAAAAGATGCATTGAAACATAAAGTGTGTTCCAATTTCAGTCTTTGGGTAGCGAGCAGAATCCGCATGTAGTTGAACACGAAATGGAGTTGAATCCAAAGCAGAAGCCCACAACGTGTTGACAATACTACTTCTTGCAGCAGAAGCTCACAAGGTGTTACACCGTATCCAACTTCCTGTGTTGATTCTGTTTCTTTGTGAACAAGTAATCATTGAGTCTCAGCTTCTCTGTTTCATCTCCCAATCTCACTTTGATTTGTTCACTTTCTATGGATACAACACATATACTTGTTCTCACAGATAATCTCTGCAGAGAAATTAGTAAATTTGAAATTATGTTTTAGATTACAACATCGCTAACTCATTTGATAACTACAAGTCTTAAGCTCAACATTATCAATCTCCAACACATCAGTCGGAAAATCACATCCACCGTCAATCATCTTCTTCTTCGTCTCTGATTCTTGTCCATCAAGCAAATCACAAGGCTTAGGATCAACACCACTCGTAACACCTTCAACATCACTACACATCCAAATCGCTTTCTTATGTTTAGCCGCCATAGAAATCGTTGCATTCGAAATGCAAATCCCAGTAAAAGGATCTCCAGAGATTCCCTCTAACCTTCCCGCCATAGAAACATTCTCAGCTACAATATCTCTGTAATTAATCCCGGTTATCTCCGGTAGAGCGTGAGGATCATAATGAGAATCAGCATGAGCTTTGTAATTTCCGGTCATCCAAAAAACCCATTTCATCGTGTGTAGATTCATTCCTTTAACGTATATGTTCTTCACGAAAGCTCCTCTTCCTACGGCGGTTTTTATCCGTACGCCGGATTCTGTTTGGTATGCGGTGATATCTTCCGCTCTCACGTCTTCGATTCCGCCGGACATTTCGCTTCCGAGAGCGATCGCGGCGCTGTAAGGTGAGATACAGGTTAATCTACGGATCACGAGGTGCTTCGTCGGCATTCCGAATGAGATTCCGTATTCGTCCCATCCGCTTTTCACGGCGATGCAATCGTCGCCGGAGATTATGTAACAGTCTTCGATCCTCGTGTTCGTGCAAGAATCTGAACTCAAATTAAAATCGAAATTAGACAAGGAAACTGTAGAATTTGGAGTAATCGAATTGATTCCGAGAATATGGCGGCGACGAACCTGGATTGATTCCGTCGGTGTTCGGAGATTTCACCGGAGCGATGATCGTAACGCCTTTCACGATGATATTGCTGCCACGTGGGATATTTTAGTTAATAAATTAAATAGTACGGTGGTTATGGTGAGGGTGCATGGTATTAGTTGAGAGTGTGACACAGGATATAACTATACCTACTATACACTGGGTGGATGTTCCACGATGGAGAATCAAGGAACGTTAGATTTGAAATCTGAATTGTATCCGAGAACATTAACTCAATCAGGTACGGGCGAGTGTATTTTAGCTTGCCACCGTGGAATTTTTGCCACCAAAACGATCCTTGACCGTCGATGGTACCGTTGTTCCCTGTAAATTACATCCAACGGCTCTAGTTTATTTCTGTCTAATGTTTGAATTAAAAAAATTTTTAAAAGAAGAATGAAACTTTTACCGGTGATAATTACGTCGGAGAGATTAGTTCCGAAGATGAGACTAGCGAATCTTCCACCGGCGGCGTCACGTCCTCGTCCGTAAGAAGGCAAAGCCTTTAGAATTGGGTATTCGTTTAAGTCTTGAGCAGCGAGAAGAATTGCGTCTTTGTGAAGAAACAGAGTGAAATGGCTTGTGAGGTTGAAACTACCGGTGAGCCATTTTCCGGCGGGTACAAAGAGCTGAGCACCGCCGTCAGATGAGTATTGGCTGAGATGATCGACGGCGCTCTGGAAGGCCTTTGTGTTTAGCGTCTTGCCGTCTCCGACGCCACCATACTCTGTTATAGAGGCACTGTGGGATCTGCAAGTAATTGCTGTGTACTCGAATGTCTCAAATGACTGTAATACCCTTCTTCCTTGAGAAGTGGTTATGAGGTTTGAGAGGGTTATGATGGTGACTATGCAAGCGAGTATGTTCTTCATGGTTTTGTATCTGAAAAAAAGGAAGAGAGAAAGAGAGTTTGAATGATTAGTTCCTTAAGTTAGTAAAAGAGAGGAATATAAAAGGTTGTATCTTTTTTTTGTAGTTTGGTAAATGGGTGCATGTGATTATGTGAAAGGTTAGTAATTGTTGAAAAAATTTGCTTTGTGAGAATGAGAGATAATCAATGGGTTTTGTTGAACAACTTTTGGGTGAAAGAAAAAGAGAGTTTTATGTAAATGAGACATAGTCAACAACTAACATTTGAAAGCAAAATGGTGGGTTAGTTTATACATTTGTGTGCGTTTGTGTTTGAGAGAGAGAAGGAGAATTACTTGTGATTTGTGAGCCCTTTGTGAGTGTGGAGAGGCTAAATGGTTTGATGAGGATGTTAAGTGGAGAGAATAAGAATATTTATAAGAGGATAAATAGTGGAGAAACGAAGAAGAAGCAAGATTCAAACTTTTTGTCTGAGTGTTTGGTGATCTTATAAGATTAGCAATGATTTTATCATTTAGTGGTATCAATTGATTGGAAGATATAGCGGTAACAGTGTCTTCAGAAAATGCTGAAGCAGTAGCAAACAGAGACATATCTATTGTGGAATATACTAGAAAACAAACAGAGGTATATAGTTGGTGCGGCCATAATTGTTTTAAACGTAATGATGAAATTCGAGTACTGACTATGAAGAGGAGATTAAGTTAACTTATAATGGTCTCTAGCCTGAATGGATTATGTGTATAAGGTATTAAGGTTGTGTCATCACTCTAAATCGAATTCATAATCGTGTTCATTGCTATACGTATTACAGAAAATCATATAACGATCATTCGGCTCAATCACAAAATCTTCTATTAACGTGTTGCATGTATCTTTCCAAACATATAACAATCATAATTTGTTTAAACTAGGAGAGAATGTGAGGTGAGTACAACGTCAATTCCTTTACTTCGTTTGTTTACTCACGGGTTTTAATGTGTGAGGTTTTTTTTTTGCATCTGAAAAGGATATGATACAAGAATGGGCGATTGTCTCTTTGTGACTTGTGACTTATGAGAGTAGAGTATACATACATCACTTGTTTGTCTCTTTCGACGTCGCTACTAAATTTTACATACCATCTTATACTACTCGGTAGTTACTACTTACGGCAATTAGTTTTTATAAAGAAAAAGTTTGAAATAAAACTATCTTAAGTGAAGTAACATGGACTATGCAAATTTCGGGGGCATACAAGAGCATCTCCAATTATGCATATAACATATATAGGACTGAGAATGTGTGAAGCCATGTTAAGTCATAAGATAAGCTTACAAAAATAAATATTATATTATCCTTAATATTTTGTCTAATTTTCATTGTTGTTGCTTTTTTCTTTTTTTTTCTTCATAAAATAGCATCTCCAATTTTGTTATTGTTGCTTTTTTGGTTTTGTAATTAGGCTCTCGTGAACTTTGGGGTTGTCCCACTTTCACTCCACTCATCCCCACTTCTGCCGACCCACTTCTGCCGCCTCCATACTTACTCACGGTCACGGGTGCTTATGCTTATCTTACTTTTCAGTTTTCTTTCTCGGAATTTTTTATAAATTTGAATCTAGTCAGCATTCATATACTCTTGTTCCAAAATTTGTTGATTTGAATAAACATAACATGTTACACTAAATAGTAAACATAAACATATACGTTATCTTTTTTATGTTGGATTTATATACACGCACATTCCACAAAATGCAGAATTTTTTTTTCCAATTTATTTTCAATTTCATGCTGTAACAATTGGATTATTTAGGCCAAACATGATATGACTTCTACATTTCTTTTCCTTTCTATTGTGACCAAAATAACTAAATAAATAGTAAAAGTATGTGAGGTGATGTATTTCTTATTTCTTTTGAAAATTAATGTTTATCTACACGAACGTGAAAACTCAGGCAGAAAATGTTTAATGTGAAAAAGCTTCAAAAATATAGTGATTTATCAAGAGATGGAACCTCTATTGCTTTCTTCTCGTAAGGTCGCTGAGAGTTTTTCCTCTAAAATCTGAAGCAAGTCATGGTACTGCGCGAAAGCCAAGTGAGACTGAAACAAAGAACAAGTTTTTAAGAGGAGACCGTGACACGTGATGAAAAATGGGGATAGATTGTTATGGAAACAAGAGTTTGTTACCTCTAATGTCATGCTATATGCTTTCCACAACCGTAGATCATACCGGAAAATATCATAAAGAACCTACAAATAAAGAAACAATCTCGTCATGTCACTGTGATGCTTTAAAGTCGTGATAACGGTGGAAACTTTAAAAGATTTTTACCTCAGACCGTTGTAAAAGAGTGGCAAGAACAACTATCCATTCTTTGAATTTGACAGAACACATCTGAGCCAATAGAAACTCTGCATCTAACCTGTTTTGTAGCTCACTCATTTGCAGCTGACGGATATCAATAGTTAGACTTCGACGTAAGATAAATTTAGTCAAAAATGCATACTTTTACGATGCGATGGGATCTATGTTTTAGTTTTCACATTGTTTCAAGCTACAGAATGAGAATAAACGAGTTTTGAACATCAAAGAAACGACAATGGAGTTGATTATTACCTTTTGCCCAATCAGTTCAAGTCCTGCAGCAAAATTTTGCAGCTGTGCACAACCATATCTTTCTCGTTGAAGAAAATCCTGGAATTTTGGTATTGTTAGTGAATGAATATATACCTTATTGGGCCCAAGCATGAAAAGGTGAAAGGTACAAATTGTACACGTACCACAATATCAAACTGGGTGCCTTTGACGAATGCAACAAGCTTTGAAAGTTCTTTACCAGACATCAAGTAACTGGCATGACTTTCAAGTATGCTCTTAACAGAAGCAACATGAGGACTTTGCTCTTTGAAAGAAGAGCTGCTTCAGAGTCACGTTATACAAATAAAAATTGATCAGAAGGCAGTTGTATCACTCTAGAATATCAAAAATAATAAACCCTAAAACTGATAAAAATTTCCACCTCTTATCGAGTGATGATTTCTTGTGGCTGGAGCCGAAAATAAGAAACCCGAGAAACTTAGGTGATAATGAATCTGATTCTGTTGGCGCCTGCTCAATGTCTCTTCCAGATCTTAGTAAGAACCTCACCTAACAGCATAATTGTCATAGAAAAACATCATTACCAAGGATTCAAGCTTTGAATTGCCCATTTTAAACAAACAACAAGAACATCAAATACATACTAGCTCTCCAGCAAGATCATAGAGGGACTCATCAAGTGTCGCCTGCAAATATACAAATAAACTTTCTTAAGAACAGAAAGAACAAAATTGACAAGAAAGGAGTCGAAAGATATAAATTCAACATGCGACAGCCGAAATTACCTGCAATAGCCGTAATGCACAGTACTGACTGACAGCAACACCTTCTAGTTTGGCAATCACCTGCACCATTTCTATACTTAGTGTACGATTCGAAACATAACCAAATAGATTTCTACAGTGTTCTATAATAGTAACTCCATGCGCTTTTTTGTCCCACGAAATTTTAATCAAATGAAGTCTGACACTGCTACTTGCCTAGTAACAAATAGAAGACTGCGTTTTGTTGATACAACATTATTTAACTAAACATACTCGAGGGTTAAGGACTTCTGAGTCTTACAAGTATATAGCAAGCTGCGGTTCGATACCATCTTCGCTGGAAGCAGTCCTCAAACAACCTAGAACCCAAAAGAGAATATCAAGTTTCGTAGCACAGAATACAGTTTAATCAACAAAAAGAGCAGACAAGTTTGCCATCTTAGCAACTGTTAACAGTTCAAGTGTCTGGTACAGTAAAACAAACCTAGTTTTATAAACGTTACAAGAAACAAAGGCCAAACACAGACAGAGAAACATACGTTGTTGAAATCCCAGCAGCAGAAAATAAATCAGCCCAGTGACGGGCATCAGTTTTTCTGGCTACATTCACAACCACATCATAGTACTCCGGGAAATTCTTTATTAAATCACAGGCTTTTCTCAAAAGGGATAACTTTTTAAGATGCCCAGGTCCTGAAATCTGGTTCCTGTTTGGATTTGGCCTGAAATTTGTAAATGCCATATGTTCAGCACAAAAATCAAATCAGGTGAAGAAAGACAAGAAGGTTAAGTAAAAAATACAATGAACAGAGATACTTTATAAAGATTGATAGCATTGGATACCTAGAAATCTCTGCATCAAAAACAGTAAAAAGAAGCCACTCCAGACAATGGGAGAAGTGAGGTTTCTCTGCCGATAATTGTGCTAAGAGTAACGCCTCTTCATTTTTATCTCTCTGTCCACAATATGAGAAAAACAGAATAAAGATTCTGAGAGAATAAAAATATTCGCAGGTAGAAATGAATAAAAGAAGAAAGAAGAGATATTTCTAACTTAAGAAAAGAGAAGCCAGGACCAACAATACCTGAAGGAGGTGGCGGAGCAGGCAATGTAGTATAGTCTGAGCCTGGGGTGTAGGCTCAAAACAAGGAAACTCTGAGCTTGCCGAAAATGACATTCTCTGAGAAACTCCGACAACGACACCCACATTTGGTAAAAGTCCCAAGGGATACACCTCACGATCAAATTCCAACTCTGGATCCAACTGAAGAATGGAACATAATAAAAATGCACAAACAATGATGTTACAGACAATAAAGATCAGAACAAAAAGACAAGCTACCAAGGGCGGTGAAAAAATGGACTCTACTAGCATGCATACCTGCAGGAAATCCTCTTGCATAAAGGGATCATCCCCTAGAGAAGGATACCAAACCTGTAATATAGAATCCCAGCGTAAAACAAATAAGGAAATTACGAAAGACAGGGATCAAATAGAGAGTTACTGTCAGACACTTGGGGCAGGGCAACCCTATAAAAAAAGAAGAAGAAGAAGAAGAAAATTGGGCATAACAAGCAGCTTTGACGAATTACCTGCATTCCTCGGTGTCCATAATCTAGCCAAGATACTTCCTCAACAAGATTTGTCTTCTCCTCTGATTGACCACATGTCACCCAAAATAGTTCAACTGAGTCTGTAAGTTCCCTCTCTCGTCCATCAACCAAATCAAGAAGTGAAAGCTCCCCATTTCCCCTCAGTATAAGACATCTATGGAGACCACAAAGGCAATTAGAATGACATCATAACTGAAAGGATGTTCTACTCTATTGATGATTACCTTGAGGGTTCCCTGTCTGACAAATCAGATGACAAATTATCATTATCCAACTCGCCTTCTCTCGGGTGCTGGTCAGGAACAAATCGCATTGCTGCTGGATGGCTCTTTGCAGTCATGATGGACAACTCTCTTACTGTGGAAAGCTGTTTGTCATTTAATCACTTTAAGGTGCATGAAAAGCAACTCAAGCGCTTACATTTGGAAGTTAAAAAGGTATAATTTACTGGAAATGATGCAGAGAAGAAATGAACCGGAATAACTACCTGTAGATCTGCTTTGCTTGAAGGTGTCAATTCACCATATATCTTCACATGGTAGACGTGGATGACAAACGGAAGATAAGATACAAGTATATAATCCTGGTACACATCCATCACCATTGGTTTGCCAAGCAGCACTTTACGACAAAGTAAAGAGCTCTGATCAAGGTGATATCTTGGATAGAAAAGCAGTTCATATCTGCAATAATTAGCGAACATACACGTGAAATTAAACAATATTCAAAGACAAAATGCTCAGAAACGTTTATCACAATAATGTTATGTAAAAAAAGTCTGGAAGAGTTGCAAACACCATTCTACCAAAAGGCACTTTCTCTTCTTTGTAAACATTAATAAATATAGCCAGTAAACCATGATTAGAAACTAATAATATAGATCGGGCCTTACGTCTCAGAAGCTTCGATGTAGTTACAGATTACGACTATCTTCCCCAACCATAACAAACCCTTGCAATGAATCTGTTGTTCTTGACTGACATCTCCAAATACCCTCCACTTCTTAAACCTAACGTCATACAAAATCAGGCCATGTAAACCAGCAACCGCCAAGTATTTCCCATCCTCGCTAGCTGCCACATGTTGAACAGGCCAATTTTGGGTAATATAAGAAACCTGGACCAAGAAAACATATATAAGAAATTTATTTCAAAAGTGATACGATGAATGAACAAAAGGGGATAACGGATATATTGATACTCAACTGGAAGTTTTAGATGTAAAAGCTTAAGCTCGTCAGTGTCCTCCGCCTGAACCATGAGTAGTCTATCATCACCATACATTACCTGACGAACATAAGTTTTTCCTGAAACTCCTCTATTTAAGCAACATTTCCCAAAAGAAAATGCAAGAATTCTATCACATGATGCCTCCTCTGTAGCAAATAGTCTATATCCATATTCATCCCACTGGATGGCTGAAGTACCATTCATCAGTGGTTCGTATTTACTGTCTTGTTTTGGATTAATTTTAGGGGAAGATGTAGAACTCAATCCAATTTGGCGGACAGTTGACATCAATCTACATCCAGAAACAGACCAAACTGCAAGTCCTCTCGACTTCCACCCAACTGCAAAAGCAGAATTATCAGGCGTCCATGCAATGTTATTGACAGGCCCAGTGTAATCGGCTGAATAACTGCAAGTTTCAAAACAGCGTTATCAACCATGTACCCAAAATATCACGGGCGTGAAATAAACACAAGAAGTAAAATTGAAAATCTTGAATAGATCAGCTTAGTTAAACTGGAATAAACCATTCAGCATTGCCGTATAAACTTCCAGATATAGTATAATATTATGGTCTTTACATAACACCAGAATAAAACTACTCAGATATAGAGTAATACCCAAACCTTTCAAAACTAATATTAAAAAATAAACGTTCAACACAAAATAGTAACAAGTTACTTACCCCCAGTCATGCAAAGAAACTGTTCGTAAGAGAGAGATCGATTGTGACAGATCATATAATTCCACCATCCCTTTTCTTGTACCCACAGCAAGAATTTGTTGCTCTGAAGCCACTGATGCACAAACAGCATCACCACCCAACTTCTTCTCAGCTTTAATGCTCTCAGTGTACTTTAAACCTTTCTTATTCACAGAGCATACTACAAGCTGCCCATCAGAATTTAACACAAACAATAACTTCGAGCGAGTGCAGAGTTCCAGCTGAACAATAGCCGATTTTGTTGAGAATTCATCATCAGATGCAAGTGCTGCTGAAGCTACTCCAGAGACTAGCCCATTACCAAGAGTGTAGGACAAGAGTCTATCGTCGTTGCTATCAGAAGGGTGGGAGCCAATACTGAAAGCTCCACCAAACTACAAAGGCAAACAAAAATTTAGAAATCAGGAATCTTGCATAAAGAATTCAAAAACCCCAAGAACAAACAATGCAGATGAAGCAAATCTACATTACCTCTCCTTTCCAGGAAATACTATATAAACATCCATCAGAAAGTCCCAAAAGCATAGTTTTGCTGTCCCTCACAAAATTGCTCCTGCACAGAGTGAAAGAACTAGCCTCACATTTCTAATCCCAGAATTTTAACTGTGTAGACTCATACGGTAAATGTTGAGCACGGCAGAGACACGTACAGAAAAAGCACTTACACAGACAAGTCCTTCCCAGCAAAAGGGACCTGCTCACTTAGCAAAAGAGATATGGTCGCAAAACACAACTCCGAGGGTTGTCTCTCTCCAGGTTTTACTCTTTTATCAGTAAACTTAATTTTATATATATGAAGGAAGAATGATGATGTCTGCAGATCAAAACCAAGAACAAAAAGAAAATGGTGAAAAGACATACAAGTGTGATAACGAAAACAGGTATCTTGATTAAACGATTCAAACAAGATACTAGTACTGAAATGAGAGGCGTAAGCTGAATGTTTGATATCATCAAGCTCTCAATATTAAAAACATGTTTTTTGCTCATTCTAACTACAATCTGGTGAAGATTCAAATAACTAGATTCTGTATACCAAATCAAGAAATTCTCAGCTAAGGAAGAAAGTAAGAACTTACAAGAAGAGCAATCAATTTGGAGTCTGGACTCCACACAGCTTGCAAATTCTCTCCTTCTTCTCGCACCGACCTGTCATCTCTCATATACTTTCCCAACCTCACTCGTTGCTAATTCCGGAAATTGAAATTCAAACAAAAAAGCTATAAGTTAACGAACTCTAGACTCCAATTACGAATCACAGTGACGAAATGCAGCTATGATGATAAAGCAAGCAAGCAAGCACCTGAGAAGAACCCCAAAGCTCCAAGTGAGACGGAGAAACAACCAGCAATAGCCGGCCGGCGAGCTTAAGGTACACGACTCGCTGAGAAGACGGACACGATCCCGCTAGAAGCGGGATCACCTGCGGCCATCCGTAAGCCATATACATCTTTGGCTATATCTCTTCTCCTCCAATGAAACTCTAATCCTTGGCTATATCTCTCTATCTCTGTATCTCTACAATGGATCTGATTGATTCTGATGAGAAGAAATTACAGACTCTGTTCATATACAGAGATCATTGAAACATTTTGTTGGAAAAAACAAGGAAGAAGATGGATCTCGCAGATCCATAAACGGAGCATCAAAATTAAATTGGAATGCTGACCAACTAAAAAATAATTTCCCGACCGGTTTATAATGATCGGATTTTAATTCTAATCGGTTTAAGTCTTGTACAATGAAACCGGATTTGTATCGAATGATGCCGTAAACAACTAAACATAATGGGCCAATGGGCCTCCTTTTTTCTTTTGACATGGCCTCCTGTGATGATATTCTCACGGTGGTTTCACCGTAATCCGGTCCGATCATGTTTTAATCAATCTATAAACGATTTGGTAATTGAAACTAAAAATATCGATTTGGTAATTCAATACCATAAATTATTTTTTCATCCTTTTCGTTAAAAATTTTGCGTTGTTTTTATCTTTCTACAGTTTAATTATTATCGTTATTGAAGAAAGTTTTCTTTGTGTGCATAGCAACATCTGAAGAAAGTCACACGTCTAATAAATAGCTCATTCATTGGTGCTAAAGAGGAACTTATAACTACCATTATTCTTGATAAAAAAAACAAGAAAAAAAAAACTAACTAAACTAGCATTATCCAATACAACTAAAGTAAAAAAAAACAAAAAAATGATGAAAAAAGTCAAAACAGATAGGTGACCTCCTTTAGAGCCGCATCGACCATTTTGTTGGAGGTTTTGATAGCATCATCGATTCTCCCAGCCTTGACATAAGCATCAATGATTGTTTTGAAAGTGGTAACGAAAAGTGAATCAGTAAAGAGAGACTCTGCTTCCGACAACATGCCATATTCGCAACACCTTGTGATAATGTATTCCTTAACTAAGAAATTCTTCTTCTCCCAGCCTTGACATAAGCATCAATGATTGTTTTGAAAGTGGTAACGAAAAGTGAATCAGTAAAGAGAGACTCTGCTTCCGACAACATGCCATATTCGCAACACCTTGTGATAATGTATTCCTTAACTAAGAAATTCTTCTTCTTGGCTCTCGCCTTGGCCTTGCTGTAGGTATCGATTGCCTCGCTACACCGACCCATATCAAAACACTCTTCCACCATTATCTCAACCATTCTTCTTCTTGGCTCTCGCCTTGGCCTTGCTGTAGGTATCGATTGCCTCGCTACACCGACCCATATCAAAACACTCTTCCACCATTATCTCAACCGTATCAGAGTCCAAGCGTCTGTTATCGGTTCCACTTTGATCTAATATTTCATGGTACAATGCCCAAGCATGTTTTTTCTCACCGTATTTGAGCAAGACTTTCAGAAGGGCGTTGCCAGTTTCTGGGCAAACCGGTAACTTGTTTGCTACTAGTATAGTAGTATAGACTGGTGGTAGCACTCCATAGCTTCCACCTGTTTACCTTGCTTAAACCAGTATTCCATGAATGTGGCCATCAGGAATGCCACTCTGTTTTCATATCCAGGATACTCTGAACAGAGAAAATCGGTTTATAATGATCGGATTTTAATTTAATCGGTTTAAGTCTTGTACAATGAAACCGGATTTGTATCGAATGATGCCGTAAACAACTAAACATAATGGGCCAATGGGCCTCCTTTTTTCTTTTGACATGGCCTCCGGTGATGATATTCTCACGGTGGTTTCACCATAATCCGGTTTTAATCGATCTATAAACGATTTGGTAATTGAAACTAAAAATATCGATTTGGTAATTCAATACCATTAATTATTTTTTCATCCTTTTAGAATTGATATTTTGTTAAACCGGACGGCGAACCGTAAACATGTATTATTGAAGCTAATAACGAATTCATTAAACACTAATTAAAAACATGCTATATGATAAAATAAAATAAAAAACATTCAAATATACTATGCCCCCATACTCTTTCACTTTTCTTAGTTTTATTTTTTGGTAATATAATTTCATTTGGCTAAAACTTAGAAATTGGAGATATAAATATTTGTTACTAAACAAGAGACATCCCCATTTAATAAAAAATCTCCTTTTCGCCTCTCTCTCTCTTTTAAATTAAAAATCATGAACTTTACATCCCCATTTAAAAGTAAAAAAAGAAATGTAGAATATGTAGAATTTTAAAAGTTGTTTTTGGCTGTATCCATTGTTGGAAAGTACTAGCAATTTTCAGTGAGTCCATGTGTGGTGTGTGCCTTTTGCTTAGTAGCTGTTGTCTTATGCGGTATAGTTTTTTCCATATCCAATGTAACAAGAATGGCGAAGGACTTCCGTACTCTTTTCTTTCATTTTGTATACGTTATGGTAGAATTACCGTTCTACCAGTGGCGGATGTAGAGAGAAAAATTTCGGCTAAGCTCTCTCCTTTCTTCAAGCTCTCTCCTTTCTTCTTCAAGCTCTCTCCGCTTCTGTTCTTCTTCTCTTCATGGTTTTTTTTTTTGCAAAGTTCTCACTTTTTAGCGTGCAAAGTTCTATGTGCAAAGTTCTCACCTTTTAAATGTTATTTTTTTTTTTGAAACAATGTTTTGGAGATGAGGAGATCATTTGGCCTCCGTATGCTCCTGGTTTCCCAGGCTAATAAGATAAATGATGCTGCCTGGAAGCTTGATAGAGTGCGACATGTAGTTTTTCTGGATTACTTGTATAAAGTTTGTACAAAAGCAAGCAGTCGAAGAACTTGAACATTTCAATCGAGAATATATGAGGATAGATTTATTTTCAAAGTCATTTAGAGAGTACGTGTTTATTTTGTACAATGAATGAATGAGAGATAACGAGATAAAAAAATGTAAATAGTCTATATTTCGTGTAGATTAGAAATTGTAAAGGTCACAAGCTAATAGGTTGTCTTAGACTTCAAATGGTTGTCACAAACTAAGAAAGCTAAAAAAGCATTCATTTATTTTTTTTACCGTGTGAGATGAATAAGTTAGAAATTTGATTCAATCCATTCAACTAAAATTTTTTAGAAGAATGAACAAACATAAAGATAAAGTATTCAACTCATTCATCTATTATTTCGTAAACGAATGAGTTGAATGATATATTTTTTTCAACTCAATTTTTTATAATCATTCATATACACACAATAATTTGTACCATTAGGATGTGATTAAATTCCATTAAGAGTATTTTTTTTTGTGTGTGATAAAAGTCTCATTAAGAGTGATGTGGAGTGATGTAAACATTTTAACAAATTACTAATAAATCGAAATTTGGAAATCTCGTATGTATTCAAACAAAGTCCCATCAGTTTTGTGCAGGATTACTTGAATATAGAGTTTAAAGGTAATAACGCTTGAAATTTGTGGGGAAGAGTAAGGATGGGGAAGTCTCGACGAGCAGCAATCATATCAACACTTTTATTAATGTCAGCTTGAGACCGGTTTACAACACCAACCCAAGGATACCTTAATTTGTATCCTCTTCCTTCAAGTATCTGAAATCCCAAAACATTTAGAAGACTTAGGGACTGTTCAAATATTCACTCACCACAATTTAGTGAGATTCTCATATTTATCTTCGTTGTGTCTTATCATAATGCAATTAGAGATAAGTTGTTTGCAGATTAGACGAACGATAGTCTTAAGTCTTAACCCATGATATATATTACTATCGTCTTAAACTCTTAATGTAAAAATTTACATCAACAGCATTAGTGCCTTGGTCCATGAGATCAATATTTGTTAAACTCCAAAAGTCCAGTCTCCTGATAGCAGCAAGTAGCAACGAAGCAAACAATAAACAACATGAATCAATCAATTCAAACTACTATCAAGATATCTGCTTGCAGAGGATCATCTTCTTTGTTTATTACAGATGATAAGATTATCATCATCATAGAGAACCACTAGGCAGTGACCATGCAACTCAATCATAGATACAATGCTCCGTAGAAATAAAACCACACTTAATTTCTTTCAAACCATATTAATAATAGCTTTTTCTAGGGAGTGGCCGTTGTTAGGGATGTTTTTTGTTCTCATGAAATCAAATTAACCAACAACGAATCGAGGAGATAGGCTCCTTTAGGCTCCCCTAAATGACAATCAATGTAAAAAGCAATCTTATGATCATTGAGTTAGGAAAAGAGAGTGTTAAGGTGAATCCTAATTTGCATTCGACCACAATTTATATAAATACATAAATATTTTAAGTTCAAAACGATATTTGTACAAACATGATCACACAAACGCATTCTCCTCCTCCCCATAACCCTTTTTTTCTTGTCTCACTTGGGTGTGAAAGCCTGTAAAGAAAAAAAACACAAAAGCTAGTCAAATAAACGAGTCCATGTTTTATGAACATTATTAAAGATAAGTTTTGATTCGGATCACACTTACAGCGAAGATTGTGGCGTGACCAGGATCAGCAAGATGTGCAAAAAGGTTATCAATTGGACCAGTGCCAGTGTAGATGTGTTGGAACCAAGCACCCATCACTGCCAACATAGCCAACCTCCCGTTCTTGATCTCCTTGGTCCTCAACTCCTTGAGCTTAGCCGGGCTACCGGATCCCCAACCCAACGGGTCGAACCATAACCCACCCGGGTAACCAACGTCTGTGCCCGTCAGTTTGTTGTTTGGGAAGACTGGGTCAGTGTTGACGCTACCGGGCTTGATGATATCGGCCCATCTACGTCCTTCGGCCCATCCGATCAAGATGAGCTCAACGACGAAGAGTGTGGTTTTGTCCGTGAAATACTCTTGCTCTCCCGCCGTGTACCACGATGGAGTGTTGAGGATTCCAATCTTCGTTAGGAACTCCGGGATGAATATCCCGGCGGCTCCTAGCATCGCCCACCGGCAGTGGACTAGCTCTGCTTGTACGTTCCATTTTAGACTGTCCGGGTCCGATGCTGACATATGTGTATTCAATTTTGTCAGAAAAATATGAAAATAGTCTGATTTTGGTTGTAAATTTGGTCAAAACATATAAGATTAGAACCAAAAAGATACTCACAAAGACCAAGAGGATCAAATCCGAAGTCACCGGGGAGGCTACCGTCGAGCCACTCTGGAGGAGTGCTTCCCGGGAACCAGATCGGTCTATCTGGATCAGCTGCGACGGCGCGCACCGACGCATCTGGCCTGGACACAGCTGGAACAGTCAACTTCTTCTTCAGCCTCAGTTTCTTACCACCCAAGAAACTGCACATATATCATAAACCTAAAAATTTAGTCACAACTTCAATAACAACAACCATGCATAAATTCATATTATTATGGCAGATCGGGGTTTGGATCACACAAAAAATAGTAGCACAACGTTTAATCTAAATGGATCACTATTTTCCTTACAACATGTACACAAACACACATTCTGATGTGATATTAGTATAAACAACTAGATTATAAATTCCGATCAATGGATCACTATCTTAGCGCTATATAAACTAAACTAAGTACAAGGATCTTAATCTCATTCCTATATAGCAAGTGATGATAACTGAAAAGAAGAGAGAAGTAGATGAGCTTACCTTGGAGAAGAAATGGCAGCGATGGCAGAAGAAGCACAAAGAGATGATGCCATTTTTCTCGACGTTGTTGACCTTCAAGACTCAGAGTGTGTTAGAAGAAGAAGGAAGGAATGATGTGTAATCTATAAAAGCCCTCTGGTGACAAAATCAGATTCTGCTTATCTGATTATCTATACGGATAACGCAATGAGTTTCCTCATTGGTCAACTAATTGACACGTGGCAACTTTGTCCCACCACATCTTAGATTTTCTCTATTTGAGCATGATAACTATTAACTGAGTTAAAAAAATAAAAAATTCAGCTAATAATTCAAATGACTGGGCCGATAAAGAATACTATAGCCCATATTTTTTTGGGTTTCTTATCTTTAGCTAAAAGAAATGGGCCGTCAAGAAAATAGGTATCCCTTTAACATTTGCGGGACCTCGTTTATGTACCTTCTACAAATTGAATGCAATTTTTATTATCCAATTTGATAATAAAAACATGGAGTGGTACCAAGCAAAAAGAAACATGAAGTGGTACCATGTGACGTGTAGGAGAAAGACAAGACGACGAGATCTAAGACTGTACACTCACAAGCAAAATGATTAAATATCTATAAACATCGTTGTTAATCGATCATATATTATTATAGCGAATGGAATGATTGTATACGTTTATTTCTTTCTATCTCTAAACCACCCCTGCTTTGTAGGAAACAAAATTGTGAATCACATCTATAAAATCTTATGATTAGCAAACACTAATTAGCCATGTTTTATGTGACGTAATGGTAGTAAGATTCCTAATTAAAGAGAGTAGGAATAGAAAACATAAAGGTGGAGAATAAGCTAATATCTTTATCGTAATATCAATAACAAAAGATCCCTCACACTCACAGACACTGAATACATGAACTCCAAACTTTTTATTAGAAAAACAATAATAGTGTAATAAAAAAATTTGTGTTGTCGTGACTTTTTCAATATCATCTAAAATTTTATTCAATTACAAATGAAGTAATGATTGAACCTCTTATTCCACCGAAACATCATCTTAAATCTAAGATCAATATTGGATCAAATAGGGTTTAAAGTAGGGTATATATTAGGTTAGGTTATGAAACAAACAAGAAACAGTCAATCAAGTATATTCGTATCGATGCATCATGGGACCAGAGAAAGAGATGGTGCGAGTAATCAAAAATTAAACAGTGACATGACAAAGAGAAGTGTGGGAGAGGTATGAGATGAGATGATAGGCATAGAAGCAATAGGGCCATGTGGCTGTCTCGGCCTCATTATAACATTTCCAAATCAACACACCATTCTCCATACTTATTTCGTTCCTCTTATCGTTTTAGAGTTTTTTTTTTGGATCGATGGTAATTGACAAATTGCATGTTTTTTTGTCGTATAACATATACATTGACTAGTTGAGCGTCATGAATTTTCTCATTGAAGTTTGGTTTAAATTTCGTGACATTGATTACAAAATTCTACAATACATGTATTATTATACCTATGCAATACCATCGTGTAAAACTTATAAAATAATTTATAAATGTATAGGTGTATTAATGTGTTATTATGGTACCAATACGTCTTGTCAACATAACTTTAAATGATTTTGATTATAACAACAAAAATGATCTCAAACGTTGATACTTTATGAGTTTTTGATGCGTATGTGTTTTTGTGAAAGTTTTAGAAGGCTACAGTCTATAGATTTATTTATTTTTTGTTAAAAGAAAATTTATTATATGTGTTTTCTATTTATAAGGTTTCAGAATTCAACGTGTGATTCTAAATAAGGCCCATAACTTCATAAATATACCAAATATATCAATTTTATTATTTTTCTCTGGTTATTTTTGTGTGAGTCAACCAAATAATATGTTTTTTTTTGGGTGTAAAGAACCAAAAATGTTAATACTAAGTTTGAAAATATCATCGTAAGTAAGTTTGTAAATCTTATGAAATTTGTTCACATGACTATAAGTATTAGAGTATACGACCACTTGATTTAAAATACGATTATAGATAACATAACATAACATATATGTTCATTGCAAAAACGACATTTCTCCGATCATAGTTGAGCCATGAACCATTGCCGGTTGGTGGAAGGATCATTGCCACCGACGACTTGTCTCCTATATCTCTCTCCGGTCCACCACTGAGTTAAACAATAGACTTTTTCTTCTTTTATATAATTATTATTTATTATGTATATATAATCTATCATTTTCGAAATTGAGGGGTATAGATAAGGTTGATTCCTCTTCTTTATTAATCATCTCTTTAAAGCCTCCTTGACCCACACACACCCTTCTCTCGTTTCTCTTTGCTTTCTTCATTTTTTTTTTAACTTTTGCTTTTGTAATGTTTTACTCAACCTAATGCCTTTTCTTTTATATATCATCGTATATATATTTCTGTTAAATTTAATACCGATTGATCAAAACATATTGTTATCACTTTTCAAAACTAGAAGTAATCCAAAATTTTATAGTGTTGTCAAAATAAAAAAACTATTCTAAACCGAAGTGCAAAGTAAAGCATAGTTTTATATACATAACAAAGACAAAAGCAATGAACTAGTTTATAAATAAAGTAATATTATAGGTGATCCCTTTCATTTTTGATATATACACCTCAACTGATACCAACATAGAATCACAAAAGAAATATCTAAACTTGTTAAATAAAGAAAAGAACGTAATAGTTAGCTACTTAGCTCAGCATATGTAATTTCAAAATAATTTTTAACTTGTAAATACATTTTGTTGTTTTCCTATAACCAGTATAAATGCTAATAGAGACAACGCATCAGACCTCTTTGACGTGTGGTTCACGTAACGATCCTCAGCCGTTTGATTTTACTTTACCACAAGATTAGTTAACGATCTTGATCAAATTACCCAATATTGTTCTTAATGATAATGATAATTAGTGCTCTATTTTTTGTTTGTTCTTATGAAAAAATGTTCTAATACCGAGAACGTAGCCTGTTTATCTACTGCCCTAGTGTAAATTTCACGTGTTAAATAACATTCAACGAATCCCAAAAACTAAAATAAAAAAATGCAATTCCATTTATGATATAAAAAAATAAAAAAAATAGGACGAATTAAATCCCCAATCCACATCAAAATCTCCTATCAACCGCACGTACCACGTGTGCTGATCGTCGTGCAACTTGCAGATGCTTTTATTCCCAAAAAAAGAACAAGTTATACTGTAGAGACGCACGTAGCCAATTAAAAAAAAAAGATCCAACAATGTTGGTGACAGAACCATATCTCACAGGCCAATCTTTTCCCAATTCTACTCTTTTTTACCTCATTGGAACGTTCACATAACAAACGTCACAGTCAGTTAACTCTATCAAAATCAATCTTACTCGACACGACGTCGTTTAGACGGATCTTGTACCTTCCCTTCATCTTCTTCCTCCTCCTTTGCTTTCTATAAATCAAACTTCTCATTACATTAAAAAAATCAACTTTTTCAAAAAAGAAAAGAAAAACCAGAGCTCACTCACTCTCTCTCTTCTTTCCCTCTCTAAAAACCCTAGCTTTCTCCATGGGCTTTCCCGTAGGTTACACAGAGGTTTTCTTACCGAAGCTTTTCGTACAAACACTTTCGATTCTCGGATTCATCAGAACCATCGTCTTCTCTATCTTCCGCTTCTTGGGTCTCTCAGATTTTCTCGAAATGGATCAAACCTGGCCCGATTACACATCGTACCCGACCCGAATACCCGAAACCCGCTCACCCTTCTCCGCACTCCTAATCAGAGAGATCTTACCGGTTATCAAATTCGAAGAGTTAACGAATTCCGGCGAAGACCTACCGGAAAACTGCGCCGTTTGTTTATACGAATTCGAAGGAGAGCAAGAGATCCGGTGGCTGAGAAATTGCAGACATATATTTCACCGGAGCTGTCTTGACCGTTGGATGGATCATGATCAGAAGACGTGTCCACTTTGTAGAACACCGTTTGTTCCAGATGAGATGCAAGAAGAGTTTAATCAACGGCTATGGGCTGCTTCTGGTGTTCATGATTTTCACTGTCCCGTGACCGAATTATTATAGAAGAACCACGCTTTTCTATCTTTTTTTTTGTCCATTGTGTTCTTTTTTGTTTTAACTTTTCACCCCTGTACTTTTGATTTTACTTTTTCCACCCCCTTACTGACAATTAGATTTGCCACGCTTTTATGTGTGTATAGTTTTTACATATGAATGAGAGATGAGCAATAAACATGTACCGAAAACAGAAAAATAAAAGGCAGGTTATTTACTTTGAAAGTAAAAAAAAAAAATGAGTTAGATGCTAAGCATATCCAAGAAACCAAAATCAATACCATAGTATTAAACTGAACAGTATAAAATTCAAGTCTTACATTTTTAATCCACTCAAGTGGTTTATTTGCAGATTGAAAGTTATGACCTTAAATTGCCATTTACAGTAACTTATGCTGTTTTAATTAGTTCTGAGAGTTATTAATGTATTTTAAACCGAGAGTAGTTAAGATCTTGTCAGAACTTGTCTCTGACCAGTGACCAGTGACCACATCTGTAAATTTTTGTTGGTAATTATGGTAATAAATATTTTAAAATACAGAGTCACCTTTTTATCTTTAGTTTTAACCAAAAGGATCTAAATTCAATGGATCATGGTAATGCGTAAAGGCAGAATCTGGTAACATGCTTGGTCTGCAGATCCATCAGTCAATTCAAACGTAATAATTCAATGAATTTATTTTACTTGAATAAAAATATAACAGAAATCCAAAAATCTTGAAAACCGAACATTTCTGAAATGAAAAACTGAAACTGAAATTCTAGTCCTAAAGTTCTGGAATACCTCTTTATAACTGAAAATCAGATGTTGTATGTTCAATTATGTAGCATTTTTTTGACTGAAGGTGAGATTGTAATATGGTATAGAGAGAAGACATGCTTTCAATGTAGAGAAAGATAATTGAAGTGGGTAGGTTAAAAATGGGGGCAAGTGGTATTTACTATTTGGGTAATGATTGAAAAGATGACCAATACAAATCACCATCATCTATTTCATGTCCTGCTCTAGATTTTATGTCCTAGAGAATCTACTTTTATAATAGTCTATATATATAGACTATCTATCTATCAGTAAACAACAAAGCAATTTGAGTTGGTTTGGATTTTCGTAGACTCGTAGTCCACACACACACACGTATACAAAACATTAAAATATAATATAGGAATATATGCTTTATAATGTATTTGTAAATTGTTATAGTTAGCAGCACAAGAACCTCCGAGAACATTGCTTGCAGTTGCACAGTTAGAATGGGGAGGTATGTAGTGGTTGGCTCCACCTCAAAGTCACATCATGAAATGCAAAATTGTTTGGCATCTGATTATCTGAATCGCATCACCAAACAAATCTGAACTTGGCTGGATGTGAGTTGCAAGTTGTAATATGCGTCAAGCATTCCTTTTTCCTTTGAAGTAGGAGCTCATGAACAAAAAAAAAAAAGAAGGTTACTTGTAAATGAAGGCAGCGATTCCCAGGAGTATGCATAAGAGGATGATGTCTATGCAGAAGTTGCGGCTGGATCTCAACTATTATCAAATAGAGAGCAATGAGGTTAACAATATTATAATGAGAATGGTTTCGATCTCGATCTCAGTGGAATGTGTGTTATATCACCTTTGTTACAGTATCCTTAAGCCTCACATTGGTGCTTTTCAAGTCAGTAGCTGCCTTGTCAATCTGAATGATATAATACCAAATGGAGAAATGGTAAACACAATCTCGTTAACGAAAAAATCATATCAAGGACAAGTGTATAAGTTAATTAACCTTTGTATCTATTTCATCCATGAGTGGTTCTTGTCTATCAAGTTCCTGTAATGTAATGTACCAGTAAGAAGAGCACTACGACATGATCAATAAAGGTAACATCAACCGCACAAAAAAGATATCGGTATAGGTGAACCTCATTGATGTCCTGAGCCATATTCTTGAGTGTATCCAGTCCTTCAGCTATGTAATCCAATCCTTGATCCTGATTACACAGTAGTTAGACTCTTGTTTAAAGAAATCGATCATTATAGACCTAATGATAAACCAAAAAAGCAACACACACACACACACACACTTGCCTGTTTTATTCTTTTCATCTCATACTCTTGTTTAAACTGATCAGACTCTCCGGTTGGCTCGAAATATTCACTACCAATTCTGTGATCTGATACAATTGAGCAAGTCTTCATTAATCAACATACTAATCTTATAACGCAGAGGTCACAAAATACAGAGAAACCAGTAGATAATACCTGAGACATTAGTATCGAATCTGATATTCGAATACGATGTTGAAGCTTCCCAACCACCTACAACAGGAGCAGAGGTTTCTGGTATGGCCTCAATCTTATCTCTCAATGACAAAACCAAATCATTCCTAACATCAAGCTCTTCCTTTGAAAGCCCTTTGACCTAAAAACAAGTCCTTTCTTATCATCACATGCAATAAAACCAACCTCTCACCAACACAGATTTTGATAGAAAATTAGGTCACTGAACAAAAAAGAGAAAGACCTGTTTGAGAGCAAGTCTCTGAAGTTTTGGAATTCCTTCAAGCAATCGAGCTTTCGTTCTTCGAATCTCTGCGTTCATCGCTACAGCTTTCGCTTTGTTCGTCTCAGACGATAAATCCTCTGTTTTCTATAACGTTCCTCACAATTTTACAGTTATAAAAAAAAAACCAAACATACAGAGAAAAAAGCGAAATGGGGTTAATATGATCAAACCTGAAGAACAGTTTCGAGCGCAGATTCGACGGCGGAGTAAAGGCGGGAGAAAGCATCGTCGCCGGAGACATTAGCTTCTCTCTGTTTATTGAGATCATACTTTTCGTACTTCTTACAGATGGAATTAACCCTAGTGATCAAATCAACTACGCCCATCTTCGCCGCTCGACGCTAGGGTTTTGTTTCGCCGGAGATTTTCCCGAAGCCTTCTTCCGAAAGTTCTTGTTTTGAATATGATCAGAGCAGTTACAGATATGACACGTGGGGCTTCTACATAACAAAAGCACAGATGATTGTTTTGTGGCCGTTGGATCTGTTGCCACGAGGGCGTTTCATGAAGATTATTATATTTTCCTTATAAAGTTGAAGATTATTTTCTTTATGAAGTCAAAAATGTTGATTCTGTTGTTGTGTGTGATATTGGTCAAATACTCTCAGTCGTTGTGTGATATTATTAGTAGTCAATGCTTATAATAAAACGTTTTATTTCATCAAAAAAAAAGAGTAGTGATTTTCCAATCTATATAGTACCTTTTTATTCTTCTTCAAAATCTTGATTGTTTTCACTTCTAAAATGAAGTACTTAAAAAGGCTTTTATGTTTGATATATCATCAATCAAAACTTTTCTTTGGAAAAAAGTGTATCTTGAACCAGGAAATGATTTTATTAATTGGATTTTCAATATCGAAGATCGACATACAGTAATTATTTTTCCAATATTACATCAACAATACAATATAAATACAAACATTTTACTCTTACATCTTGTTTTTATAATCTTTTGCCTCCCGAGATTTTTTGGTAAAGAGTCAGTCTTTCTTCATCAATCAACTGAAACTGGTTTCATCGCTTCTGCTTCTTTCCTCAGCTCATCAAACAGAACAGACGACAGATATCTCTCTCCGAAGCTCGCATGAATCGTCTGTTATAAAGACACAAAACGATTTCCTCTCTTACCAAATCAAAACACAGATCAAAAACAAAACACCAAAAAATACTTTTTCCCTCTCTTACCACAATGAGTTTGCCTTTATTCTCTGGCATTTTCGCCAGTCTAAGGGCTGCCACGGTGTTAGCTCCCGACGATATCCCAACCTACAAGTCAGTTTTCATACTTAGAACCACAAAACAAACAAACAAACTATCTCTGTAAATCATAAACACACTTACCATGAGACCTTCTTTCAATGCCAATTCTCTAGCCATCTTTATAGCATCCTCACTACTAACCTGTTAACGTATTCTCAAAACATAAGCTTTAAAAGTTGAGAACATTGAAAGGATGGAAGCTTTAGCCGTATACTTTACCTCAAGAACACTCTCCATAACATCCATATCCAAGATTTCTGGTTTGAATCCAACCCCATTGCCTGTGATAGCATGCGGACCTAACTCAAAGTTCAAAACTCTAACATCAGCAACCGCAATGAGGATATACTAATAAAGTGTTAAAGATTCAAAATGTTCACCTGGTTTGCCACCGTTGAGTATGTTGCTTTCAGCAGGCTCCACTCCATATATCTACCATTTTTGCAAGACATTCATGATCAAAAGCAATCTCTTTTTCGATATTCACAAGATATCATCAGAACTTAAATCAATCACCTTAACATTGGGGTTTTTAGATTTAAGGTATTGGCCAACACCAGAGACTGTGCCTCCACTGCCAATTCCCATCACAAATATATCAACATTTCCAAGTGTATCTTCCCAAATCTCAGGACCAGTTGTATCAAAATGAATCTGCATTCCAAGCATCATCTCTAGATCAAAAGAGAATGCAAAATAATAAAAAAAAGAGATCTCTCTAACTCAATAAGCATACCTGAGTGTTTGCTGGATTAGCAAACTGTTGACACATGAAAGCATCAGGAGTATTTTCAAGGAGGTCATAAGCTTTCTTAACAGTTCCACCCATTCCTTTAGCTGGATCAGTGAGGACAAGCTCTGCACCAAAGGATCTCATCGTCACTCTCCTCTCCAAGCTAGTGTATGAAGGCATTGTCATAATAATCCTGTACCCTTTCAAAGCAGCCATGAAAGCCAAACTAATTCCCATGTTTCCAGAAGTGGGTTCTATCAATGTAGTCTGAAAAATAAAGCATCAATTCAATGGGTAAGAAACTCTTGATTCACCATTAATTTGAGAAAAGAAAAAAAAAGCTAATTACTTTTCCAGGGATGATTAGTTTTTTCTTCTCTGCATCTGCAATCATGGCTATAGCTGGTCTAAAAGACAAACCAAATCGAACAAAATCAATACTTTCTACTAATGCTTTTGAAGGATTTGAAGATTAGGATTTCACAAAGAACCTGTCTTTGATGCTACATGTAGGCTGGAAATGTTCTTGCTTGGCTGCAATATACGCTTCACAACCTTCAGTGACTTTGTTGAGAAACACAAGAGGCGTTTTCCCAATAAGCTACAACGTGAACACAGACGAATTTGTTAATCGACATCAGAAGAAAGACGAGAAATTTGGTAAAAACCCAGATCGCAGTTTTGAAGATACTCAAAAAACGGTTTTTTTTTTCTTTACCAGAGAGGCATCGCGTTTTGCGTTAGTGGAGGGGAAATCTTTGGGGAGATCTCTGAGTCTCTGAGCAAAAGAAGGAGATCCAACGGTGGAGAAGAGTTTCCTCACGGTGTGGCTGAAGCAGGGGATCGTCTCTTTCCTCAGTAACCTCCTTGAAACAGAGGCCATTGTTGTTGACTAAAACGGAGTAAACGAAGTTTGAAGAGTCAAGAGAGTGAATCAAAGTTTAGAGGAGGAGTGATATGATAGGTGAGGTGGAGAAGAAAGCAATCATATAAATGGATGAGAAAACGAGACAAATACATTGCATCATCATCCATTAGTGTTAAGAGTATAATATTCCAAGTTGATTGTTGGAACTTGGAACTATATGAGAAAAGTAATTTTGAATTGGAGTAAGTGAAGGGTTCTTGTCAGAGTTCTATTGATACTCGTGGAATGATCAAATTTACAGTCAACTTCTTACACCTCTATCTAGCAAATTTTTAACTACTTTTCTTATTCAGATAAATTAGCTATATCGGTCAAGGAATCTTCGTGCTTTGTTGAAAAGTATGTGACAAATGGGACCATTCTCATGGTGATTTTGGTGGCTGTGTCTCAATTCGATTAGGATTTAGGCGAGGTTGGTGACACTGACACGTTTAAAATACCAAAACACTGAACCGGACGAAGATTCCAACCTAACCGGTTAACCCAATTTCTGAACAGAGCGAATCTTCAAACCTAACTGGTTAACCGGTGATAGACCGAACGCATCTTAATGGGCTCGTTTAACAAAAAAGTCCATGTTAAACATCTTTGATTGTAAATTTGTAATAAACAGATTCACAATTTGCAAATAAATCCCTTTTGGGAATTTCTTCCTTGTTTACAAAGATTGCATTAAGTGGGCACATAGATAAACACATTTCACACATACATGGAGATCAACAATAGAAGCAACTAAGGACAAGAAACCAGGAGACTTGATGATGTCTGGTTTTAACTTAGCTTCTGGATTTGAAAGGGATGGCTCTGATGACAACCACATGGTAAAGAGCAGCAAGTGCAGCTCCAATGAAGGGTCCAACCCAAAACACCCACTGAACAAGGGAAAAACGAAACTGTCAGAGATAAATTATCGAATGCAATTGGTATATAGTTTGTGGGAAACTCACGTGGTCATCCCATGAATGGTCTTTGTTGTAAATGATTGCAGCTCCAAGGCTTCTAGCTGGGTTGATGCCTGTGCCAGTGATTGGGATGGTTGCCAAGTGAACCAAGAAAACCGCAAACCCGATTGGGAGTGGTGCAAGAATCTGCAAAATTGTTACAAAACTTTAGCCGGTAAGCAACAAATTCAATGTGAAACCATGGGAATCAGTCTTTCCTTCACACTAATGGCTGCTTCAAGTTCACTCGTTTCAATTATTTCTAGCAACTAAGTTACATGGACTAGTTACTAACGGGGACATGAGAGTCACACTAAGGCAGTTTAAAAGTTCACTCATTTCAATTGTTTCAAGAGGCTACAAGCAGCTATGTTACATGGAGTGGTAACTTACAGGGACATGAGAGTCACGAGCGTTTCTCTTGGCGTCAGTTGCTGAGAAGACTGTGTATACAAGGACAAATGTGCCAATAATCTCAGCTCCAAGACCACTTCCTTTGGTGTAACCATGAGCCACAGTGTTAGCTCCTCCTCCTAGAGCCTGGTATTGCTTGGGCTGGAACCCTTTGACCACACCAGCACCACAGATTGCTCCCAAGCACTGCATCACTATGTAGTACAGAGCTCTGGTAAGCGACAGCTTCCTGGCTAAGAACAGACCAAAAGTAACCGCCGGGTTGATGTGTCCACCTGAGAGTTACATGAACAAATACATTCCAAGATTAGGCCAAAGGACACAATTCAGATTAGAACACTGCAAATTCCACAAAGATTGTAGCTTTCTGAGATTTCTCAAAGATTTCTTGAATCAGATCCAAATGGAACAAATTCACGCAAATATGCTAAAAGCCTAAAACTAATCTCAGTTTTCTAAAAGATTAAAGCTTTATCGTCTTCTTTCTCAACCCAAACACTCAAAAACCTAATTACAATAAAAAGGCGTATCCTTTGAGAAGTGGAGTGACTTACCGGAGATACCAGCGGTGCAGTAGACTAAGGCAAAGATCATACCACCAAAAGCCCAAGCGATTCCTTGGATTCCGACGGAAGCACACATATTGGGTGACCTTTTAACTCCCATAACAGTCAAAACAGTGATGTAGAGGAAGAGGAAAGTAGCGATGAACTCAGCGATCCCAGCTCTCCAAAAGGACCATGAAGAAAGCTCACCAGGCTCGAAAAACGGAGCCGGGGGTGGTTCATTGTAGTCCTTGTCACTCTGAGCTGATGTTCCGATTGGTTGTCTCTCCGGGAACTTGTTAGCTCCAACTCTAACGTCTTCTTCTTTGCCTTCCATTATCTTTGACTCGATTCGATCTCTCTATAGAGAAATTGAAAAGCTTTGGTTTTGTTTTTTTCTTCTCTGAGTGTGGTGGATTTGAGAAAGGAGAGTGGTTATTTTTATAGTTGGAAGATAATGCATAGAAATGGAGAAATAAAATAAAAAGACGATGATGACAAATTGATAATTACATAAAAATTTGTTAATGTTATCTTCATAGTAATCATGCTACTAAATAAATCTAATTATTGGATTGGGTCAGTGATAATTTAAGCGTTTGGACAGAGTTTTGAATGCTCCATTCCAGCTATTTTTGTAGTTTAACTAATGTTTTATAATCAAAACAGATCAATGTCTGTTTTTAATAATCCTCATGATTGTAACTAAATAATTGCTTAGTTACTAACTGCTACGAACAAAACACGATCCTCCAGTTGAGATGATCTGGCGTTTGCCAACCAGGAATAGGATAAGCACATCTGTACCATGCACCATGCACCATGCACCATGCACATACTTTATGTACCATGACTGTGACATTCACCATAATGATTAATGAGTGTAGCACAGAGTTTGAAAATGAAGGGATGGTACTAATAATTTTGTTATTCTCTTCATGATCGTCTAACTTTTTTGTTTTCTTTTTCTTATGAGGATTGATAATTGTAATCGAACTAGTGAATACAATTCTTCTATCAGCATAGTTAAAAAGCACTGGTTTATGCAAATAATACTGATTATTTTTTCCTACCACAAAACATAATCCTAACTCTAGTTTTATCACTCTACATATGTACTAATAACGAAAAAAACATTTTTTAAAATTGAGTGGTAGTGTAATAAATTGCCAAATAGGAAAGACAATGTTAAAGAAAACAAAAACAAAAAGCTTAGTGGTTGCTATATTGTTCTGGAATGAGCCATTGGGGCCCTACACTCTTGTAGCATCCAAGAGGCATATTACCATCTATTTTCCAACTCCTTATAATCATTTTGACACTGTAATTAAGTAATTAACCATAAAAAAAGGCTCATGTGAGATAATTTCTAAAACTAAAAATCCACATTTACACGATTTGAGAACCTTAAGTCTTTAAAAAGACCGACCCATTAAATCTCATGACACGAAAAAGGAAAGTGTGAAGTGTGATTTTGGATTTTATGTTGGAGAGTGATTATTTAATAGCCGTCCAATGCATCGACGATAAGATACGTGGATGCCGGCGCCTTACATATCCAAAACCGACCATTTATCTTATGACATATGTGTACTCAATCAATTTATTTATTTGATTGTGGCTGCTATCCTATACTAATATTTGGGAAGTACATACTAAGGATCATAACTTGATTTTGTAAGAAATTACAATATATGCCATTAGAGAATTCTAATCATAAAATTTTATTCCATGTCACTAATATATATTAACGGGTCAACGGGTCAACGGGTTTAAAGATATTAAAAGATTTTGTTTATATAATTCATATATTTTTCGATAATAACTATATTACACAATTAATATAATTCGAAATTGTTATATACTAATCAATTCGAAAATGTAACACAATTAGTAAAAATGTTGTATACTAATATATAATTCGAAAATGTGACACAAAAATGTTATTGAAAATGTTAATGAAAATGATATATCATTGAAAACATTTTATATCAATTGACTTTATAAAAAATGCTATTTTGAATTATAATACTCATATAGTTCGAAAATGTTATATACTAATCCATTATTTGAAAATGAAAATGTTATCCTATACTATTATTTGGGAAGTACATCATATAAGTCGTAACGTTGATTTTATAAGAAATTACAATATATGCCATTAGAGATCTCTAATCATAATCATTTTAATTCTATGTCACTAATATTCATCAATTCATTAAAAACGGGTCAATGGGTCAAACGGATTTAAAAGTATTATTGAGATTACCTAATATATAGGAGGTCAATCACGAATATAACAAACATGGATTTTGTTTAGATACAAATAATTTTTAATCATACAACGAAATTTAGTTTAGATTTTAAAATATTTCCTTAACTAAACTATACTAATTAATTATGATTAATATATATGGAAGAAAAAAACGAAATTATAAATATGTAAACTAATTAAATTTGATAATATATTAATAGATATTTCCAAAATCTTTATATCGGGATTGTCTCAAAAATTTTGTCTATGTGTATTTCGCAGATTGGCAAAGATAAATACATATAGAAATGATATTTTTAATTTACTAAATCAGAAATAAATATAGCATCCTAAATCTTAGTACTTGCCATAACAATTGTATATTTATTCGAATAGATTCAAAACGAAAATTCAAATCCCTTGTATTAAGCAACTACAACAAACACCAATAAAAAAGTCAACAAAATATTCGAATTTTCCTAAAATATAGTTATAAAATCTAAAATCTTTCAAAAATTGTTAACCACGTAGAGATTTTGTAATTAAGGAACAAAAATTTATTTTTGAACATAATTTTCAAAACAGTTAATACAATCTTCAAAACGGATCTTATATATATTCAATTTGCATTAAATCTTAATTTAAAAAAGATATGATCATATCAAACCTAAATTGTGATAATGATTAGCCGATTCTCTTCTTAGCTTATAAATAGATAATATATGATCCGGCTAAATCATTCACAAATCACAAAATTTATTCTAGCAGCCATTTTTGAAATCTTTCACGCTTTTTTTCTAATGTTCTTTATCTTAGAAATTGTTTTCGACAATAGTCTACCTTGTGATTGTAGGATTTCAAAATTCAGAATGGAGTGAAGAAAGAATATGTCGAACACTAACAGAGGTTTGTGATAAAAGCAAATTTGAAAATCAAGAAAAATTATGTTTCTGATTTACAAGTGTTTTTTTATTACAGATTGAAGAGGCATCGACATCTGCTATCAAAAACTTAGTTGGGAAGAATTTTTCAATCATTTCTTTTTGATGAAAAGGATAAAATCTGCAGTGGGCATCAGTTGCTTAAGCAAGAGTTGAATATTTTTGTTGTATATACTTTATCCTTAAACGTGAATATTTTGTAGTATACTTTTTTGTAATAAATCAGTTTACTTTTTTAAATTCAGAAAATCATACTCTAATTATGTTAATAAATCATATTACTTTTTTAAAAATTCAGAAAAACATCTCATTAAAATTGTTGACAATTTGATTTCACTTACCTTATAGATGTGAAGATTTTCAAAACCGGCTGTTGCATCCGATTCAAGACTTATTCATTCTAGAAGTCATATACTACTGAACTAGGAGAGCATGCAAATGATCTGAGAAGATGAACAGTGAGTTTTTTTTTTATTATCATACTTTTAAACAAATAATGAGATTTTTTTTTTTTTTTTTGAGAGATCGAGTTTATAACTAGCAAATTCTTATTCAATATTTAATCTCATTATATAATCTAATTATTTACATCCTATAATATTATTTAGGAAGTACATCCATTATGATTTTGTAAGAAATTATAATATTTGCCATTATAGATCTCTAATCATAATCATTTTAATTCATGTCACTAATATTAATCAATTCATTAAAAAACGGGTCAATGGGTCAAACGGTTAAAGTATTTATGATATTTAAATTCTATAAAAAGTATAATATTAATAATATTTGGACTCTATAAAATTTAAAAATATATATATATATATATTATGGAAACAATTTAAAAGCAAACTTTTAAATTGACTCAAATTATATGTATTTTAAATAAAAGTATTATTAAAAAGAAAAATAACAAAATGATGTTTAATTTCACGGAACGGAGTTATATGGTGGGACGGGTTTGTGTCGATATTAATACAGGACAATATATATATGACGGGTGAAATCCTAAAATTAATAATCAAAATAATCTTAAATACTTAACAAAATAAATAATATTAAAAATACAAAAAAAAAATTAATTTTTAAGTTAAATAAATCAACCCGAGGAATACCGCAAGGTAAAATCTGGTGATACTGGGCCAAATACAGTTAGAACTGAGCAAACAAATCCCAATAGAGCCCACGTAAAAACTTCAACACAATACAAATATTTTTTTTCGTTCTCAATGACACAATTCAATTATGAATACCTAATTGAACCAAATAAATTGTTCATCTCATATAAACAAAAATAGAATTTTAATGCAGCTAAATATATTTTATATACAATACAATATTCTCTCTTTCTTTATTACCAAGTCATGTTTTTCAACCAAGTTAGATTAAAACAATATTTAATTCCTATAATAAAATAGTCCAATATGATATGGAATATAGATTTAAAATTTATTATCTATATTATTATTTAGTTCTACAAACAAAATATACAACCATCGTCAAATGAAATATACAACATTATATCCAAATAATAATAAAAATAAAATATTATGATATATTCCCTTTTATACTATACTATTATATTATATTATTATTTAATTCTTCAAACAAAATATACAATTTGATTTACACAAAATATTAAATCCCGTGCTGTATAGCACGGGTCATGATCTAGTTCATGATTGCATTTGCCCCACCTAGCCACCCCATTTGCCCCACGCCCCCACCTAGCCACCCCATTTGCGTCACGGTTCCATACAAATAAAATAAAATGAAAATTACACATTGACCAAACACAAAAACAAGAAAAAAAAAAAAAGAGTTGCGTTATTAGCTTGAGACAATAAATGGGCCATAATATACGGGCTTAAGCACACAACACTACATATTGATCGCAGGCCCGGTTATTTCTAAAAAAAAAATCCTTAAACAAAATATCGAAGAATAAATTAAATAACAGAAAATAAAAAAAGTCAAAACAGCTCTTGAGCCTCATCAACTTCGGGTGTGCCTATGTTTAACCATTTTCGAGCCATGAGCCATCACGGCTCGTACACGTGGCTCTAACCACTTCATTATCTCTCGAACTTAATTATTTAATTAACAATAATCCCAAATTATTTAGCTCCTTTGGTCTGCTCTGCCGACGCTAGCCGTTCTCCTCCGCCAGATTCAAATATTTCCTCCGCCGTCGACATTCATTACCTCCTCCCGCTCACGAGCTTAACCAATTTTCCCGTACTTTAGAACCTTGGGCATATATATATCAATGGAGAAGCGAGTCAAATACAAGAGCTCAGTGAAGGATCCAGGAACTTTTGGATCCCTCGAATTAGTAAGATTACTTTTAACTCTTTGCTTCTATATTTTTGTTCTCAACGGATCTTCCAACTTTTGTTCGCAGAGTGAAGTGATGTTGCTCTTTGTCCCAAATGATCCTAAATCAGATTTGAAGCTTAAAGTTCAGACTCACAACATCAAAAGTAAGTATTTGTTAATCAGATTTATCATGACTAATTTCTCTAAATGATTATTAGTTGCCTATAGATTTACGTTTCACTGTTTTCCCATGCCTTGTTTCTTCAATTTCTCCATTTCTCAGGTCAAAAATATACCAAACAAGGATCAAATAAACCTCCTTGGCTCAATCTGACCAATAAGCAGGTTTTTTTCTTTTCTTTGCCCTTTGTGCTTAAGGCTAATTTTCATTTTTATTTTTATAGATATACGAATTTTGAAGCTATATTAGTGAAGTTTCCTCATTTTTGATTATAGGGAAGAAGTCATATCTTTGAGTTTGAAAATTATCCTGACATGCATGCTTGCCGTGATTTCATCAGTAAGCTCCATGTGCCATGGTTTGGTTTTATTGATTCATAAGTATTTTTCTCTTGTTTCTTTCGTGGTGTTTTTGCTCTAACCATTTGTACTATGAACAGCTAAGGCCCTTGCTAAATGTGACGAGGAGTCTAACAAATCAGTTGTCTCTACACCTGCTGAGAAACTTAGTATGGCAGAATTTGAGCTACGCTTCAAGCTTCTTCGAGAAAATAGGTATGTAATCGGAACATTTAATTGCTTTCTTTTGGCTTAAAAAAGTTTCTGATATTATGAGATGAAGTGAGTTGCAGAAATTGCATAAGCAATTTGTGGAAAGTAAAGTCCTGACGGAAGATGAATTCTGGTCTACAAGGAAGGTTGGTTCTTTGTTTGTTTCCTTGATGTTTCAGTTTTTCAGTTCTCTTGAGTGTCGTAATAGTTACCAACTGTGTTCTGATCGCAGAAATTACTTGGTAAAGATTCCATTAGAAAGTCAAAACAACAGATGGGGCTTAAAAGCATGATGGTTTCAGGCATCAAACCATCTTCTGATGGGCGGGTATATGAGCATACTCTGATACATTCGGCTAGTTTAACCATCTAGTACAGTCATTTTCTGATATATATCATATGACATTTCATCTGGTTTAACCGCTCTTCGATTTTTTTTTTCTTTCAGACTAATCGGGTGACGTTTAACTTAACGTCTGAGATAATTTTTCAGGTGAGCTATATGGTTCACTATTTTTGTCATTGATGTAAGGGCTATATAAGTTTCTGAATTTGAATCCAAGCGCGATCCTCCAGGGTCGGGATAAGTTTATATGGTCAATGGTGTTGACGTTGCAATTGGTGATATATTGGGTCATAAACTCATTAGTCATTACTAGATGTTCAGGTTGCATCATGTGCTTGAACTTACCAAGTCCAGTGGGAAATTATAATTGAGGAGTAGAAACATTTATAACCCTCTTTCTTCAGTTCACCTTCTATTTTGTGCTCATTCAGTCTGTAATTTGTAACAAGAATAAGTAAATGTTGCTTTATTCATGCTACTGTCCTTTTCTCACATATGATTTCTTCATTATGCTTTCAGATTTTGCTGAGAAGCCGGCTGTTCGGCAGGCATTCATAGATTATGTTCCAAAAAAGGTAACAAAGACTTCAACACTATGAACATCTTTGTTTATTGGTTTAATCATCAAATACAATGAATCATAACTGCCTTTGGTAGTTATTTTTCTTCGCCAGATGACAGAAAAGGACTTCTGGACAAAATATTTTAGAGCAGAATATCTTTACAGCACAAAAAATACAGCAGTAGCTGCAGCAGAAGCTGCTGAGGATGAGGAACTCGCTGTCTTTCTGAAGCCTGACGAGATATTGGCTCGGGAAGCTCGTCAAAAGGTTATTTTTTGTTCATGGTTAATTATTTCTATGTCATGTGTAAAAGATAATAATTGGGGTATAACCATTAGTTTTAAATGTCATGTTTGTAGATGAGACGGGTTGATCCAACTCTTGACATGGACGCTGACCAGGGAGATGACTACACTCATCTTATGGTAAGCCAACTATCAACTCATTCCGCATCTAGGGTTGTTGAAACGAGAATGTCAAGTTAACAGTGTACAGATTCACACAAATAAAATAGATCTCTCATCGGCTTTTCTGGTGTTGGTATTTACATATAGTCTCACCCTAAAAGTAGTACTAGTATGGAAAGCATTGGGCTCCATAGATAATTGTAATACTGACGGTGATAAGCATCAAACTTGTAACAATGTGTCAAATGTTTTGTTTTCTAGAATGCTCATCAATCCTTTTACAAGTTGTTCAATCAAGAAAATTTATTTTCTCACAAATGTAAATTATGGACTCTGCAAACTATGTTTGAATTATGTGATCTATTTTTTGCTTTAGAAATTGAATTTCAGTTAGTACTTTATCTCCCACGAGGACCATTGCTTTATATATTAGCTTAACACTAATATCCAGAAAACGGTGATCTTAAAACTTACATTGTGCTCTTTCGACATGGTTGAAAGCTTATTTACACTCTGCGGGATCATATCCTCATATATTGTGCTTAGTTAAATTTCCTGTCACACAGGACCATGGGATCCAGCGCGATGGCACCAATGACGCTGTTGAACCACAGAATGACCAGCATAGGAGGTCACTTTTACAAGATCTTAATCGCCATGCTGCTGTTGTATTGGAAGGAAGATGCATCGGTAAACACTTTTAACTCTGACTATTTCATCTGGTGTTTTCTGTAACAGTATAAGAAATAGCCATCAAATGACTTCCCAACAGATAGTTCATGAGTGATAAACATGTATTTTGGCCCTTTGCCTTTAGTTCTTGGTAGTAAAGTATACAATGATACTCACTTATTCTTTTATACTGGAAGGTAGATGTTGAGTCAGAAGATACGAGGATTGTTGCAGAGGCTCTCACACGGGCGAAACAAGGTTCATACTGATATGCTCTACTTTTTTCTATGCTGATCAATGGCCAATGCTGCACTTCATATTCATCTGACCTAGGCATCCATGTCTATTACCCCTGGTAGTAAGCAAAGCTGATGATGAAATCACTAAGGACGCTAACCAGGAGAGGTTGGAGAGAATGTCCCGTGCAGCAGAGATGGAGGATCTTCAAGCACCACAAAACTTCCCACTAGCCCCACTCTCTATCAAGGTTTGGCTTTCTGTCATTAAAAGAGTTACACTGTTGATGATGATAGATGGTACGTAAATCCTCTTGCCCTCTCTTGTTTGTAATCAGGACCCTCGTGATTACTTTGAATCTCAACAAGGAAACGTCCTCAGTGAACCCAGAGGAGCAAGGGCATCAAAGAGAAATGTATATGAAGCTTATGGATTACTAAAAGAATCCATTTTGGAGATTAGAATGACGGGATTAAGTGATCCGTTGATTAAACCTGAAGTTTCCTATGAGGTGCTATTCTATCTCATTACAAAATGCATACTGGCTAAAGAAACCATGGCTTATTGCTTTGATGCCTGAGCTAAATATTGCTAAACCCTATCCAGGTTTTCAGTTCGTTGACCCGAACTATCTCAACTGCCAAAAATATTATCGGGAAGAACCCACGGGAGAGCTTTCTGGACAGATTACCAAAGTCCACTAAGGATGAAGTTATACATGTAAGTCTGATATCCTCCGATGTCCTAAGTAACAAGCAGCTCAATATATACTGATTACTGTAATTTGGTTAATAATGCCTATGGATTCTGTTGTCCCCTCAAATGCATCGTGAGAGTACTTTTCCTTTTTTTCTTTCATATACAGCACTGGACATCAATACAGGAATTACTGAGACATTTTTGGTCATCTTACCCGATAACAACAACATATCTTAATACCAAGGTAATGTTGTTGCCACTTGCCACTTCACATTCTTCCAATCCTCGAGTTTGCTATATACATAGATTCTTCAGGAACCATTGAAATTTATTTACACCGAGAGCAACTTCTTATACTAGGATGTTATATTTTATCATGCAGGTTGCTAAACTGAAGGATGCAATGTCCAATACTTATTCACTACTCGATGTAAGCTATTAAATTCTTCTTCGAATTTTTTTCTGTCTAAGCAACTCGGAGTAATCCGTTAGAAAAGTAGTTAATTATATCTTCATACCAATTCATTTACACAAACATGAAATTTGGGTAAAGTAAATTGGTGCAGAGTTGTAGTCGAAACTTAACCGCATATGGGTTAATGTGTATGGTTTCCTTAATATTAAACCGCATGTAAATCAGGCAATGAAACAGTCGGTGCAGTCTGATCTCCGGCATCAGGTTTCGTTACTAGTTCGTCCAATGCAACAGGTTAGCTTCCTTCCAAGCCATACATCATGTCTAGGTTAAGTCTTACTTTTTTCCACTCACATTGTATCTATCCAATTTTAACCAGCCAAACCAAACATTGCGTTGTAATCCGGTTTATGAATTGAAATCTGAGTGATATTAACCCGTTTTCTCCACCAGGCTCTTGATGCTGCGTTCCAACACTACGAATCAGACTTGCAGAGAAGAACCGCTAAGATTGCATAAAGAACGTTTTGTACTTGGAAGAGCTTTTATTTGACTTATAATTAAACATTGGACTAAACATTTAAATTTTCTAGTGATAAGATTCTCAAAGAACTTGATTGAGAAGCATTAGTGGGGTTTGGTTAAGAATGTTGCTTGAGCTATAAGGAACTTCTCTGTACCCTAATTGTTTTGGTTTTTTTTTTTTTTTTTTTGCGAAGCAGTATATAGTCACTGAACCTATCATTAAAAACTCATAATAGCAGTGGTTATGGGTTTAAACGAAACATAAATCGATGATGCTAAGCAATATTCTGAGCTTCAGCTTTGGTCGATAGGATTTCTCGAGCTGATAGGCTTGTCCAAAGCCATAGTGAGCTTGCAATGGTTGGTAGAACCTCTGATACGTTTTGATGCTGTGCTAAGAGAACATTGTAGTTTGCCGATTTCATATCACGAAGAATCTCGATGATGGAATCTTCTAGTGAGATGACTCCCATAATTAACATCACATTTGATGGTGCACATTTGTCAACCGCCCCAAAATAAAGGTCAACTAATGTCTGGTTAACTCTACCATCTCCATTTTCTGAAACCATATATCATCAAGGAAGAGATCAAGATACAGAGACATAATTGTAAAAGAGAAAAGAATGTTATAGAGTTTAAAGGAATTCAATTCACCTGCGGAAAAGTGTTTCAACTTAATTCCGGAAGAGGTTAAGTCATCCTTGGATTCACCATAAGCCTTGATTTCGACGGTACCATGATAACCCTTATTCACAAGGGACTTTATAATATTCTGCGAAACCTCACCAGCATTGAGACCATCAGGGATCTTGCAATCCTCCATGTACCAGAAGACCACTGTCTTGGCGACATAAGTTAAGGTGGCTGCTGATAACTGTTTAGTTTGGTTAGAGCGTTTATGTTTGTAATGGGACCATAATTGAGAAATTGGATATACATATATGCTAAATGCAAGATGGAAGTGTATTAGGGTTTTACGTCGATAATAAATATTAGCGGCCGATTTCCTTTTAAATGAAAAAGATTATCGCTTTTTATCGTATGATTAACCCGTGGTTTTTTTAATTATGTTGATCGATTTTTTTTTCAGAGGATTATTAAAGGTAGCTCAATAATTAACGATTCCCGAGCTCGTATATATATAGTCAACTAATATAGTAAAATATGGAAAATGAAATTTGTTTAGCCAAATTTATTTTAATCAAATATCTTCCACGAAAAATTATGGAAAGAAACTAAAAAATATCTACAAATGAATAATTAAGAAGGAAAAAAAAATTGTTGTTAACATAAATCATAAATATTGGTTTTAAGAAATGACGACAAAGTCTATGTCGTAAAGAATGTTGGTTAATAAGAGGTTTTGTAATAAACTTACCATACAATTAAAATGAAGAGCCTTATAGAAATGAACCTACTATTGTTTTTGAACATAGAATTTCCAAAAATAAAATAAATATATAGAAAGAAAAAATTTCCAAAAAGGACTTATGATTAAATGATTACTAGATGGCTAGATGCAGTATATCAAATATCCTAAAAGATAAATTAAATACAAGAAGAAAAATAATAAAAAAGACAAAAAAAGAAAGTCAAGACAGCGATTGAGCCAGCACAGACAGGTTCACAGAATTAGCCATTTAGAAGAGCCTCACCGACTTCCTCAACCACCAACGAACCCTAAGATTCTATTTTCACCATCTCGAGCCATGAGCCATCACGGCTCGTACACGTGGCAATAACCCACTCCATTCTCTCTCTCTCTCTTTTTTTTTTGCGCGAGAAAAACTTAATTATTAAAAAAAAATCTCAAAATATTATTAAGCCCTTTTTTCTCTCTCTTATCCGCTCCTCTCTCTCTCTTTGGTCTGTTTCTGCCGCCGCCGTCGCCGTTATCCTCCGCCAGATTCAAATCTTCCCTCCGCCGTCGACACTCATTGCTTCTCCATCCGGTCGTTAGGTACGTCACGCTTGTATTCTTTTTATCTATTGCTTTCTCATCGTGATTCTCCATTTTATGTATCTCTCTATGCCGTCTTCTGCTTGTTCGATTGTATCGTTTGATAATTTGAATGTTGTCTCTTTCTCTCTCGCTGTTGTTATTCACTCTATTCCTCTTTTAATTTCACTCTCCATTGTTTCAATTGAAGTTTTGGCACCTTTGTTTTTTGTTTCTTATTTGGTATTTAGCACCTCTCTATTCATTTTTGGGCTTAGGGTTTTACGAATTCATGGTTGAGGTGCCTCTTCACATTCAAAAGATACTTACTTTTCCATCGAGAAGAGAAAAAGTTGAATCCGAATCCTTGAACTGAAATTACTAATCTAGGCTCGTGGTTTGTGTGGACCTAGTGAATGCATTTTGATTACATGCCAGATTCAATCTTGAGCTTTCTGAGTGATTAGCATGTTTACAAAGTTTAATTTTCCACTTATGATCATATCTCTTTCTTCTCTTTGACCAGTTTAGTGTTAAGTTTCCGGAAATTGCTTGAGATTGATGTCTCAATGCTCATAGACCTGAAATGTTGCTACTTGTGTGCAGTATTGAGAAACTTGAAGATCCAAGAAAAATATAACTACTTTTTATAGTGGGGACTGTCCTATTTATTGGAGCTTGACAGTGTAATAAGATATTATCTCAACGAGCGTTATACCCGAAGACTGGGTCTACAAATCAATGTCAGAAGGTGAAATGGCCATCATTAAACCAGAGGTAAGCTTTGATACTTTTAACTATTGTGGACTTCGTTGGCTTATTATAGCGTACTAACTCACATGGATATTTCGTTTACTTCTTATGGCAACAAGGACCTATGTTAGTTATCATATAGAGTGAGGGTTAATATTGTTAGATATTTTGCTCAAATGCACTAGCAAGATTAGATTTTGGATCATAACAAGTTAGCAACCAACCATTTGCGTCAATGTTTTATATTTATTGTGATTAATTTCTCTATTTTTTTCTCTAAAAAAGTTTAACTCTCTAGTTCTTATCATATGCGTTTACATGACCTACTTGTTACATCATAGATTCTTGTCATACTATTACTGTTTTATTTGTAAGTGTTATATTCTTTATCGTTGTACGGAGTTTTTGAATGACTATTTGAAATTTTGCCTTGCACCAAGACTAATTACTTTTTATGTGGCATCAACACAGATGATGAAATCCTATATATGGCTTGAAACTGCTGATGGCTCAATCCAACAAGTGGAACAAGAGGTTGCAATGTTCTGTCCCATGATATGTCAAGAAGTAATACAGAAGGGTGTTGGATCTTCTAAGAACTACGCAATATCTCTTCCACAGCGAGTCAATCCAGCCATGTTAAGTCTTATTTTTGATTACTGCAGATTTCATCAAGTACCTGGACGTTCAAATAAGGTTTGCTTGAGGTTATTTAATTTGAAACAAATGCTGACATGTCGATAATCGTATGCTTTTTTTTTCATAGAGCTCTTTATTGCTTTTTAGGAACGTAAAATTTATGATGAAAAATTCATTCGGATGGATACAAAGAGGCTCTGTGAGTTAACCTCAGCCGCTGACAGTTTGCAGTTAAAGCCGTTGGTTGATCTTACTAGTCGTGCCCTTGCACGAATTATTGAGGGGAAAACCCCTGAGGAGATACGCGAAATATTTCATTTGCCTGATGACCTTACTGAGGTATGTGGTGCCCAAGATCATCTCTTTTTTAGGAGGTGTCAGTCCCATCTGCTTCTCTTTTAGCTATTGTTATGATTTATCAGGAGGAGAAATTAGAGCCTCTGAAGAACACAATGGATGATCCACGGATTCGATTGTTGAATAGATTGTATGCAAAGAAAAGAAAGGAATTGAAAGAAAGAGAGAAACTAAAGGTATGTTGAGCATTTTACTTAATATTAAGTTAGGAATTGGTTTGTAAGAGTGAGCTATTGCGCTAGTTTTATATTTTATGGCTATTTCCATGTCCTAGAGTATCGAGGTTGAAGAACATGTCGATGAGCGGTCTGTGGATGACCTATTATCATTTATTAATGGCAGAGGTACTTTTCTTTGAACTTAATTCTATTTTCTTAACTTTCTGCTCCGAATTTTCCAATTCCATGTTGATGGCACCACATATCGGTTCATGTCTGGAGTCTATTTTGATGCTTACGTTCAACTATGTAAATTTTGTAAGACTCATTTCGAGTTGCTGAGTGAGTGCCTGATATGAGATTCTCACTTTCTTGTGCTGGAAATCTCTTGGGCTATATATTGGTCATTTTCCATATCAGTATACTTCTTGCGTTGGGATTTATGGCCGAGTTAATAGTTTATTTGGTACCCAAATCCTGGTTGATATCTTGGGTGTCCTTGATTTAGATATTTGATGCTTGAGTTTATGTTAGCATTGCTTTTTGGTCTTCTCTTTTCTACTTCCTTTTAAAGCTCTCATTGGTGAGAAGGATAATTATGTTTCACAGATCCCAAGGTAGTAAAGACTTCTAAGAGCAAAAAGAAGAACAAGAAAAGGAAGGAGCATAAAAATGGTACTTCAAATGGAACATGTGAAGCTTCGGAAAAGGTTTAAACTAATTTCTCTCTGATTGCTTCTGGTTGATAGTAATCAAGTTACTGAGTGCTTTCCTTCTTCTTAGGATTCGCATAATCTTCATTCCAAATCACAAAGTGCTGAGATTATTGACAAGACTGCGTCCAGCTTGGGAGATGTATCTAACTTACTTAGTATGGAAGATGACATTTTTACGCCAAAAACTGAGTTTGAAGATGGTTATATAGATGATGAAATTGATCCAGCTTTGAAGGAAATGCTTGATAGGTAAGTGGCTCTTTTTAATCAAACTCCTGCCTGAAGTATTCGTTTTGGGCTGAAATAATTGATAGCAGTCCCTCCTCCAAATATACCTTCTAGTAATATCATGTGACTATTTATGCACTTGAAGTCCTATATGTAGATCTATCGAATTGTGCAGCCATTAAGTGAAACTAAATAAGATTATTGAACCTTATGTTAATACAGAGAGGTAGAGGATTTTGCTCGGAGATTGAACTCTAGTTGGGTTCTATCGATAGGACAAGAAAGGCAGCCTGTGCACTTTTCCATAAATGGCAACGGGACTACAAGGCGATTGACAGGTACATGCTATCCCTTTTGCCTGAATAATCTTTACATTAATGGGAACAGTGTAGCAAAAGGTGCTGTTGAACTGAACCACTTATCGGCTTTAGACCTTTAAATACGCCACACTTTTAGTCTTCAACATAGCTTTAGATGACTGATGGTAGATGGTCTGGTTTGCGTACGCTTTGAACTTTGAAGGTCCAGCTGCAGGACACAAGTGAAGCTGAAAACGCTAGCCCAATGGCTGGAACAGTTTTGGTGAGATCCCCACTAGAATGTAAGCAATTAGAGAGAGTGGTGTTCCGGTCACCGGCGTTTGATGTGTGTCCTCCTGTAATTTTTTTTTTCTTTCCACAATCTGCTTTCTCTCTTTCTTCTCAGTTAATTCGAGAGGTAGGATGCAGTTTTGTTTTGTTTTGTTTTTTCTTACTCCTTTTTAGTGATCAACCCTTTGTATACAACTTTTAATTAAAGAACTGGTAAAAGCATTTAGTTGGTGGGCTCATTTGTTGGTTGATCTTTCTGTTTTGTTCTTAAATTCATGAATAATATGAAGAAGATGATTCCATTGTCTTTAGCATTACAAGCCTCATTAGATTTTCTTTAGCAATACAAGCCTCACAAGATGAGAAGGAGAGAGGTCTTCTCAAAGCAGCTTCTCATACAATTGGGTTTTACAAATATGAGATACATTGTATATACAGATGTGATCAAGATCTTTGTAGCTTTATGTTCTTGTCCTCTTCTTCTTTATGTAGCTTTTCAGGTAATGGTGGAGTCATTCACAATGCTTATGGTTTTGGATGGCAAGCCTTTGCCAGAGTTTGGTGGAGTTAATCAGGAAGGTTATCATGCCCAGCCCCATTCCGCTGCACTGGTGGATCAGCACCGTTAGGCAATTCATGAGCCAGGTGAAATGCAAAGGAAAGAAAGAAAAGAAACAAAATGAAAGGATTCTCTCTTATTCAGGATCGCAGGGCTTACCGGTAAAGATGGTGGAGATGAACGGTTTGATTTCTCTTCCATTACACTAACACTTGACGAAGCCTCAGATCCTCCAAAGTATGACAGTGTACTAGCAGACCGAGAAGAGCTGGTTCGTGATGTTCTCTCCTCCTCCTCCCCCTCCTCTTCCTCCTCGCTTTTCCTCTTTGAACCTCTACTGTCTTGATCTGAAATGGTGCTACTTTGTGAGGAGACAAGCCGCTGAAAGTCAGATAGTAGAGCTGAGAGAGCTCGGACTTCATCCATTCTAGCTTCCCTACATTGATTGCACGCAGACATCAGTGTTAAAGCATCATCTGCTGTTTGTATACAGATAAGGAAAATGGGACTCTGGCTTGAACCTTGTATGGATGAGATATCCTTTGCAGATAAACCGTATATGACAAGTCGCAGACGCATGTTGGCAGACGAAGATGGCTTTCTTTGATCTCAATTCCTCCATTTTCCTGCAGATTAATCACCTCAAATATCAAATTCTTGACCTTGTTAAAAGAAGCAGGTGATGCAGAAAACACAAGCGTGAAGCCTAAAAATACAATACGTTGAATAATGTTTGTCTGAAGCTGCTCCCATGATGAATTTCCTCACTTTGTTCTCAGAAATCATCTGCACAATTCCCTTCTCGATCGAGTTCATCTCAACGCACAGCTTCTCCGCTTGGACCTGCAAAACCAATCTCCTTAGCAATGGCCTAAACTTCATATCCCTTATGTGTATGTATAATATATACATATACATACCCCTTTCCGCAGGCAAATTCTGAGGTACTCATCAAGAATCTTGTCTGTTTTCGCCTTTTGTTTTTCTCTGTATGCTCTCACTAATTCTTCATCTACCGTTGCAGCATCAAATTTGGTACCCACTGTGGAAGTAAGAGAAAGGTCATTGAAAGTCAAATTCTTTAAGAGCTCTGTTTCGTGTAAAAAGCTATTCGAAAGATTTGGATTCATGAGTTGTTGTTGGAGTGAGGAATAAAAAACTTACAAACAGGAATCATTTGAGCAGGTCGGTGAACAAGAACAATACAGATCTTGTTCCCTTCACAGTTATCTAATGCCCATGCCAGATTTGACTTGTTCTTGGTTGTTTCTCTCCCTAGTGCAACGTAGATTCTCTCATCCATCACTCCTGCTTCTTCTTGTTCTTCCATGTTGCTCTTTTTCGCTTCCTCAACGTCCAGAGTTTCTCGGGAAAAAAGTTGTTGAGAAAATCTTGAGAATGGCTGGTTCGTTTCAGACAAGAAGCTTTGGTGTTGTCTTCTTCTCCGGAAATGGTTCTAATAAATGGAATTAAGAAAGAAAAGATCCAATGAGGGCATGTGTCATCCCTTTCTGGTGTTACTCTGTTCTTTCGAATATTCGATCTGGAATTTATGTATTATTTTCTTGTGTGGTTTTTATTTTTAAGCCAATTGAGTGTCAACGACCTAATCAAACTCAAGGAAGTAATCAATGTCGATTATACCATTAAAATACACTTAAAACAAATGTGCCAGTATGAAAATATTTGGTAGCAATTATTACACCAGATGATATTTATATATATTATTATTTCTTGTATTTTTATTGGTTGGGTTTCAATTAGTTTATCCAAGAACTTCAATGCGGCTCTCATTCTTGGTTGCTTCAGTTATAAGTTATAACTGGAACCATATAAACAAAAAAACGACTACTTGATGATGTCAAAATAAAAGAAAAAGAAAAAAGGACTACCTGTTCATATAATTAAAGATAAATTTCAGACATTCTTCTGAATTCAGGTTTGATGTCGTCAAATACTCTAATTTTAGAGTGTTTTCCCGGTTATGTGCCTAACAGTCAACCGCTTTTTTTAACGACCTCGTCACCTTTCCCGCGTGATAATTTAGTTTTAGAGTTTAGTTCATGTTCATTGAGCAAACAACGCCAACGTCCACAAGTTTAGTTAATTACTATAAATAAACGACAAAACGCTCAACCCATTGCCGTAGAGATTATTAAGACTTGAGTCTGAATTCTAGTTCTAGTGATACTTATCATCTATAAATATCGAAGTGGGAGGAAATGAATTTTCCTCTGTTTTTAGAATAATAGTAACACATACTGTATCTGCTTTTATCTGAATTCGGACATTAACATGTGTATGTATATTACCTCTGCTGTACTTTCTTAAAATGCTGTCTGCTGAGCACAACTTAAGATTTTGAATATTTTGAGGAGAATCTAAAAGGAATATATATATATGAAGGATATGTATCCGTTTCCTCCAAAACCCTAGCCGTCGTTGTGCCTACCCAATAATAATGTCTCTGATCTGCCGCCTCAATCTTGGTCGGCGTTTCTCCACCGCCCTGCCAAGAAGAGCGGAGGACATAATGTCAAACCCAGATTGCCGTCCTACGCAGCTATGCTTGAGAGTCACGTACTTGATCAGATTCGTTGGAGATCTCGACACGGCGGCGAAGTACGCTCGTTTGGCTGTTTTCACCAGATTCAAATCGGAGACCACAATAAAGACATGTCAATCCATCATCGGAGGCATGTTGCGGGATAAAAGGCCCGAGGATGCTTACGATCTCTTCGATTTCTTCTTCAATGAGCATAAGCTAATACGCAACAGCCATTGCTGGAACTACATGCTCGAATCTGGTTTACAACAAGGCGTTATTGACGATGCTCTCGAATTGTACCACCGGCCCATCAAATTTGGTAAAATCCACGACTACCCAAATACCGATACTTTCAGGGTCATGACTAAAGGGTTAGTCCACTCCGGTCGATTGGACGAAGCCGAAGCCTTGCTTAGAGACAGGAAAGTCGATAGGATCATCTACCCAGATCACGTGGCGTACAAGAATCTGATTCGCGGGTTTTTGGATCTTGGGAATTTAGACAAGGCGAATCTAGTCTTGGACGAATTCAAACGCTTGTTTTTGATTGCTCTTTCCGAGACCAAAGATGATTTGCACCATTCAAACTATGAAAACAGAGTCGCATTCGTGATGGCCGCATTCATGGAGTACTGGTTTAAGCAAGGTAAAGAGGTGAAAGCTATGGAGTGTTACAACCGTTCTGTTCTATCAAACAGGTTACTGGTTTGTGCCGAAACGGGTAACGCCCTTTTGGTAGTCCTGCTCAAATACGGTGAGAAAAAACATGCTTGGGCATTGTACCATGAACTCTTAGATGAACGTAGAACAGACTCTGATACCATTAAGATAATGGTGGACGAGTGTTTTGATATGGGTCGACTTGGCGAGGCTATGGAGACCTACAAGAAGGCGAGAGCCAAGAACAGTGACAGATACAATATTACAAAGTGTTGTGAAGAAGAAGACGGAGCAGTCTCTTTCTATTTTACTGTATTCAATGACGGATACATTATCACAAGGTGTTGCGAAAACGGGATGTTGTCAGAAGCAGAGTCTGTCTTTGTTGATTCACTTGCTGATGATATTGGATACATTGATGTTAACACTTTTAAAACAATGATCGATGCTTATGTGAAGGCTGGAAGAATCGATGATGCTATAAAAACCTCCAACAAGATGATCGATGCAACTCTAAAGGAGGTCTCCCATCTCTTTTGACCATTCCTTGTCACTTGGTGATCTTTATTTAATGTATTTTTTTTTTTAGATACTTGTTTTAGACAGATAATAATAGAGTTTGAATGGATGTCAAAAAATATAATAAAAAATAATAGAGTTTGAATGGTATGCAATGTTGGTTTGTCTTGGTGAAAAAGGAATAAAATGGCTGGAGGTGCTTGGGTTTTAAGAAATGATGAAGGTGTTGTCATTCTACACAGCCAAAGCGCTTTCTCTAAATATTAGAGACAAGGAAGAAGGATTTTAAAAGTCACTGAATGGGGCCAATGGGCGATGGAAAGCATGATAAGTCACAGGTTGTCTAATGTGGTTTTTGCCATTCAGGATAAAAGTTTAGTTGGGCCGGTGATAAGGCCAAGAGCGTGGCCTTCTTTAAGGTTTCAGGCAATGGAACTGAGAAGAATCTTAAGGCACATCAATGGCTGGAGATTGGGGATAGAAGCTGAGAAAGCAAACAGAGGAGCTAGTCTCATTACACAAAGTGCCACAGGGGACCTGCAATCTTATGTTGCAGTTTCTTACCCGGAGTGGCTTAGATCAGTCTTTGTTGAGGAGACAGCCGTGTCTTCTTTTTGCTAAGCTGGGTGTTATACTTCCCATGTTTGTTTTTTTTTTGTTAAGGAGGTTAGTGTAGGCTTTGAGATTAGGAAGATAATTTCCTACTATGTATAGACTCGTGCTTTGGCATAAATTATATCTAATACTAAAAATCAGTACATGATAATATGAGTTGATAGACTATAGAAAGAAGCACAAATGCAACTTATGGGGCTCGATGAATAGCAAGCTTTCTAATATTTGAAATCCGCAACTTGTTCAAAGTCTTGATAGCATCATTGACTGCCCCTACCTTAACATATCCATTGATCATTGCTCTGAATGTTGAAAGGTCAGGCCCCACCAACAAGTCCTCTCCATCAACGTCGGTAAATATCTCAGCGTCGGTAAACATCTCTGCGAAGTATTTCTCGGCCTCCAACACTCTTCCATGCTTGCAGAGACTTGCGATCATCGTCCTATAACACGTTGTCCTGAGCCGCTCGAATGGTACAGTATTTTCAATAAAATACTCGGACATTATGTCAATCGTCTCGGAATCACAGATTTTTATCATCTCTTCAAACAATTCCCAGGCCTCTGTTTTCTTGCCGTGCTCCACAAGAACTTTTAAAACCCTGTTTCCGACAATGGGTTTCAGCACTTGAGCATCTTCCAGAGTTGCGAGAATCTCCATAGCTTCCTCATCTTTACCTTGCTTGAAAAAATAGTTCACAAAGGAAACATTAAAAATTGCAATTGCCTTGTGATACTCTCTCCATGGAAATTTCCTATCCAGTCCTTCCAATTCCTTGAAGATTTGGCTAGCCTTTACGAAATTCCCTATATCCAAGAACCCGCGAATCAGAATGTCGTAGACCATGAAACTACAACAGCTCATGGATCCCGCTAAATCACAAGCTTCATCGAATCTTTTGGCGTCAACCAAGGCTTTGGTGAGTATCATGTATGTCTCGATGCCTGGAACTAAACGTCCGTCGAGCAAAATGTGGCGGTAGAGCTCAAGAGCGTCGTCGACGTGACCTTGGTCGCAGTGTGCTTTCATGATGAGATTGCAGGAGAGCACGTTTGGGAGAGTTTGAGACTCGTTGAAAAAGTAATTGAACAGAGAGATGGCATCGTCGTAACGTTTGGCGCTGCACATGGCGCCGATTACGGAATTGCAGATGAATACGGTGTCTCCGTCGACTCGAAATTTGTCCAAGACAGCGAGGCGCGAGAGCTTCGAGGCTTCGTCGAGAATAGACATCTCGATCATCGCCGTGACTCTGTAGCGCAGAGAAATTGGGCGGTCATCGATATCCCTGATGGAGACCGTATCAAGCTTTGGGAGTGAGGAAGGATCTCTTCCGAGTGGGTAAGGCTTGAACGCCTTCGCAACCAGGACAGCCTTTGATACCGTCGAATTTCGGACAATGCGGCGGAGGAGGGACATGACTACTTAGGGTTCAGTTTTGCAGGTGCATTTATAAATCGACATGGTAAAGGTCACTTCTAAAATATATTTCTTTTAACATAAGGTCATTTATATATGTGCTTTTCTTTTTAAAACCCATAGCTACGCATTTTCAAATCGGTCCATTTGTATCTCTTCGTTTAAAAAAGAAAAGCCCACGCGACTGGTATAAAATCAAACAGAACAAGAAACGAATGAAACGTTTTTTTTTTCTTTTTTTCTTTTTCAACAACTACACGACTCAGATAAGCCAATTTTGAAAAACATTGTTTACATATAAACTGAATAGCGGTTTGTAAATACTTTATGTACTAAATTATCGGCATTAATATTAGCTTGATCTGAGACGAAAGTTCAAGAAAATGATGAAAACTCTTCTTTTTTCGCTATGTATCTTTTCTACCTATATAGAAAAAGTTAATCACTCGGTTGATAAAGACACTAGCTTTACCAAATCTGAGCAGTCTGTAAGAAATACCGCTTCTCGCTTATATGCACCAATCATACAAGGCATTTCACGCATGTCATCATCTCCTCGAATGATTTTAGTTGAGTAAGACGATCAATTGCAACGGTGGCTGTTGACTCCATTGCTTGTTGTTTTTTTTTTTTTTGCTTTCTACGATTTACATTATTGACACAAATATTCTCTTACAAGAATTCATTTATTATTATTATTCAATCAAATATCAAAATTACAAAAACGTGAATTAATTCAATACTAGCTTTAGTGTTTTTTTTATGCTTGTTATCATGACCATCAAGGCATCAACCAATTTAAACAAATACTATATAGTCATAATCATATCTCCGTTTTATTAAACGTCGACATGAGGGAAGATTAATTAAATCTATGCATGATTCAGTCATCTAATAGAAAACTTCTTATAGTTAACAATTGATAACAATATTAAAATCTAAGTCATATCTATATTTAGTATATAGATGCGTAACCACCCCACAAAAGAGTGACCATACCAATAATACTAGTAATAGGGTAACAACTATTAACTGCGTGCATGGATATAAATAACATCAGAGAATTTTGAACTGACACAATTTAAAAATGTTCTGATTTACAAGCAGAGGATTTGTTCAATGATTCTGGAACTTGAAGCCATTCTTGAATTGCGGATCGAAGAGCAAGGTTTGGAACCAAGCTCGTGTGAGGAAGCCTTTTGTTTATCATTGGAGAAGTCTCGTGTCCTCTCGCAAACCACCCACTTATAGCTTCTCTTTCATATGTAAAACCATCTGTTGCTACATGAGGATCCTCCATTATATCCTACAAATAACCTAATTGTTGGTTTTTTTTCTCTCTTATGATTATAACATTTTGATAATGTAGTTTCCATTGATCTTGTAACGTTTCTTTACCTGTGTAATGGGACAAATGAAGTACTGAGGCGGTTCACGGTGGTTAGAGGGAGACACTTCCTCTTCCTCGCGCTTACCCTTCAGCTTTGATACTTCTCTAAGCTTTATCTTCAACTCTTCTTGTTCTTCTCTGAGTCTTCTCAACGTTTCCATTGATAAGTTGTTCTTTTCTTGAAGCTTTCTTATCACCGTATAAGATTCTGTTATTTGGGACTCGGCTTCTGATCTCATCTTTTCAAGTTCTTCATTCGTTTTCCTCAGTGCCTTCTCTGTCTCTTTCCTACGCTTCAACTCCTCGAAATACACAGCTTCCCATTGTTTAGCCTACATTTTTGGTTATAGATAGAATTAGAAAAGTTTTATACCTCTAAGCAAAAAAACATGTTAATATACCTTTTTGAGTGCATCAACTGCAGATTTTTCAGCTTCTTCACGCTTAGATGCCTCAAAGCGTGCTTTCCTTTTCGAAGTCTCAGCATCATCTTTAACTATACTCGAGCTTGGAACACTTTCAGTTTCTCTAGTTATTTTGGATTGACTCAAAGTATTTGACGATGAATATTCTAGATAAGAGTTATCTGTGCTTCTAGCTTCCCTGCATCGTAGTGTGACTTGTGAGACAAGTAAAACTCAAGAACCAATCTAAACAGTGACTAATATATTTTCAGCTAACATAAAAGATGGAGTATTGACTTAATTAACCAAACCTTGAACAGATTAGGTATCCTTTGCACGTAAACCATATATGACAAGTAGCAGGCGCTTCTCTGTGAATGTAAATAGCTTTCTTGGACTGTAAGTCTTTCATTCTCCTGCAAAACCAACGTTTTACCTCATTTTTAATTCATATTTCAGATAACAAACAGTCTACACTAAATAGCCACACCTACATTGAATAGTGTCTATCAGCTGCTGCTCCCGTGACGAGTTTCGTGACTCCGCGCTGAGATATCAATTGGAGGATACCTTCCCCTACAGAATCCATTTCGATAGAAATGATCTCTGCAGTGACCTAATTCACAATTTGACTAGGAAACTTAAAACCAAACATCTCTTTCTACCATCAAAACACATGGATAAGAAGTAAGCATATATATACCTGCATTTGCCTGCATATATGAAGGTACTTATCCAAATTCTTAAGTGCTTTCTCCTTCTCTTTTCTATAAAGCCGCAATTTCTGCTCGTGAAACATCTCCCCCGCTTTGAATTCAAGAAAACAAGATAGTCCAAAGTTAACCAAATATCCTTAACCTCAGCAGAAATAGATTGCTAATAAAATCTAATTACTTACGGACTGAGATCTGGATAGGTTGATGAACATGGACGATGCAAAACTCTTTGCCTCCACTGTTCTGTATCGCCCAAACAAGACTAGACTTGCTCTCTAGATCTTTCCCTGTCACTGCTACATAGATCTTCTCATCCATCAGCGTCTCTCTTTTGCTGGTTTCCATTGATTCAACGATATCGCTGCCACGATATCTTAAAGAGCCAACCATTTTCACCACTTCTTGGATCGGAATCTTTAATGTCATCGTTACTCGGGTCCATATAATAAAGAACAGAGTACTTTTGCAGAAACAACCGATAAAGATTTGATCTAACAGAGTATTTGATGAGCCAAGCTATAGGTATATATAGGAAGAAGAGGAAAAGGCTTCAATTATAAGACAAACACGTATCTAATCACGAAACCGTGTTCCTTAAAAGCCTTACCGCAGAAGCGTAATCAGATAATGTAGAAATTAAGAATAATGGATAAGCCTCTGACTTTCAATATTAAGAGCCGACCAAAGAATCTCAAAGTGATGGTCTCTGTCATTGTCAAGAGAAATGTCAACATTTCGAAATTGAGATCGAAATTTCAGATGTAATTAAAGATAAATTTCAGACATTCTTCTGGTTTGATGTCGTCAAATACTCGAATTTTAAAGTGTTTTCCCGGTTATGTCCCTAACCGTCAACCGCTTTTTCTAACGACCTCGTCTCCTTTCCCGCGTGATAATTTAGTTTTAAGCTTGAAGAGTTTATTTCATGTTCATTGAGCAAACAAAGCTAACGTCCACAAGTTTAGTTAATCGACAGAAATTGTTATTTTAGTTTCATGTGAAAATGATAGTTTCAATTATTTACACTCTAATACATATAAATTATTCAAGCAAAGACATTATCACTGAGATCACCATTTCAAAGTTAATTAAATTACACAACCAAGGTACATGACATGTCTATCAAATTAAGATACAATCAACAGAAAATTTTATACAAAAGTTCACAATTACAAGTTACATGTTAAAGTAGTCAGTTAAATAATATCAGAAGATACACTTATAACTTTAGTTTTAGTCCCTAAATTTTGCAATTATAGTTCCTGAACTTTGCGTATTTAATTTTTCCTGTGACTTTGAGATTTAAAGTTAGTCCTTCGCTTTTTATTTTATGTTTAGCCCCTTTGCTCTTGAGTTCTTAACTTTTTGGGATACCAATGTGGTCAATGGGCCAGCAGGGAGTATTTTGTTTATTTTAGGCCCATAATAATAGATGGGCCGTATAGGATACACATAAACTTGTTTTTTGTTACCCAGTAAATTGATTTAGGTTAAAGTTAATTTAAAGTTTAAAACTAATATGGTTGGATCATATATAGTTGGTGAGACTATGATGACTCTCTTCGTCCATTTCTTAGTTTTTGTCTTGTTTATGGGTTTAAAATATCATAAATTCCTAATCATTCTAGACACACAGACACATATATTTTAATGGGTATTTGGATATTAATCGATATGATATTTTCTTTAATCATGATATTAATAATGTTTTGTGGATATATCGATATGATATATAGCGCTTAATACTGTTTTTAGTAAGAGACATACATCGCACGAACCTAACCCAATCAATATACAGTGTTTCCATAATCTTTTAAGCTTGTTATGTACAACAGTGAATATAATATAGACCTATATTAGTTTGAAATAATTATGTACAACTAATTAATGAATATATATCCAAATTGGGGTGAGTTAGTTGTTAAGTACCTATTGATCAATCACATTATCTGATATATAACGAGATGGCGATAATTTATTGGTGTGTTTACTTCGCAAACAGCCAATTTTTTCGTGGACCGAATAAAGCATTAAAATACAAAATTTGCATAAACTGATAATTAATAGTGCTAATAATATGAAACCGCCCACTAGTGATGTTTTAGTTTCAACAGACTAATATTCACGCATTTTTTACATTTCCAGAATCTTACGTTGCCACATCTGTTGAATCATTGCATGCTGATGCATTTCAATTTAGTAATGACATAGAAAGTGCTTATTATTTATCGAAACTTTAGTCAAAAATATGACGACTTTGGAAATTTTAACATATGCTTACGATTTTTTCTTCTACAAAATTGTATGTAAGGTTAGAACTATCTTATCAAAACTAAATATTTTACTATAATTGAATCAAATTAAAATATATAAAAAATAGAAACTAATTATTTATGATATCAAAAAATTTAAGATTTCTTTCGAATAGCCATTTGGATATAATGACCAAAAAAAAAGACGATGTTCAGTCTTAATTATAAACATATATATAATGCACAAAAGTTTAAAACCCCAATAATGATGTTTATTATGTCGCACTAGATAACTATTCGTGCAATGCAAAAATTCTTGTGATGATTTTATTTGATTTACAGCCACCAAGCAATAAATTTTATTGATGTACTTAATATAAAGCTAGGGATGATTTCGTTTATGTATATATCAAAGTACAAAAATGTTAAAAAGACACATTTTATTCTCTCTTTTCAAACCAGACATATTGTGCTCTATAAAAAAAGAAAATGAAACCTAACTTTAATTTTTCCTTATAATGCACCTTTAAGACAAATTTAAAAGCTTAGTAAAAAAGACAAATTGAAAAGGTTATGGGTTTGGAGGAGAATCCTATGAAAAATAAAATGATTGGTATCCACTTAGGCACTTACACAACACAACTTTGTATTGTTTCTTTGGTTTCTAATATTGTTGAATGTTGACAGATTATAAAGACAAAACGTCGTCGTTCATTATCCTCAAGTATATCAACGCATATTTCTTAATCCTCGCTAATACAAAATAAACCTTCGTAGCTTAATTTCAAAATGTAGATGTTCATTATATTATAGAAGTTTCAGGGTGTGTGATTAGTTTATAAACTGTCGGCAAATATTAATTTCAATTGATTATTACATTACGTAAATGGACATTATAACTACTAGTGCATATGCCATATAAGTACAAAACAAAACTATATACATATATCTGCATACATTTGAATAAACACAGAAAAAAACAAAAATTAATGAGTAGGTGATTAGCTAGTGGTGTAAAGAAAGATGAGCATCGTTGTATTAGTATATTGCATTATGCTAATTATAGTATATGTCAGAGTCATATAATTATAATTTATAAATAAAGTTTGGTAAGTGCTATTCTATTATTTTTCTTAGAGTCCGATCTAAATTTGTGTGTAGTTATAAGAATTAGAGGGTAGGCAAACCTCGTGGCAGTAAATAAAAACTAAAGGATTATAAATATAATTTGTATCTGAATTTGGGAACATAAACATGAACAAGACTTTGATGAAAAAAAAAAAAAAAACATGAACAAGACTGAGGGAAAAAGAAAGGACGACACCGTTACAAACCACTAAGTTTATTAAAGTGTGATGATTTATAAACCATTAGTATAAGTTTTATCTTCCGTATGAGAATTAATACCCAGACAAACTAACAAACTAGGTTTGGTGACATAGGAGAATTAGCCATTAAACCATCAACTTCATGCTTCAGCATAATTAATTTTATATTAGACACATAACTTTTTTCTTAATGTTATGCTCAGAATCTGAATGTCGTGTTCGTGTATACAAAATTACAAATATCCCCTGAATTTGATAAGTGTGTTATAATTAACAAAGGAAAAATTGTCCATAGTGGAAGAGACTCCAATGCATGTCATTGTTGACCTTTTCTTCATTTATTCTAATTTCTCTCTCCTTTTTATTTCAAATTTCTTTGATATATTAACTCTTTTGACTTTGCAATTTCTGTTAATATAATGACCATAATACCCCTCCCGACACATTAGTTATGTACGGTACTCGCTGCGACGACTCCTTCTAGAGGACCATTACCTACCTACCTGCATCACCAAACCTTCTCTGTCCATATACGTATAAATACATATATATACACATTCATTACAGTCTCGTGAAGACACTAATACACATGTATATAGAGTTATGGGCGAGGTTTCCAATGGCTGCTGCACTTTCAAGTGAACCACGTCAATATTAACCCCAAAAAAAAAAAATCTTTACTCTTTATATTTATTGGCTTCATAGATGTGTATAAATGATGAAACTTGATCCAATCTCCACATTTTCTCATAATCTAGGTTTGGTCCTATTTCTAGTAATTTATTCAACTCGTGTGACTTTATGCCTAATTTTCCATTTTATAAAATATATATTATTTTCTCACTCTCTTTTTTATTTTAATCTTCACAGTGGTTTCATATTCTGGTGAGAGAAATATGGGACTTCTTCATCTAAATTGAGACACTACTGTGTTCAACATCTCTGCCCTCGTGTTTCGAGCTTCGTTACTTCGTTATTTCATTTATAAAATATTAAAGCCGCAAATTCAGCGAAGGTTTTCCGGGAAAATTCGGTGAAAGCGTTTTTTTTTTTTCCGTGGAAAACAGCTAAAAAGTTGAAAAGAAAGTTTCTAATTAATCAGTCTCCAGCTGCATTATCAGATTTTCCCAAGTATCGGATCAGATTCTAAAAGGTATTATCTTTTATCTTTATGCTTCTTTTTTTTTCCTCTTCTTCTTCACGATGATTATAAAGAAAAAAGCTCACTTGCTTCTAAAGGAAAGGTATCGAATTATAAACAGTGATGATCACAATGCGTTTGTGTGACTGATGAGAAAAAATCATGAAAACAGAGTTTTAACAGATCATTTGCATGATGAATCAATATAAAAAGTTAAAATTCGTTTCTTTCTTTTTTGATATATTCAGACATAAGTTTAATATGTTCTTTGCTTGTATTAACAGTTTCCTTACTACCACTTGTCTATTTAAGTGTGAACTGTTAAATGGAGAAAATTTGTCGGAGAAATCTTAAAAGAGAAGGATTCGATGGTATAGGATGTGTGTGGGTGTTCATAAGTCTCTTTGGATCTAACCAGAAACGTCTCTTGATGGATAACAAACGTGGAAGCAAAAGACTTTCAGGTATTTGATCAGTCTCTTAAAATATTCTTTCTTGTTATAAGATAAATGAATCAGTCTTTTGATCATATTTACTCATTTATGCAGGTAATGAGATGAAGCAGATTACATGTTCTTGCGAGAGCTCTCATGAGAGTGTTGATGAGGATATCGATGTTTCGGTTGCTGGTGATGAACATGTAGAGACTGAGGTTTTTAAGAGTTCAGGTGATGAATCTGAAGAGAAATTCAAAGAGATTATCAAACGTTTGATAGCTCAGAAAGAAGGAGAGATTCAAACCTGTAAGGACTTATTGGAGGCTTTTCATGTTTTGGGTTCTGAAGAAGAATCATTCCTCAAGAAGAAGATTTCACATGAAGATGATCAAGCCTTGGGAGATTGTAAGAGAGTTGAAGAAGACAACAAGCCTGGAGTAGTATCAAAGCAAGAGGCGGTGGTAATACCGAAGAGGAAAGCTAACTTTTTCAGCAGGAAATGGAAATCAGAAGAGAGGAGAAACAGATCTCAAGTTGCAAAAACAATTGTGGTTTTGAAACCTGGTCCAAATAGTTTGGATGTTGATTCTTCATCTGGAACGCATTCTACTGGCAACAAGTCGAAAACCGGGAAAACTTTTTCTCGCTTTCTTATTGGTTTAATCAAGGGAAGACTACAATCTGCTGTTAGAAAGAAGTCATGTGATATTCCTGCTGATAAGATGAGCCAAAACTGTTGTGTGCAAGAAGAGATACAGAGTAAATCAGAGAAGTATGTTTCGGATAAAGAAGAACCGGTCTGTAACGAAAGAACGACCCAGGATGATAAAGAGGAGACTATCTACTCAAGCGAAGATTCAAAGAAGATTATGTCTGGTTTATACATTGCAGCCAAGAAACACTTGTCTGAAATGCTTGCAAATGGAGATATAGATGTGAATTTACCAGACAAGGAAGTGCCAAGAATCCTGGGGAAGATTCTTTCTCTCCCTGAGTTCTGTTCACCAGCAGACAGTCCTAGATTGATCCCGGCACATGATTTGGTTTGTAATCTTAGCCCTCTAAGCCAGCCAACTGAGAAACCAGAGATTCTGCAATGCAGTTCAGCTACAAATGATCTGACTGATGAAGATTCGGATAAAGACGACAATACATTGTTTACCATTGATGTCTCTGTTCCTAGAGGTGATTTTTTCTCTTCTTCTCTTTTTGGTATGTTTCTCTCTATGCTCAACAGATCTTAATAATGTTCTTGACAAAATGTTACTAAATGCTTTCAGAGAATGAAACTGAGAATATAGACAAGGAAGAGAAGAGTGAGATAGATCCTTTATCTGAAACTTATAGCTCTTCCGTTTCCGGACAAGTCGAAAATGTTGATGAAGATGTGCTCGAATTTTGTGAAGAAGATGTGAAAAAGGTTAGACAGCTTGTGTATGTGATAAGTGAATACATTCTCTGTTTTTCTTGAATGACATTTCGTATTTCATGGTTTATCTTGTTCTAGGAAATGTTCAACCAAGCGCATTCACCGTCTTCTCCTCCAGAATCTCCACCAACTTCTTCAGTAAGGTTGACTGAATGCAAAGAAACTGCTACTGATGTCCAAGGAAAGTTAAGTCCAGTGTCTGTGCTCGAGACTTTGTTCACAGATGATGAAAGTAGCCCAACAACAAGCACAAGTTTCAGTTCAGGTATGTAAGAACTTTAAAAATCAGCTCAAGATTGAATTATCAGAACTTGGTTTCTTACTACTGTTTCTTGATTCACATTTAGCTGAAATGCGGATGCAACCACTCTGTATAAGATTCGATGAAGTTGGTTCTCCAAAACCAGAGAAAGACAACAATGTCGAAGCAAGCATAGATGACAAGGAATTGACACTTGCATACATTGAAGCAGTTGTGAAATCTGCATGCTTAAGCTGGGAAGAGCTTTTAACTAGGCCATTTTACTCGGAACAGCTTCTTGAGCTAGAACTAACAGATGACATAGTTTTTTCTTCTACACAGCTCTGCGACGATAAGAATCTCCTTTACGACTGTATCAATGAAGTTCTTATGGACTTCTGTTGGAATGAATTCAATCCCGGGCCTTGGATCTCATTCGTGAAACCTGAGGTCCAGCTAATCTCAGACATGGAAATCGCAGCTAAAGTGGCACAAGAAGGAGTTTACTGGCATCTCCTACCTTTGCCTTCCCCTCACACTTTAGATCAGATAGTGAAAAAAGACATGGCTAGAACTGGAAGCTGGATGGATCTCCGGTTTGAAGTCGGTTGCCTTGGTTCTTATACAAGTGAAATGATCCTTGATGAGTTAGTAGAAGAGATCATCAGAAGCTTCAGAGACATGGTTCAAGCTGAACCGATGCAGGACCAAAACAGCGACAACCTGTGATGAGGCTCTTTGTTTTAACCTTTTGTCTATCCTGTACAGTTTCATTGCCACTGCCATGGTCAAATCTCTTGACCTTCTTGTGCAGTGGCACAACCACAGCTTTTTATAACATAAACAAAGACTTCAGAATCTCTTACCTTGTTTCTTTCACTCCCATACTCTGTTTTTTCTTTCCAGTGGCGTCTGTAGTTTACTCAGCCAAGAGAGTTTTGCATGAGTTATAACTATAGAGTGTAATAACAGGAGGTTTGAACTTAAATAAGACAAAGATGATGTATTTACCAAGCACCATGTTCCAATAGAACTACAATTATGCATTTTAGCTCTTTGCCAACAAATACATAACAGACTCTAATGAGGCGTACTTGTATTTTTCTTTTTCTTGCCGAATGCTTGGCTTTTGCTTTCTGATTCATCATCATCCTCACTGTCATCACCGGCGTTCATACTAGAACCAGCGGATTCTGCAACCGATCTTGCATATTTTCTTCTCCCTGCATCAAGCTTGGCTTGTATTTTCTGATCGAGAGGGTCATCTGAGGGTCTACACTATGTTTGTTGTGAGTCGTGACACTTTAGCACCAAGTCCAAGCCTATGCAGGGATTACAATGAGATACTTATGTTCAGTTTCAAATTCGAAAAATGAAATGCAAATGAAGTCCAAGCCTCCTCCACCTGTGTGGTCGAACTTCTTGTTCAGTCTTTTTAATCTACTAAACAAATTAAATTTTTATTTTAAAAAAAAAATTATAGTCCCGCGGTGTACCGCGGGTTATAATCTAGTTTATAACAATTTAAAACATAATTTTTTTTTTTGTATTTTTTTAATGAGTTATCAATTTAGTTTTGTAAATAATTTAGCATAAGAATAAACTATTTTCATGTGATTAATACAATGTATTGTTTGTCAATAATGTGAACTGTAGGAAATTTCTTGTGGGTAAAAGTTAGAATTAAAATGTTTAAATTCAAAGATTATGAAATATAGTAACTTAAAAATAAAATAAGTATTAATGTGACGTAAATTGAAAACCAGATAAAACATTTTTTGTTTTTTTATAATCTGGCCTATCATTAGTATTATGTATAGATTTGTATTATGTAACAAATAAAAAAAACGGACGCCAACCCCTACATAACAAATAAAGATTTGTATTATGTATAAAATAATTAAAATTATACTATAAAATAGATAATAATCCAATTTTAAATAAATATTTAAAAATTAAAATTTAATCCATGCTGCACCGGCACAGGTTATGATGTAGTTATTATTATCTGAACTAGAAGAGCATACGAAAAAAAGACCAGTGTTTAAAACACTACATCAAATAAAGATCACGAAGTGAGGAAGAATTGGTCAAAAGAGATGGGAGACCTCCTTTAGAGTTGAATCGATCATCTTGTTGGAGATTTTGATAGCATCATCGGGGAACCCATCCTTGACAAAAGCATCAATCAGTGTTTTAAAAATGTTAACATCAATGTAGCCTAAATCATCTTCAAGTGAATCGTAAAAGACTAACTGTGCTTCTGATAACATCCCGTTTTGGCAAAACCTTGTAATAAGGTGATTAGCACTAAACACAGCAAAGAAGAAAGACTGTGATCCGTGTCGGCAACACTTTGTAATATTGTATCTGTCACTGAGGAAGTGGTTCTTGGCACTAGCCTTGGTGTAGGTCTCCCAAGCCTCGCTAAATCGACCCATATCAAAACACTCGTCTATCATTATCTTAATGGTATCAGGGTCTGTTCTACCTTTATCTAAGAGTTCATGGTACAAAGCCCAAGCATGTTTTTTCTCACCGTATTTGAGCAGGACATTCAAAAGGGCGTTGCCAGTTTCTGTGCAAACCGGTAACTTGTTTGCTATAACACAAAGGTTGTAACACTCCATAGCTTCCACCTCTTTACCTTGCTTAAACCAGTACTCCATGAACGTGGCCATCAGAAATGCGACTCTGTTTTCATAGTTTGAATCATCTTTGGTCTCGGATAGGGCAATAGAAAACAAGCGTTTGAATTCGGCCAAGACTAGATCCGCCTTGTCTAAATCCCCAAGATCCAAAAACCCGCGAATCAGATTCTTGTACGCCACGTGATCTGGGTAGGTGGTCCTACCGACTGTCCTGTCTCTAAGCAAGGCTTCCGCTTGGTCCATTCGACCGGCGTGGACTAACCATTTAGTCAAGACCCTGAAAGTATCCTGGCTTGGGTAGTCGTCGACCATACCAGATTCGATGGATCGGTGGTGGAAACCGAGAGCTTCGTCAACTAAACCTTGTTTGAAACGAGATTCGATGATGTAGTTACAGCAATGGCTGTTGGGTCTGAGCTTAAAGTGATTGAAGAAGAAATCGTAGAGATCGTAAGCGTCATCGGGCCTTTTATTCTGCAACATGCCTCCGATGATGGCTTGACATGTTGCTGCTGTGGCCTCCGATTTGATGCTGCTGAAAACAGCCAAACGAGCGTACTTCGCCGCCGTGTCGAGATCACCAACGAATCTGATCAAGTACGTGACTCTCAAGCATAGCTGCGCGGGACGGCAATCTGGGTTTGACATTATCTCCTTCGGTCTGCTTGGCATGGCGGCGAAGAAACGCCGACCAAGAAGATTGAGGCGGCAGATCTGAGACATTATTACTGTTTAGGTGAAACGAGGACCAGTTTTTCTCTCCCACAAGTATAATATATCGAACAAACCAAAGATTGGTTATAAGGCCTAAAAGCCCACACTGATTTTGCATAAATAAGAAAGTGAAGCCCAACAAGAGCCCACCACAAAATTACATCAAAAGCAAAAAAAAGTGGGAGACTCACAAAAAAATGCCCCAAAATGACTAAATTACCCTTCTTTTAGTAAAAGACATCACAAATATATAAGGAAAACACGAGAATGTGCACACATCAAAATTAAAAATTTGATTTTGTAAAAACTTGTAAAACCTTTAAAATACCTTGTAAAATGTTTCCGTAAAAAATTTTCCCGCCAAAAATTTTTTTTGCGGGAAAAGTGATTCTGCAATAATTTTTGGCGGGAACATTTTACAAGGTATTTTAAAGGTTTTAAAGGGTATTTATAAGGTTTTACAATGTATTTTAAAAGGTTTTACAACGTATTTATAAAGTATTTATATGATATTATAAGATTTTACAAGCTATTTTATAAGGTTTTACAAGTTATAAGGTTTTACAAGTTTTTTATAAGGTTTTACAAGTTATAAATACCTTATAAAACCTAATAAGTACCTTGTAAAACCTTTTAAAATACATTGTAAAAACCTTACAAAACACTTGTAAATACTCTGTAAAATCTTTAAAATACCTTGTAAATTTTTCCCGCCAAAACAATTGCGGAATCACTTTTCCCGCAAAAAAAAAAATTTTTGCGGAAAAATTGCGGGATCACGTTTCCCGCCAAAAATTTGCGGGATCACTTTTCCCGCCAAAAAATATTTTGTATTTTGTGGACCTAATTTTGCTTCAAATAAGGGTAAAAAGGTCATTAAAAATTAAAAGAGGGCAAACTTAAAAATGGACTTTCAAAAGGGGTATTTTTGACATCATCTATTAAGTAATCGATCTTTCATATGTTTGCCTTCGCATTTTCATTGATATTTATTCAACAATTTGTGTTATCTGTTTTGTTTTTTGTGCAGACTCCATGGTTAGATAACAAGGATGTTGTGTTTGGACAAGTAATTGAAGGTATGAAGCTTGTGAGGACTCTTGAGTCTCAAGAGACAAGCGCTTTCGATGTTCCCAAGAAAGGTTGTAGAATCTATGCCTACGGAGAGCTCCCGTTAGAAGCTTGAGAATCACCAATATTGACCGGTGCATTGTCATTGCCATCTTTGTTTATATTTTTGCTATTATGACTATTGAGGAATCCAAATTCCAAACCATCAAAAAGCCAAAGATTTTCAAATTCTGTTCTTTTGTTTCTTTATTTTGGATACATGAGTTAAAAGTACAACAAAACCCTTCTTTGAAGGAATCAGTTGCTTTGAAAGCTTTCAAAACCTTAACTTAAACAGCTTTCACTTATCGAAAAAGCACAAACAAACTTTTCAAATAAATCATAATGTATTGTATGCCTTCACATTATACTCTCCATTTCTATCGAATCAGACATTACATAGAATTCAGTATACCAACTTTAAAAACACATAAAATCTTACATGTACTAAATCTACGTCCAATTATTACTGTAAAATCCACAAACACAACATAAGAAAAACTGTATTTGAATAAATAAGTAATAAACGAAATGAATTAAGCATAAAAAACCCGCACGTATGTGCGGTCAGGATCTAGTATCTCTTAAAAAAACCACAAATGCAACTTATGGTGCATGATGAATAGCAAGCTTTCTGATATATAAAACTCGCATCTTGTTCAAGGTCATGATAGCATCATCGAATCTCCCTACCTTAACATAACCATTGATCATTGCTCTGAATGTTAAGACGTCAGGCCCCACGAACAAGTCCTCTCCGTCAACGTCAGTAAACATCTCGGCGAAGAGTTTCTTTGCGTCTGATACTTTTTCATGCTCGCAGAGACTCACGATCATATTCCTATAACACGTTTTCCTAAGCCGCTCGAATGGCACAGTCTTTTCACTAAAATACTCGGACATTATGTCAACCGTCTCGGAATCACAGGTTTCGATCATCTCTCCAAACAATTCCCAGGCCTCTGTTTTCTGACCATGCTCCACGAGAACTTCCAAAACCCTGTTTCCGACAATGGGTTTCAACACTTGAGCCTCTTCCAGAGTTGCGAGAATCTCCATAGCTTCCTCATCTTTGCCTTGATTGAAAAAATAGTTCATAAACGAAACATTAAAGATTGCAATTGCCGTGTGATATTCTCTCCCTGGAAGTTTACTATCCAGTCCTTTCAGTTCCTCGAAGATTTGGCTAGCCTTTACGAAATTCCCTACATCCAAGAACCCGCGGATTAAAATGTCGTAGACCATGAAACTACAAGAGCTCATGGAACTCACTAAATCACAAGCTTCGTCGAATCTTTCAGCATCAACCAAGGCTTTCGTGAGTAACATGTATGTCTCGATCCCCGGAGCTAAACGTCCGTCGAGCAAAATGTGGCGGTAGAGCTCAAGAGCGTCGTCGACGTGACATTGGTTGCAGTGTGCTTTGATGATGAGATTGCAGGAGAGCGTGTTTGGCAGAGTTTGATACTTGTTGAAAAAATAATTGAACAGAGAGATGGCATCGTCGTACCGTTTTGCGCTGCACATGGCGCCAATTATGGAATTGCAGATGAATACGGTGTCTCTGTCGACTCGACATTCGTCCAAGACAGCGAGGCGCGAGAGATCCGAGGCTTTGTCGAGAATAGACATCTCGATCATTGCCGTGACTCTGTAGCGCACAGAAATTGGGCGGTCATCGATATCCCCGATCCAGACCCACTTAAGCTTGGGGAGTGAGGAAGGGTCTCTTCCGAGTGGGTAAGGCTTGAACGCCTTCGCAACCGGAACCGCCTTTGATACGGTCGCATTTCGGATAATGCGGCGTAGAGGGGACATGACTGATGGAGATGGAGTTAGGGTTCAGTTTTGCAGGTGCATAAAAAATTGATTTTTATATGGGCAATTTTTAAAAAGCTCAAAGTTACGCATTTTCAAATCGGGCCATTTCATCTTTTTGTTTATAGAAAAGCCCACGAATATAATAAGGATTATTGTTGATTTGGGGTCACTTATACAATCAAAAATTAGCAAAAATAAAACACTTTTTACAATTATAAAAATTGAAAGCATTCTTATTTCTTAGCCTATCTATATATACATTTTTGCAACACTTTATGAAATAAATCCTCAAGTTGCAACTTATTTATAAAGAATGCCATTGGCATTAATTATTATGGCATTAATTATTATCAATTAATTAAGATTCTTAATTACTAGCATTTCTTTATCTAATATATTTCCATCAATTCTAATTACTAGATTCTTAATGTTTTTTCTTACTTTATTTGTCTTGAAAAAATTTTAAGCAATATGTGTGGGAATATGTTTCTGATAAACTTAATCTACGCGATATGAAAATTGTCACAAGGATGGCAATATGGACGATGGATAATACCGATGCAGCCAATATTTTATTGGTTTCAGGGAATGAGAACTATTGTGATATAATGGATCATCACCGATGTCGTTTTTGTGACAAGTGCGTACGATTTTATCTTACCAAATAATCATGATTTTAATTCATATCACTTTGTAGATCATCGTATTTTAGATCCGAAGTTAGATGTATTATTTTAGTAAAACAAAAAGAAAGATTAAGATCAAATAGTGAATTTATTTCTGAATTGGTCTAATACATTTGATCAATGTTCTTAAATCTGACTGAGACAACAAATTAAAGTAGTGTCTGAATCATCGGAACAACCCAATTCAACCGTAAATCAATTAGACTTAAATTTTGTAATATATTTATAGAAATTGTATATATACAGTAGTTTTATAAAAAAATATCATACCATATTGAATCAATTACGAAAAAGAGACTTTTCCGAGTGGTATTTGTTGATTTTGTCCCTTTTGGAACAGTTTGTTGATTTGCCACTTTTTAACAAGAGGAAAAGAGTATTTTGTCCTCACAGAACTCTGAAACCAATTCATCTCTAATTGATCTCTCGATCCAGTCTTCGTGAGCAACTTTGACGACGACGATTCACACTCCCCCTGAACTTCTGCTTCTCCTACGTAAGTTCTTCACTCTCCTCTTCTCTAAATGTACAAATCTGTTTTCGTTCTCTGCTTGGTCGATGGTTGACTCTTGTTCTTCAGTAGTTGCTGCAAATTGAGCGTGTCAATTGAGTGTTATTATTCTGAGTCAATAACCTTAGCATAGAATCCATCGTCTCTATTGTTAGTTAAATTCTGGAAATAAATCATGAAATAATTGAGTTTGAAGGCCTCTTCTACAAGTGTACACAATATGTTCGATGAAATGCGGAAGAGAATCTAGGGAATTAAACTAACCCTCTTTTCACTTCTTATTTCTCGTTGATTTTTTTTTTTTTTCCGCCTCTCGTTGATTTCTATAGATTATGTTCTACATCTCTGTTGAATAGATAGCCCCATGCGTATTTCATTTTCGTCTTTACTTTCTCTTCCAAAATTTTATTTGTTTGTTCTTTGTATAGCTAAGTAATGTGATGATATCTTGATGTGTGTAGTTAGTGAGCTATCGTTGGAAGCTAGGCAGGAACTCCTCAAAATTGACAAATGGACTCCGTTTGAGCAAGCTCGAGAAAGGGAACGTAAGTTGCTTTATACCGATGCACCATTAGTGTTAAGTGTACGTTATGAATTGAGCGTTATATTCGGTTGCTTGGGTTCCCCTCGTCCCCATTTTCTTTTAGGGTATAGTTTTTGCTATTAATTTTGTGTTTTATCCGGAGTTGTCCGTTATATCCATTTACTTGAATCCCGGTTTAATAGTCTTTCGAATTTAGTTTTTCATTCAACATCTATATCTTAAACTTAAATCATTGCTCGTTTACTTTTTTGTTTGTACAAATTCACAAATTCATTTGTTATATATAAAAAAAAAAAAATTATTTGTTATTCAGTACATATATTGGTTTGTATATAATAATTCTTTTGTGGATATGATGATTATGCTTAAGTTTTTGATGGATATATTGTTGCTGGTTTGTAAACCAAACACAGCAGGGTAAACGTGTCTTTTCCATAGCTCTAAAATGGCAAATTCATAAATCTAACATGGAAATGGCAGATTCATAAGAATTGGGGTGAAAATTGGCATTTTGTACAATAATCCCCACCATATTTGACAAACATATAAAATTCTGATTGAAAAAAATTAAGCTAGGGTAATCCTCCGTGCGCAGGACCACAATGCATCATATGGATTAATCCAATGTAAACGTTCCACGTAAAACGCTTCCCGTTTTTAACCGCCAGTTGAAATTTAATTTCTTGTCTGAATTGGTTTGCTCAAACCGACAACTTGAACCAAATTAAGATACGACAACGTTTTAATTTCTTTTAACAGTCTTCATTGGAGTCGTTGAAGTGTCGTACTTTCTTGTGTAGTTGTACTCTGTCAACTTTAGGTCTTTTCTTCATTGAGGCTTGAACTTAAATAAGACAAAGATGATGTTTTTACGAGGCACCATGATGTTCCAATAGAACTACAATTAAGCGTTTTAGCTCTTTGCCAACAATCAAAACAAATACAAGGCCATGACTTAAACTATAGTACATCACAGAATCTAATGAGGCGTACTTGTATTTTTCTTTTTCTTGCCGAATGCTTGACTTTTGCTTTCTGATTCATCATCATCCTCACTATCATCACCGGCGTTCTTACTAGAACCAGCGGATTCTGCAACCGATCTTGCATTTTTTCTTTTCCCTGCAGCAAACTTGGCTTCTAGTTTCTGATCGAGAGGGTCGTCTGAGGGTCTACGCTTTGTTTGTCGTGACACTTTAGCACCAAGTCCAAGCCTACGCAGGGGTTACCACGATACTTATATTCAGCTTCAGTTCCTCAAATGTAATGCAATTTAACATGTAAAAAGATATTTGCGTTCACCTGTGTGGTCGTTCTTCTTGTGCAGTCTCGATAGGATCATCCTCTGTAGGCCTCGTCATACTGGCAACCCACTTCTCAGCCTGCACCCAGCAAAAACTCAAAGCGGTGAGATTGAAACCAAATTATATGAACGCAAGAAAGATCTAGATTTTAGCTTTCATTCAAGGATTTCTGTGCTTCAATGAGGAAAAAATCTTACAAGTTTTTGTGCCTTATCTGTTTTAAAAATCTGTGGAGTTCCCTTCTTCTTTGCCGTTTCCGTTGTCATTGCTACTAGAGTATCACCACCACCCAACTTCCTACAGTCCCAGAAGTGATATGCTTACTTCACTTTACTGCAGTAAGACAAGTTCACAAGCGATTTTTTCGGTAAGCTCTTGTTAAATCTTAGTCACATTGGCCAATCACTAGTTGAATGCAACAAGTTAACCTAAGGAGTTCTCTTTCACCAAACCTTTCGAATTGGTCCCTAAACGGTTTAGGCTAATTAGCAATCATCAATGCATTCAGAAAAAGGTAAGAGACTTGTTAAAGCACATCAAAACTAACATCCTCTCACGCATTCCTAACAAGTTAGTTCATAGACTGCAACTTAAATTACTCAGTTAGTCAGTCTCTTATGTATGTTATATAATGTTCCAACGGTGATTAGTTATTAAATGTTTTACATCTATGTATATATATAAAATTCTGCATGACTTCATTCACAATCACAATCAACTTAAACCTTATATAATAATAATATGAATTGTAACACTTATGTTACCACGGAGAAGTCTAACCTTTTAACTAATCAATCATGCAACTTGACCCCAGAACCAATGAAAGATAGACATCTACTCTCTGCGGTCAATCAAATGATGAGAATAAGGATCAATTAGATTTTTCAACATTAGTCTTAGAAGTGACTTGTGGGAACTATATTCTGTGACCTATAAGCAATGTGACCACAAGATATACGCATAAGGTCAGCAATATAGAGTCTTGACATATAGACTGATTCAAAGCTGACTCTGCAAAGATAGACATCTACACTCTGTATCAATCAAAAGATGGAATTTTCACAGACCTTAAGAATCTTGGTGGTCCTGAATTGCCCTAGTTTGCATCCTAGTTAAGCCTAAAACAAGAAGCTATTCTCTCATGTCAAGGAGAGAACAAGCACACACATGAAACGAGCTCAATTTTCATTAACTACACTTGTCGTCACATTCACATATTCCAATCAAAGTAATAATCTCGAAATGTGTCTCAGATACTTAAGATTCTAATTCTCTAGCTATTCCTAAATCAGGTTAGAACCAAACAACTAATCTATGAAACAACAATGTTTAAATCACAGATAAAAGCACACATAAAGCAAAAATCTCAAAACCCCAGAAACAAAACAGAGAAATTTGCAATTAGCAATCATCAATGCATTCAGAAAAAGGTAAGAGACTTGTTAAAGCACATCAAAACTAACATCCTCTCACGCATTCCTAACAAGTTAGTTCATAGACTGCAACTTAAATTACTCAGTTAGTCAGTCTCTTATGTATGTTATATAATGTTCCAACGGTGATTAGTTATTAAATGTTTTACATCTATGTATATATATAAAATTCTGCATGACTTCATTCACAATCACAATCAACTTAAACCTTATATAATAATAATATGAATTGTAACACTTATGTTACCACGGAGAAGTCTAACCTTTTAACTAATCAATCATGCAACTTGACCCCAGAACCAATGAAAGATAGACATCTACTCTCTGCGGTCAATCAAATGATGAGAATAAGGATCAATTAGATTTTTCAACATTAGTCTTAGAAGTGACTTGTGGGAACTATATTCTGTGACCTATAAGCAATGTGACCACAAGATATACGCATAAGGTCAGCAATATAGAGTCTTGACATATAGACTGATTCAAAGCTGACTCTGCAAAGATAGACATCTACACTCTGTATCAATCAAAAGATGGAATTTTCACAGACCT